CGGCGTAGTTTGATTCCAAAAAAGCTGAAGCTTGCCATGCTAAAATCTCAGGCGATTAGCTTTTGAATGGTGTATGTCTTGTCAATTCACTCCGTCATCACTAATTCACTTTTTTTAAAACCGGTGTCTAGTATAATATCAGAGTTTTTCGCCCAGTGTCGGCGTAGTTTGATTCCAAAAAAGCTGAAGCTTGCCATGCTAAAATCTCAGGCGATTAGCTTTCGAATGGTGTATGTCTTGTCAATTCACTCCGTCATCACTAATTCACTTTTTTTAAAACCGGTGTCTAGTATAATATCAGAGTTTTTCGTCCAGTGTCGGCGTAATTTGATTCCAAAAAAGCTGAAACTTGCCATGCTAAAATCTCAGGCGATTAGCTTTCGAATGGTGTATGTCTTGTCAATTCACTCCGTCATCACTAATTCACTTTTTTTCAAACTGATGTCTAGTATAATATCAGAGTTTTTCGCCCAGTGTCGGCGTAATTTGATTGCAAAAGAGCTGAACCTTGCCATGCTAAAATCTCAGGCGATTAGCTTTCGAATGGTGTATGTCTTGTCAATTCACTCCGTCATCACTAATTCACTTTTTTTCAAAACCGGTGTCTAGTATAATATCAGAGTGTTTCGCCCAGTGTGGACGTAATTTGATTCCAAAAAAGCTGAAACTTGCCGTGCTACAATCTCATGCGGTTACCTTTCGAATGGTATATGTCTTGTCAATTCACTCCGGCATCATTAATTCACCTTTTTTTTATACTGGTGCCTAGTATAATATCAGAGTTTTTCGCCCAGTGTCGGCGTAGTTTGATTCCAAAAAAGCTGAAACTTGCCGTGCTAAAATCTCATGCGGTTACCTTTCGAATGGTATATGTCTTGTCAATTCACTCCGTCATCACTAATTCACTTTTTTTTCAAACTGATGTCTAGTATAATATCAGAGTTTTTCGCCCAGTTTCGGCGTAGTTTGATTCCAAAAAAGCTGAAACTTGCCATGCTAAAATCTCAGGCGATTAGCTTTTGAATGGTGTATGTCTTGTCAATTCACTCCGTCATCACTAATTCACTTTTTTTTAAAACCGGTGTCTAGTATAATATAAGAGTTTTTCGCCCAGTGTCGGCGTAATTTGATTGCAAAACAGCTGAAACTTGTCATGCTAAAATCTCAGGCGATTAGCTTTCGAATGGTGTATGTCTTGTCAATTCACTCCGTCATCACTAATTCACCTTTTTTCAAAACCGGTGCCTAGTATAATATCAGAGTTTTTCGCCCAGTGTCGGCGTAATTTGATTGCAAAAGAGCTGAACCTTGCCATGCTAAAATCTCAGGCGATTAGCTTTCGAATGGTGTATGTCTTGTCAATTCACTCCGTCATCACTAATTCACTTTTTTTCAAAACCGGTGTCTAGTATAATATCAGAGTGTTTCGCCCAGTGTGGACGTAATTTGATTCCAAAAAAGCTGAAACTTGCCGTGCTAAAATCTCATGCGGTTACCTTTCGAATGGTATATGTCTTGTCAATTCACTCCGGCATCATTAATTCACCTTTTTTTTATACTGGTGCCTAGTATAATATCAGAGTTTTTCGCCCAGTGTCGGCGTAGTTTGATTCCAAAAAAGCTGAAACTTGCCGTGCTAAAATCTCATGCGGTTACCTTTCGAATGGTATATGTCTTGTCAATTCACTCCGTCATCACTAATTCACTTTTTTTTCAAACTGATGTCTAGTATAATATCAGAGTTTTTCGCCCAGTGTCGGCGTAGTTTGATTCCAAAAAAGCTGAAACTTGCCATGCTAAAATCTCAGGCGATTAGCTTTTGAATGGTGTATGTCTTGTCAATTCACTCCGTCATCACTAATTCACTTTTTTTAAAACCGGTGTCTAGTATAATATAAGAGTTTTTCGCCCAGTGTCGGCGTAATTTGATTGCAAAACAGCTGAAACTTGTCATGCTAAAATCTCAGGCGATTAGCTTTCGAATGGTGTATGTCTTGTCAATTCACTCCGTCATCACTAATTCACCTTTTTTCAAAACCGGTGCCTAGTATAATATCAGAGTTTTTCGCCCAGTGTCGGCGTAGTTTGATTCCAAAAAAGCTGAAGCTTGCCATGCTAAAATCTCAGGCGATTAGCTTTCGAATGGTGTATGTCTTGTCAATTCACTCCGTCATCACTAATTCACTTTTTTTAAAACCGGTGTCTAGTATAATATCAGAGTTTTTCGCCCAGTGTCGGCGTAATTTGATTCCAAAAAAGCTGAAACTTGCCATGCTAAAATCTCAGGCGATTAGCTTTCGAATGGTGTATGTCTTGTCAATTCACTCCGTCATCACTAATTCACTTTTTTTCAAACTGATGTCTAGTATAATATCAGAGTTTTTCGCCCAGTGTCGGCGTAATTTGATTGCAAAAGAGCTGAACCTTGCCATGCTAAAATCTCAGGCGATTAGCTTTCGAATGGTGTATGTCTTGTCAATTCACTCCGTCATCACTAATTCACTTTTTTTAAAACCGGTGTCTAGTATAATATCAGATTTTTTCGCCCAGTGTCGGCGTAATTTGATTGCAAAAGAGCTGAAACTTGCCATGCTAAAATCTCAGGCGATTAGCTTTCGAATGGTGTATGTCTTGTCAATTCACTCCGTCATCACTAATTCACTTTTTTTTCAAACTGTTGTCTAGTATAATATCAGAGTTTTTCGCCCAGTGTCGGCGTAGTTTGATTCCAAAAAAGCTGAAGCTTGCCATGCTAAAATCTCAGGCGATTAGCTTTTGAATGGTGTATGTCTTGTCAATTCACTCCGTCATCACTAATTCACTTTTTTTAAAACCGGTGTCTAGTATAATATCAGAGTTTTTCGCCCAGTGTCGGCGTAGTTTGATTCCAAAAAAGCTGAAGCTTGCCATGCTAAAATCTCAGGCGATTAGCTTTCGAATGGTGTATGTCTTGTCAATTCACTCCGTCATCACTAATTCACTTTTTTTTAAAACCGGTGTCTAGTATAATATCAGAGTTTTTCGTCCAGTGTCGGCGTAATTTGATTCCAAAAAAGCTGAAACTTGCCATGCTAAAATCTCAGGCGATTAGCTTTCGAATGGTGTATGTCTTGTCAATTCACTCCGTCATCACTAATTCACTTTTTTTTCAAACTGATGTCTAGTATAATATCAGAGTTTTTCGCCCAGTGTCGGCGTAATTTGATTGCAAAAGAGCTGAACCTTGCCATGCTAAAATCTCAGGCGATTAGCTTTCGAATGGTGTATGTCTTGTCAATTCACTCCGTCATCACTAATTCACTTTTTTTTCAAAACCGGTGTCTAGTATAATATCAGAGTGTTTCGCCCAGTGTGGACGTAATTTGATTCCAAAAAAGCTGAAACTTGCCGTGCTAAAATCTCATGCGGTTACCTTTCGAATGGTGTATGTCTTGTCAATTCACTCCGGCATCATTAATTCACCTTTTTTTTATACTGGTGCCTAGTATAATATCAGAGTTTTTCGCCCAGTGTCGGCGTAGTTTGATTCCAAAAAAGCTGAAACTTGCCGTGCTAAAATCTCATGCGGTTACCTTTCGAATGGTATATGTCTTGTCAATTCACTCCGTCATCACTAATTCACTTTTTTTTCAAACTGATGTCTAGTATAATATCAGAGTTTTTCGCCCAGTTTCGGCGTAGTTTGATTCCAAAAAAGCTGAAACTTGCCATGCTAAAATCTCAGGCGATTAGCTTTTGAATGGTGTATGTCTTGTCAATTCACTCCGTCATCACTAATTCACTTTTTTTAAAACCGGTGTCTAGTATAATATAAGAGTTTTTCGCCCAGTGTCGGCGTAATTTGATTGCAAAACAGCTGAAACTTGTCATGCTAAAATCTCAGGCGATTAGCTTTCGAATGGTGTATGTCTTGTCAATTCACTCCGTCATCACTAATTCACCTTTTTTCAAAACCGGTGCCTAGTATAATATCAGAGTTTTTCGCCCAGTGTCGGCGTAATTTGATTGCAAAAGAGCTGAAACTTGCCATGCTAAAATCTCAGGCGATTAGCTTTCGAATGGTGTATGTCTTGTCAATTCACTCCGTCATCACTAATTCACTTTTTTTAAAACCGGTGTCTAGTATAATATAAGAGTTTTTCGCCCAGTGTCGGCGTAATTTGATTGCAAAACAGCTGAAACTTGTCATGCTAAAATCTCAGGCGATTAGCTTTCGAATGGTGTATGTCTTGTCAATTCACTCCGTCATCACTAATTCACTTTTTTTAAAACCGGTGTCTAGTATAATATAAGAGTTTTTCGCCCAGTGTCGGCGTAATTTGATTGCAAAACAGCTGAAACTTGTCATGCTAAAATCTCAGGCGATTAGCTTTCGAATGGTGTATGTCTTGTCAATTCACTCCGTCATCACTAATTCACCTTTTTTCAAAACCGGTGTCTAGTATAATATCAGAGTGTTTCGCCCAGTGTGGACGTAATTTGATTCCAAAAAAGCTGAAACTTGCCGTGCTAAAATCTCATGCGGTTACCTTTCGAATGGTATATGTCTTGTCAATTCACTCCGGCATCATTAATTCACCTTTTTTTTATACTGGTGCCTAGTATAATATCAGAGTTTTTCGCCCAGTGTCGGCGTAATTTGATTGCAAAAGAGCTGAAACTTGCCATGCTAAAATCTCAGGCGATTAGCTTTCGAATGGTGTATATAATATCAGAATGTTCGGCCTGGTACGGCCGCAATCTTGCTCCAAAGAAGGCGAAAAATGCGGTGTTAAAATTTCATTCTGTGCTCTGTCCAATGGTTAGAGAGATAGGTCTCGTCAATTCTGCCCGACATCTCCAATTGACTTTATTTTATAGGTAACTTCCAGTTTCAAAAAAGTTTGCTAAAAAACTTAAAAATAGTTTTGCATCTTCTCTAACAACTCCCGATCCATTTCACTATAATCTTTACAACCGACTGTCTAATCTCCGCCGGTGCCACCTTGATTTTTCCCTCCATGGTTCCCTTCGGCTTCGGCGCCGTTTTTATTCTCCGGTTCTTCCAAGGAGTCGCTGTCGCCACTTCGTGGCCTGCACTGGGTGCTATTATCGCCGAATCGGCAAGTCTCCGAAAGTCTGGCACTTCTGTGGCTTGGACTTCAGCCCATCTTCAACTGGCCCAGATATTCACGATGCCCGTGGCCGGAGAGTTATGCGAAATTGAATGGAGTTGGCCGGCGTTGTATGTATAATACTTGCAGGGGACTGCGACTGTTATTTGTTTTGCAATGTTCTGGTGGTTCTTTGAAGATTCTCCGATCATCCATCGGTAAAATTAGTTGCCGCATTATTGATGACATTACTTTAGAGAGGTCAGTGAAAAAGAGCTGGAAACTCTGCGGAAAAACAAATTCGTTTTGGAGCTGACAGTGACAATCAGAAGGTCCCATATAAGGAGATTTTAACCGACCAGTCAGTTATTGGAATCCTGTTATTATTGTTCGGGACTACTTGGTGTTTACAATTCTTTTATCAGTATGGCCCGGTCTTTTTGAACCAGGTAAAATTTTGGCCAGAAAACTCTGCCGTCTGATATATTTCCACGTATCTTTAGGTCCAAGGTCTGGGCATTCAGAATGCGAGATTTTCCGCCGCTTTTCCCTTCGTTATCTCGACCGCTGTGAAGTCTATTGTGGGCCATTCAGTAATAATATTCCGTATGTTGGTGACAAGGGCGGACTTATTATACTTTCACCAGTATCCTTGCACTCGATAGGTGCTTTTTTCATCACTCTGGCCTTTCCTTCGGCCGAACAGAATATTTTATCGCAGGTTTTCTTCACCGTGGCCATTGTTTCAAGCGGAATGGATTCTCCAAAAGTTGTCAATTGGCAAGTTATTTCTTGACTATGTTTTTCAGCACTTCAGAAGTTCTTTTGCTATTTTTTGACTCCTTACAATAAAATAATAATTTGTATTACACTTCAAGAGCAGTGCCGGCCCCTCAGGAATCACTGAATCCAAGAGTCCCCCCATGTCGAAAATGACAGGTAAATTAAATTGATCGCGTCCCGACATTTCGGGTCAGGGACAGCTCGGGTCAATGACATTTCGGGTCAACCATACCGTTTAACATTTTCGCTTCGGGACTTGGGAGAAGGATTTTTTGAAGAATTTGAACAAATTTTTGAAATGAGCTCGCTTTTATTTGCATACAATTTACGACTACCTTCTTACTCCACTCTCTGGCACTGTCTCTGTTTAAATCCCGCGCTTCCAGTTAAAAACATAAACAATGGATACGATTTTCTTATTTGCTCTTTGCTTATGAACACTATTTTCCTAAAAATTTCAAAAATAAACCTCAATTCTCCAAAGAATCCTTTCCCCAGTCCCAAAGCGAAAACGTTTCGAAAATTTTTTCTAATTAACCAAAAAATTCTTTTTTCCCAGTCCCGAAGCGAAAGTATTAAACGGTATCGTTGACCCGACCTGCCGCGACCTGAGTTGTCCCTGACCCGAAACGGCGTAGCGCCAAATTGATTAGCGTCGAGGAGTCGAACAAACCGGAGCCGCAGAAGAAAAAACAGACCTATCAAGCGATGATTGAAGAAGGAATTGGGGATCTGGATGAGGCGTTTAGTTCGGATGATGATGAAATACCAAGAGAACTGCTTTTGTCGAATTCTAGCATCCAGAGATCGGGCAGGTCAGAAGCTCCAGGCCCCTTGAATCAACCTTCGACATCGAGGTTTCGCATGCGAAAATTGTCAGGACTTGTGAACGCGCGTAGTACCACTAGTCGTTCCAGGAAGTGCGTATACATTTTTCGCGGCGCATAGTCCATTTTTCTTCTTTTTTTGCACCGTGCGATTGTTGTCACGCGCGAAAAATGCGCCGCGATACAGTTTACAAGGAAAGTACTTCTATGGGGTGTGGAGTTACAGGTCGAGATATATATCAAAAAATTCGCAAAAATTTTCTGATTCAGAATATATAAAAATTAGCTGCCTAATTTTGGTCTGATGACATGTTTTTGTCCTCAGAAGTTTTCTCGCGACACCATTTCAAGTGTCTTTTTGACCGTGTTTTTACCAATAAAAAAATTTTGTTTTGTGCTAAAATAAATTCTGAGGCCTTGACAAGCCTTCAAATATCAAATTGGATTACAACTACACCTTAAAAGTAGTTTCAATGTAAAAAATGGGTTCTAGTGTGGCAAAAAGAACCGAACGCGTTCCCCTCGGATTCCCAATCTAGCGCTCTAACCACTCGGCCACACCGCTCTCTTCCGAAGGAAGAGACCGAGCGCGCTTTTGTTGCCGCAGATTTTTCTCCTCGAGAAATACATTTATTGATAAAACTCGTTAATAGACCAAAATTAGGCAGCTAATTTTTATATATTCTGAATCAGAAAATTTTTGCGAATTTTTTGATATATATCTCGACCTGTAACTCCACACCCCATAGAAGTACTTTCCTTGCTAGATAAAAAAAAGCCTACGTCGCTTCGACTTTCGAAATGCACGTTGTAAAAGGTCAAGCGCACAGTGCGGAAAAATTGCGGCGAAAGGTCCACGCACTTTCTGGAACGACTAGCACTCCAACCTCCAAACGTCCCTCGAACACCCGGCCGCCGGATTCCGGGAACTTACCGATCAGGATCAGCTCACAGGGAAAGTTTACCCCGAATGCGACGCTCAGATTTTGACGAAACTTGGCACAAATTTAGAACAATTTTACAAATTTAGAGTAATTTTTTCCAAAATATATGCGAGAATTCTACATCGCTCTTGGCAGAAACTACCGAGATTTTTAGACCAAAAGCCGGCAAAAATTTTAGACTTTTTGCCGAATTTCAGCACGAAGAGTTTCACACATATTTGTAACATAGAGGGTAAGGTTTCCACAAAAAATCAATTTTTTCCGCACAAAACTACATGGCCAAAAGTGTTTTTCTGTTTGACCGCTCTCCACGTTTAGTGTGCTCTCTCGGTGGCAAAAATCGTTCAATATCCCGGTGGCGCTCGCAAAACATGAGGTAAAACATTCAGGAATCGATATCTAATCTATGGCCGACGTGTGTGCAAAATTTTAAAAAATCTGAGCGTCGCACTTGGGGTACTTCCCTCGACTGATTTCCCATTTTCAGCTTTGAGACACGATTCAAACAATACAATACCGATAAAAAATGGCGCTTTTACGGCCGAACAAAGGATAAACAACCCTCACGAACCCAACTGTTCTTCCTGGACCTAATCCCCTCCTCCGTATGCATCCTACCCTTCCACGATGCCAGTCTCCTAGGTCGAAAATGCCCAAAGTCCCAGAGGATATAAGTAATTCGGTCGAGCCATAATTCAACGCCTTTCAGACGCAAAAACTAAAAGAATTCTAGGAATTCTAGGTACCCCTCACTTCCGCGTCCTAACATTTCGGGTCAGGGACAGATCGGTGAACGACACCTCGGGTCAACGATACCGTTGAATATTTTTGCTTCGGAACTTGGGAAAAAGGATTTTTCGGAGAATTAGAACAAAATTTTGAACTCTTTTCGCTTCGGGAATAAATCCCGTGCTTCCAGTTAAACACATAATCAATGGATACGATTTTCTTATTTGCTCGTCGCTTACAGACACTATTTTCCTAAAAAAAATCGAAAATAAACCTCAATTCTCCAAAAAAATCCTTCTCCCCAGTGCCGAAACAAAAACATTTCAAAATTTTGTTCCAATTCTCCAAAAAGTCCTTTTTCCCAAGTCCCGAAGCAAAAACATTAAACGTTATCGTCGACCCGACCTGTCGCGACCCGAGTTGTCCCTGACCCGAAAGCCGTAGCGCTCTCACTTCCAGACTAAACCATCAATCTCTAAGATACAGGCTCTCTATCGGCCCAGTAATAAGAATTTCGTCCTAGGTTGCACACCTACAGCATCAGCACCATTCAGCCCAATTCCGATTACTTACCTTCTCCGCCCTTTTCTCCCATTTCCCCTTCCCCTTTCAAAGCAAGCAAGATAAAATAAAAATAAAACAAATAGATCAAATTAAAATCGTAGATTCTTCTTCTCGGCTGGAAAGTTGCTTGGACAGGTGTAATGTGACTTGAAGGAATCTGTAAGAAATGGAGATTAAGACTAAAAAATCAAAAATAAGTTCAACAATCTCATGAGTAATACGGAAATGCGACGATTGGATTGAATAGAATTACAATAGCCGCTTTGCCGATGCATTCCTACGGGTCTAACTATGATATGCCAAAACTAAAGACACTGCCTTACACTTAGCTACCCGTCCTTGGCCAATTGTTTTACTGCGTGACATGGCACAACTCAATGACTTGTTTTCCAAAAACTCGCTGGTGAACTATCGGAGCAATTCGTAAAATTCAAAAAACAGCTCAAAGCACTTTTCTAGTCCTCCTTTTCTAGGGTGGAAAACGGAGCCTCTGTATCGTTCTACTACTTTATGAAGCATATCATAACAATAACCGCCACTTACCTTTGAATTTTCTTGCATTGTGCGGACTAAACGATGATGATTTTGTTCTTGACGCCGCTCCACACTCAAATTTCTTCAGGCTTATACCACTTGTCATTCATATACAAACGTGGACGGGCGACCTGGAAGCAATGTTTTACTACAAATGGAAAAATTTGAAAACGGAATTTAACTATCTCATCAACAACATAAATCCCCTACAAATCTTTCATAATCAAGTCCTTTACCACTAAATCAGACAATTCATGGAGCAAAAAGCTATCAACTTTTACCCTCAAAACGACCAAATATTACACCAGAGAGCTAAAAAATGACGACAAATTTGGCAATCTACAGGGTGGTTCAGCCGAAGCGTCAATCCTTATTTCAAGTATTTCCCCGCCAATAATGCACCAATTTCTATAAAATATATACCAAATTGAAGCTGAGGTACCCCGTTCTTCGTCTACCTAGTACTTTCTGATTCAGGCAAAAACAAAAGTCGCCAAATTCGATGAATTTTTTTTTTTTTAATCGATGAAATTTTTTTTTCGCATATTTCAGCGAGGTACCAAGTCGAACAACCGTAGACAGTCTCGCTCATTTGATCAAACTTTTTTTAATTTAGATTAACTAAGCCTGTTACCCCAAAAATAACCAGAGAAATGCCTTGAAGAATAATTATGACTGTTCCGCTGCCTGCCGTCAACTTTTTCTGCTACTTATAAAAGTTTCATTTAGCGAGAGACTCGAATATTTCCCAAGTCCGAGAAACTCAATTAAAAATCATTGCAAAAATTTTCCGAGTTTCACCGATTTCGGGCTCCAAAATTTGGAAAGAAAATTTTGGGAAGGTCAGTACGGGAGCCTCCTTGAACTTGGGCCCATCATATTTGGTGGACAGAAAATGGGGTATGTCAGCTTCAATTTGATAAATTTTTTAGAAACTGGTGCATTACTGGCGGAGAAATACTTAAAATAAGGACGGAAGCTTCGGCTGGGCCACCTGTACATCTTTCAAACCCACACTAGAACGGATTTCCAGCCTATGGATCTACCAAAGGCACCCTCTATTAACGAAACTTCACTTACCACCAAACAAATTGAACTGTGAATCTTCAAACAAGCCGCCCGTTCCATGGAAGGCATGTTTCGGCAGAGTGACTTGTTCCTTGTTTCCGATCACTCCAGCTTCCTTGTCGACCATCAGGCAACCATGAAGGATGAAGGCCATTCTGAAAGAACAATGTATTAAAAAGCGAAAAACTGGAACAATATAAACCTAATGAACAATATAAAAATTTCTAAATACCGCCATTACGACATGTCTAATGGCACTAGTCATTAGTCACCATAAAATTGCTTCTACAGCCCTCAGCAGATTTTATTTCCCTCAAATACCCTAAAAAAGCAAACAAAATCAGCCTAACAGGGGAAGCATACGTGCGACGTCGGCGAAAATTTTGACAATTTTTGCCGAACTTCGGCACGAAATGTTTCATGCCTATTTCTACCACAAAGAGTAATGTTTCCACAAAAAAAAAATAATTTTTTTTCCGCGCGAAACTAGCGAAGTTACGGCCTAAAAGTGTTTTTCTGTTTGACCGCTCTCCATGTTTAGCGTGCTCTCTCGGCGGCGAAAAACGTTCAATATCTCGGGGCACCCGCAAAGCGCGAGCTAAAACTTTCAGGAATTGATATTTAGTCTATTCCCGACGTGCGTGAAAAAATATATCGTGATGACGGGCTTTTTTCACAAAACTAAACTCTTATTCACCTAAAATGCTCTCAGTATCCCTTCTAGACCTCGATTCCCTAATTTATCACTCCCAATTGGCATACCTTTCTGATCTTTCCGCGGTGGGGACCTCCAGGGCTCCATTGATTTCTCCAACTTCTCCAGGGCTCCAAGAAACGGATTCTCGATGATTTCCATGAAAATAAATAAGAGTAAAAATAGAACGAGCAGTATCTGGACTTATGACACGAAATAAAGGCCTACAATTGGGAAAAAACAACTTACTTTAATCACCAAAGCGGGCTTTGATGATTGGGTGAAGGGGAGGGAGTGGGAGGGGAAAGGGAAAGGGAAAGGAGGGTGGTGGGAGTGGTAGAAGAAGGCGAGTAATGGAAGTGGAGGGAGTGGAAGCGATGAGGCTTCTTCTTTTATTTTTTTTTCTTCCTTTATTCTTTTTTTTTTTTCTTTTTTTTACTTTTTTCATTTTTTTCTTTTTTAAAGCTATCCGTTGCGTGGGGCTTGGAGATATCTGCAAATTAAAAGAATAAATTGAAGAACCCTCAAAAAAGAATTGACAATAATCTCAAACTATCCGTTTCCCCAAGAATGTGGCGTAAATGAAGGTGATGTTTAGGTTTCTGAAAATAAAATATACCATATAGCTCGGGAAAAAACCAGGCTAAAATCAAGGGTGAAACAACAACTTACATAGTAAAAAATGGGTGGTAAACATTTGGGGTAGGGCAGTGAAATCTTGGACCAATATCTGAAAATAAAATAATCAATTGAGGAACCACCAAAAAAACAAGTGACAACAATCTCAAGAAGAATTCCCTAATATTTCCTCAACTACCAAAAAAAGCCATCAAAACTTACTTTCCATGTTGTTTCTGTCGTTGGTTTGAGTCTCGGCCATGTAGGTGCAGTCCTTGGCCGGAATTGGGACGTTGAAAGAAGGGTTGGGAAATGCGTTCCAAAGATTCACTGATTTGAGAGCTGGATTTCTGAAAAAATAGATCATTAATTTAAGAAAAATCCATGAAAAATTCGAGAATGAAATAACAACTTACATTGATACAAATGGGCGGTAAACTATAAGGGAATCTAATTTTACAAGAGAAAAATAAAAGTCATTTTAAAAAAATTATTTTTTTCTATTTTTTCTTTTTTTTATTTTTTCTTTTTTTCATTTTTTTCTTTTTTTGTATTTTTTTTAATATTTTTTTTTATTTTTCTATTTTTTTTTCTTATTTTTTTCATTTTTTTTCTTTTTTAAAGCTATCCGTTGCGTGGGGCTTGGAGATATCTGCAAATTAAAAGAATAAATTGAAGAACCCTCTAAAAGAATCGACAATAATCTCAAACCTTCCGTAATTTCCTCAACTACCAATAAAACTTACATTCTGAAGAGAGTGCGATGGGGGGAGGAGTGTCGTGCGAGTGAAATGGAGGAGGGGTGCGGTGCGAGTGGGAGTGGGAGGGAAGGATGGGTGTTGCAAATGGAACGGGGAATGTGGCGTGAGTGAAGGTGATGTTTAGGTTTCTGAAAATATATACCATATAGTTTGAGAAAAAACCAGGCTAAAATCAAGGGTGAAACAACAACTTACATAGCAAAAAATGGGTGGTAAACATTAGGGATACGGCAGTGAAATCTTGGACCAATATCTGAAAATAAAATAATCAATTGAGGAACCACCAAAAAAACAAGTAACAACAATCCGAACAGTTCCCTAATATCCTCAACCAGAGATTGCCACGGTCAAAATTTCGGCTCCGGCTCCCATGAAAAATTTAAAAAGGTCTCCGGCTCCAAATCTCGGCTACCGAGCAAAAATTTTTTTAAAAATACTTTTCCAAAAATAAAAGTTATTAGTGCCAGAGATCATACACCAAAGGTTTTTGCAGCCGAGTCGTATGCAACACACCCTTCCCAGTATTTTTCAAGCAATTTGGTTTAACAAGATCACGAAATTTTTACTTTTCTGACCGCTGGGAAGCCTGGCTCCGACTTTGGGCTCGGGAGCCGGAGCCGCACCCAAAATTTCCGGCTCCGGCTCTGACTCCCGGCTCGGAGCCGGAGCCAAGAGCCGGCTCCGAAGCCGTGGCAATCTCTGTCCTCAACTACAAAAAACCATCAAAACTTACATTCCATGTTGTCTAAATCGTTGGTTAGGGTCTCGGCCATGTAGGTGCCGTCCTGGGCCGGAATTGGGACATTGAAAGTAGGGACGGGAAATGTGTTCCAAAGATTCACTGATTCGAGAGATGGGTTTCTGAAAAAATAGATCATATAATTTAAGAAAAATGCAGGATAAATTCAAGAATGAAATAACAACTTACATTGATATAAATAGGCGGTAAACTATTAGGCGAGTAAAATTAGAAGAGAAGAAGAGAGAAGAAGGATACGGGATACTTAAAAAATTTTTTTTTTCTTTTTTTTATATTTTTTTTTCTTTTTTTCCTTTTTTTATTTTTTTTTTCTTTTTTTTATATTTTTTTTCTTTTTTTTCCTTTTTTTTATTTTTTTCTTTTTTTTATGTTACATCCGAAAAGCAGTGAAGAAATCTTGGAGCAATATCTGAAAGTACAGTGATCAATTGAAGAACCACAAAAAACAAGTGACAACAATCTGAAGAATTCCCTAATTTTCTCAACTACCAAAAAAAACCATCAAAGCTTACATTCCATGTTGTTTAAATCGTTGGTTTGGATTTCGGCCATGTAGGTGCCGTCCTGGGCCGGGAGTGACGTTGTTGAATTGGTGCAGTTTTCGAAGGATCCATTGCTTTCCGGGGTCATTTTCTGCAAATATAAATCATATAATTTGAGATTAAAGACCACGCTAAAACAAGTATAAACCGATAACTTACATGTTAAAAAATCGTGATAAATTAAATACAAATATTATAGAATAGATGAGACAAATACAATAGATACAATAGACAATAGAAATTAAATACAAATACAATAGATAAATACAATAAATGAGGGGTCAAAATTAAATACAGTAGATAAGGGGTCAAAATTAAATACAATAGATGAGGGGTCAAAATTAAATATAATACAATAGATGAGGGGGCAAAATTAAATACAATAGATGAGGGGTCAAAATTAAATATAATACAATAGATGAGGGGGCAAAATTAAATACAATAGATGAGGGGTCAAAATTAAATATAATACAATAGATGAGGGGTCAAAATTAAATACAATAGATGAGGGGTCAATTAAAAAAGCATTTTTATTTATATTTTCATTTTTTACGTTTTTTTGTTACTTTTTTTATTTTTTTTTATTTTTTTTTTGGCCTTTTCCATTTTTTTGGCTCTTTTTTTTTTTTGATTTTTTTGGCCTTTTCAATTTTTTCGGCTCTTCTATTTTTTGCCTTTTAATTATTTTTTGGCTTTTTTTCTCTGTTATCCTTTCGGTGGTGGGTATCGAGACAGGATCTCTGAAAAATAAAAAATTAACACGTAAAAACACCAGTGACAACACTATAAAAATATCTCTAAACCCCTTAACAAAGGTGGTCAGTGTTTCCTAAAACGTATCTGTCCCGGATAATCATCCGAAAGCCGGCTCACATCAACCACAAACAGAATGCCAACATTTTTGGCATTCGGTTTTTTAAGGAGTTCTGATGTTTTAGCTGACTGTGCAGTGGGTAATGCACAAAATAACATGAACCTGCGATTAAAATATTGCCAAGGCCTCATAATTTTTAAATTAGTAGATCTTGGCGCCTTTGGGCCACCGGGTTAGCGTAAAAACGCCGGAGAAAATCGAATTTTTTGCGAACTTTGCATAACTTGTCTAAAACTATTGAAACATGAAAAGCGATTGCAACGATCTTCAGAATATCGTATTCTTAGATAGCATGCAAAGTTTGAAGCAAATCGGTCTAACAATAAAAAAGTAGATTCGGTTTTAAGTTTTTTACCTTATGGATTATATTACTTTATTCAACTTTCAATGTTCGACAGCGTTAAATAGTCAAATAAATGAGCCATATTATCTCACAACATTTTGTTAATGGAGATTAACTGCAAAAATTTCAACTCCCATGCCGAACAAAAGTTTTACCTTATAGTAGCATACCTGATCTTATACCAAAAATAATAGAAGTTTAAGACTGAAGTCAAAGTTTTAAAACCATCTATGTGAATTGCGATTGCTTTCTAAGGCTACGCTGAATTTTTGGAGCTGGTTTCAACCTTGCTGCGCCGATTTCAAAAATGATCACTATCACCTAAAGCAACGTTCTCACAACAGCTTCCAAAATGGTGCGGATGTCAGTAATTATGCTCTTACTGACTTTTTAGATCAAAGTGGACCTAGCTGAGTTAAAATCTACCGATTTTTAAAATATTATTTTATTCACCTAAATATCAGTTTTTTTGGAATTTTGAGTGAGTAAGCTAGTATAGGACATAGGGTTCCTTATTGTTCTCTAAAACTACTCTAATTATGCACATAGGAAAAAGAATTTAGGTAATTGCTTCGTTACGAAACGATTTAGCAGCAAAGGTGTCTAAAATAAGGTTCTCAAATATACTATTTTTTGGTCAGTCCGGCTCGTTTCTAATTCTTTGTTTGAGCTACCCTTGGGCATCCTAACAAAGTGTTGCAAACAGTTTTCCCGATTTGAAACTTTTTTTTGTGGTTGATGTGCGTTGTAAGTTTAGGCTTCAAACAGATAGAAGACGACCGATTTTTTCCTATGAAACATATATGGCGAGGTTAAGCAGGAGTCCAGCTTCAAATTTATGTATGCAATAAACCCATTCTACACCATCTTCCGTGTGTAATCAGGTTACCTTTGGAGCAAAAACTTATCTTTCAACTAAAACAGAATGCCAAGAATTTCCCATTGCTTGAGCGCTTTTGTTCTAGGTTTTCTTGACGTGCAGCTACTATAACATCCCGAAACTAAACCCCGTGATCAAAAAAAACGTAAAACATTGGCTGATGGAACTTACTGCTTCCATTTTTCCTTTCAAATAGCCATAGAACGATTCAAGAGTCGGATTAGCAGTTGGGCCCACTGGGCCACCTTCGTCCAGGAAAATTCGGCGTACATTTCTCGTGGTGGGTGTTCTAAACAAGATCTTAACAGTAATGAGGACAAACTTAAAAATATATATTTGATCTTCAAAAAATATCTAATTTCTACCATAAAAAGCCATAAAATCTCTCAGCATAACGTCAATCACGACCTATATTCTCCATTCAGCCGTTCTTCCAAAATACCACCTAAAATAAGCTTACCTTTCGGCCATTTTCCAATTAATCAACGACCATCCAGTGCACAATCGATCAGCCAATTTTCTCATCGTTGGAATCGTCAGCTCATTGACAATTCCAGACTGTCCCACCAAGGCTTGAGCCACCGTAATGTAATGCCCTTCAGCTCTCACCAAAGTCGTCCGCAACAAATTGTCGAGCCCATACTTTGAGGCTAAAGTAAGGTGATCTCTCATGATATTTGTGGAGATTGGGGGCTGCATGACAATCGCCTAAACTCCAAACAATTCAATAAACAACAACAACAACTTACTGCTTCCATTTTACCCTTCAAGTAGACCAATTCATTGTCGTGGGCGAAGATCAACATTGGCCGGATACAAGCCTCACAAATCGGCTTGTTGTAATAAACAAAGTCAACGAACTCATTGAGGAAGTGACGAAGATCAATATGGAGGTTGTTTAGGTACTCACGAGTCTCCACGGTGAAGATTGGGTAATATTCTGAAAGTATCAAAGATAAATTATATTACACATGACATAAGATCAATAATTTTAACCGAAAACAACAAAACTGATTCATAAAAGCTCCGAACATGTTGTTATACAGCCCGCTCCTCCTGCAACAAACCAAAGCTATGCAACGTTGCATTTTTCGTCTAGAGAGGAAGACTTGACCAAGATGAGTCAACTCTTTCCCCATCCAAGAAAATTCTCCGTAATTAGGAGAAAAGTTTTGAAATTTCTGACGAGGAAAGCACGCCAAATTACTTTCTATTGCAAAACGTCAAAAAAAATGGTTCGAGTCAAGTCTTCCCCCGGTCATTTTTATCAAGTGTTCCCCTCTGCAGAAATACCGTAATAAAACCGCAGAACAAGCTTCTGTAAATGCATAAATAAACAAAGTATGCAGAAATAAAGCAGACAAATTAGAAATTACACAAACGAGACAGATAAATGTTTGCTTTGGCATAATTTGGGGCTTTGTTTCAAACCTTGGACAAAAGTAAGTCAATTTGGATGATCTGTAACTTTTCTTATGGAACGAAAGCTCAGGTTTTCTCCTTATAGGATTATAGGATATTGCTTCAGCTTTCAATAGGTACCTCATTTTTAGCTATTGCATCATCTTACCTTGAGTTCATTCTCAAAAACTGAAATTTATGACTTTTGAATTTAGATGAAATTGACTGGTTTTACACAATCACCCTCCGCTGCAACTTCGACATCGCTGTATTCCAGAGAGGACAAGAAACGAAGACAACAGGAATAGAGTCAGCTCATGCACGAGATAAAAAAACTCAAAAATCACGATATTACACTACCACAAGGTGATCAAAATCGTGATATTCGTCAGAATTGGTAGGTTTTTTGCCTTAGATCCTGTTGATTTTAAGATATATTATACTTTAAAGAGTAGGCTTTCATAATCCGTCAAAATTTTTGAAATCGGAACATTAAATTTTGAGAAACTTCTAATTTATTTTTTTGCCCGGCAGGGATTTTTTACTGGAAAAATTGCTTTTTATTCATGTTATAGTTTTAGAACGTGGTTGGATACATCAGCAACACAACTGCGAGTAGATTATTGCAATCCCAAACACAAGACCACAGGCTTAGCCAGAAAGATAACGAAGAAATTTCGGATATTACAGTATCTCAGAATGACGAAAAGTTTGATGTTTAGTTGGAATTGGTAGTTTTTTTGCCTTAGATCTTCTTCATTTTAGGATATATTATACTTTGAAGTATGGGCTTTCATAATCCGTTAAAATTTTCGAAATCGGAACATTAAATTTTGAGAAAATTTCGATTTAATTTTGTGCCCAGCGGGGATTTTTTTGGAAAAATTCAATTTTAGTTCGCTTTATGGTTTCAGAATGTGCTCGGAGACGTCAGCAACAGAAATTTTAACTACAGGCACCGACGGCGAGAAGAACTGGCAGCCACCGCCAGAGCCTCAGGGAAAAAATCCAAGAAATTACAAAGGAAAACCTGAAAAGCCTATTCACCTTTGAATTGATTCCAACCGACGATGAAGAAGATATTAATGTTGTATCTTAACACATCAGTTGTTCTTCTGCTTTTATTTCGTTGTTAATTTTACGCTTTTTGGAAATGAGTGGGTTTTAATAAGCATCGTATACAATGGTTGCCGAAATATTTGTAAGGATGGGCGCAGCTCGCAAAACCATTTTTTGACGGCAATAATTTGGCGTGAGGAAAGTACTTCTACGGGGTGTGGAGTTACAGGTCGAGTCATAGATGAAAAAAAAACGTAAAATTTTTCTGATTCAGAATATGTAAATGTTAGCTGCCTGATTTTGGACTGTAGGGTGAAAAAATCCTCAGAACTTTTATCGCAGCACCACACAAATGCCGCTTTTTTATATTGGAACTACTAATTAAGGTGTAGTATTAATCAAATTTGATATTTTAAGGCTTGTCAAGATGCCAAGGTTCACTTTAGCTCAAAACAAAGCTTTTGATTTGGTAAAAACTTTGTCAAAAAGGCATTTGCGTGGTTTTGCGAGAAAACTTCTGAGGATTTTTTCACCTTTACAAACCAAAATCGGTAGTTAACTTTTACATATTCTGAATCAGAAAAATTTTGCGATTTTTTTGATATATGACTCGACCTGTAACTCGATAGCCTATTGAAGTACTTTCCTTGTCAAAAATTTTGTATTATCCATGGTAAAACTTACCTCGGGATGGGTTCCGAGGGCTTTGGCCAGCTGAAGAGGTTGTGTTTTCGGGCGTAGGGGCAGGCCGGGGCAATAATCTCGTCGTAGACATCCGCTAGGAACAACTGACTGGGAACATTTTTGAATCTTAGGTACAAATATAAATCGCTGGGCTTGTTCAGGGGGCTGGCTGAAAATAAAATGATCAATAAAATTATTTTACTTTAGACTAAAGTCAAGCAGTTCCGAAAACAAAAAAATCTTACTTCATTTGGTCCTGCCGAGCACCCGTTATTTTCCACAAGGCCCTCCGGATCAAGTGGAGGGCCAGGGTGCCGGTCGACCAAGGTTCGGTCAAAGACGTACTGGGGCCGGAACAAAAGGTGAGCACCCATTTTTATCTTCCAACGGCCCCCCGGGCTCATTCGGGGGGCTAGGGTGCTCCACCTTAGTTTCTTGTTCCTTCATGGACTTGTTTGGCATTGGCTGAAAATAAAATTATATTACTTTAGATTAAATCAAGGTCAAGCAGTTCCCAAAACAAAAAAAATCTTACCTCATTTGGTCCTGCCGAGCACCCGTTATTTTCCACAAGGCCCTCCGGCTCAAGTGGAGGGCCAGGGTGCTCCGGTCGACCAAAACGTCCACGCCAGTGACCGGGAACAAAAGGTGAGCACCCATTTTCGATATTCCAACGGCCCCCCGGGCTCATTCGGGGGGCCAGGGTGCTCCACCTTAGTGTCCTGTTCCTTCATGGACTTCTTTGGCACTGGCTGAAAATTCGGTCGAACTAAGGTTTGGGGCAAGCATTTTTATCGACCCGTGATCTCGTTGTTGCTTCTCGAGGTTGAACTGGACAAATTGCTAAAAAATTAGGATTATTGGAGGGACGCCGCCAAAAGCTTACGTGATTAGGCATGAGTGACTGCGCGATTGCGCCGTGTTGAGTTTTTGACCACTCAGTATGGATTTACTACTCTTCGACCTGAAAAAATCTTGATGTTATAAGATTGGGATAGTAAATATAGAGTTTGAAAAAATGATAATTTTTAAAGGGTTTTTTTGGGTAAAAATGGTAAAGATATCGAAAAAATTGACTTACGAGGCAGCCTGGGCTCTTGTGAAGTCCGATACGATCGGCTTGACATGTCCACGATGAGCCGTGAAGGAGGTTTTCGTTCTCTTCGTGGGCGTCTTCGTGGCGTGTGTTCGTCTGGGCAATTATCCTCTTCTTGAAGCACTGGGCCAAGTCCTTGAAGTTCCCTCGACCTTCGCGGGGGCCGAGGACGTTGAGGGTCGGCTGAGGGCTGATAACAACAGCGCCTTTTGCACTTCGCCATTCTTCGCAAAGGCCCAGGAGCTTCGTGTTTTTGTTCTTGGACCTCATATCCCTGATCTGCGGGTGGCGGGGGGTGTTGGGTCGCTGGAGGCTGGGTGACGTCGATCCTTAGGATCTCTGCTGTTGTCGGCGTTATTGACCACCCTGTCCTCAGCGTCATCAGCGGGCTTCTGGATCTCGATCTTTCGGCCCTTGGCGGCCGGTCATCGGCGACGGCTGTCCGAAGGTGTTCCAGAAGGCGGGCTTGTAATTCGGCTACTTCTTTCTCTGCCGCTTCCTTCAGTGCTCTTTCTTCTTCGGCCTTTTTTGTGGCGGCGGAGGCTGCTTCTTTGGCCTTCTTGGCCTCAACTTCCGCCTCTACCAGGGCTTCTTGGTAGAACTTGACCTTCTTCTCGAACGTCTCTTGTCGTTCCCAAAGTGTGCGGCATTGGGTCTTCCAGAAGTCTCTTTGAAATCGGAGGCGGTCGTTTTGATCCGCTAATGTTTCCTCGCAGGCTGCTCCCTCATCGAAGACTTCAAGTGACCTGATGGAGGGGACGTCATGCAGCGTGGAGTGCTCTTCACTCGTACTGGAGCTGCAGTTCGAGAAGCTCGAGAAGTCCAGCATGTCCATTGATCCTACCGAGCCCTCAACCGCCGGCAGGTGCTCGGCCTGAACGGTTGGGGCCGGTTCTGGGCCGAAGCCCGAGAGGCCAGTGGTTGAGGTTGGCCCCTCTTTACCCTCCTCTGGGACGCCGGTTGGGTGCTGGCCAACCAGAGAAGGGGCCATTACCGCCGGCAAGACTTCAGCCTGAACGGAATGGGCTTGGCGCTCGGATGGAGGGCTCGAGCGTGGCCCGGAGGCCTGGCCGACGTTGTTTGGAGACACTGAAATCACCAAAATTAGACGAAAATTCAAAAAATATGGTTAAAGCTGCTAACTCCATCGCTAAGGGCCCTAACATAGCCTATTCTGTCTATTTTCCCTATTTAATTTTTTGCTTTTAGGTGCAGATCCTGATGCTGGAGATCCTAATTTGGATTCTGAAGGCCACGGTGACCGAAAATTCCATAATTCACTCAAAGCCCTGTGAAGAATTGTCCATTTGTCCAGAAAACAGTCCAATGATGTTGAAATTCCATCCAGATTGAAGTGCAGCGACGAAAACCGTATTAACCACAAGAAAAACAAGCTGATTTTTTATGTTGATGGCGACCGGAAGGCGTATTTTAAAGTGGTGATCAGGAAATCGACAGCACAGCAGCTCGAAAGCTGTATAGAACACTGAATGACCCGAAGATCGGATCAAACGACAACGTGGAACAGGGAGATCCTTCAAAAGGACTCCAGAAGATGAGATGGAATCAAATTAAACGTGGTGGATGATGATTGGTCTTCGATTGGTGAAGATCAGGTGCGGGTGGACAAGTTCTGGGTGATTTGGGGCCATTTCGACGTGGAAATCATGGAAAACGGGTGCTGGATTGGATTCATGGAGATGAAATGGGCGGATTGGTATGTGGATGTTCAAATTGAGCTAAAATAATGTAGGTTCAATCATCGGATGGCGAAAAAGTGTAAAAAATTCCGTAATTTATGTTTTATCCTTGTTTCCTCCGTCCTCTAAATGCTTCATTTCAGATATTCGTTGATTCTTCGATCACTTCCAAGGCGATATTGATGTCATGGATAGGCCAAAGAAAGCATTGCTGAAGATCATTATTCCAAAAATAGTGGCGAACGTTCAAAATTTCGATGGGTCTTGATGTAAAAAACGAATTTGATGGTGAAGATGTTGATGAAATGGAATTTCAATATGCCTTTATTTCCACTACGAGCATTTGGGCCGTTTGAAGGTGGTAATTTCAAGGAATCCATGGAAATGGCACGGAGTTTTGATGTTAGTCAAGCCTGTAAGTCAATTTGATGGCTTTTTGATGTTTAGACTGAGCGAAGATTATGAAAACGATGTTTTACTCGATGTTTAGAGTCTCTGAAACAGTCCACGCGACACGAAACCGTAAATTCGACGAGCCGGAACGACGAGAAATCACGTCCACCAGGAGAACAGCACTCAGAACACAGCAAGAGGTCTTTCAACAAGATTCTGACAAGAAAAACGAGGACAGATAACAAGAACACCATCAATAACGTCACTCCACGGACGAGACGAGCTCCCCATCCCTTGAAATTACTCTACAATAACCCTAATCCTAAGTGATGATCGTAGATATGGTCCATTTGACGTTGGTCTTCAGCAATCAGCCCATTGGTTGAATGGGTCCAATGTGGAAGGTACAGGCGGTTCATCGTGTCATCAGGTGGTGTCTCACAGCGAAAACCCCGTTAAAACTAACAAGAAGGTCAATTTACGTGGGCAGTATAAAATGATGTAAGTATTTATGGTTATATTTAGCATAATACAATTAGAATTTTTATGGGGATATCCAATTGTAATGTTCGATGTTTTAGGGCGCCAACGGACTTGGAAATGGACTCATGACAAGGAGCGACCCATCGAGTTCTGAATCATCTTGGAATGCCTGGATGAAACTGAAAGGCGAAGAAAGGAAAAAAAAAAATTTTACCTGGTCCACGAATCAGATTGCAGATGAAGTTGGATGGCAATTGAAGTAAAACAAAAAGGTAAGGCACTGTTGGCCATGAAAATGAATAGTTTAGCCTTTTTTTGGGTTTTTGGGAACCGATCAGTGATGCATGGAAGGCCACCAATCGACTTCATCAGTTTTGGAAAGGCGTAAGCCCTATCAAGATGGGTATATCAATCCGGAAGACTGCGGGCTGGGGATTGGTCGTTAGAAAGCAAAATTTTGGTAAAGGGTTGTCGTAACATTTGGAATTTCAAACGTTTCGAAATTTATATCAAAAGCAAGCTCAGAATTTAAGCTAACATTGCTTTGACTTTATTGCCTAAAGGTGTGTCAAAAAAGAAAGCATTTTTTCCAAAATTTTTTCACAAAAATGAAATCCACAATTTGAATTTTTTGAAATTTACTGAGGCCGGCCTTTGTGTTTAGAAAATTTTTCAGTATTTCGTCTAAAATACGGCGCTCGATCTCTCGGGGTTCTAAAAATTGTAAAACTCAAAGAATACTGGCTTAAATTTGCCCGTATTTTACCGTACTAAAATAGATTCCGGCGGGATACCACCAGCCAAAATTGCGAATTTTTATGTAATATTTGGCCTGGATATTACACTTCACGATTCAATAGTGTATTTTTAAGGCCTTTTTATTGCCATTTGTTGGCGGGATTTACGGTAGAAACCCACCAGCCAAAAATGAAATTTGTTATTTTGCGGGTCACAAATTAAATGTAAGGTAATTTCGAGTTGCAACTAATTATAAGGTCTTTCAAAATGAGCTCCAAATCAATTTTTTGAGCTCTTTTTTTAGTTTTTTAGCTCAAAATTATATTGTACTAGACGAGTGAAGTATTGATATTTTTGTTATATTTTTCCCCTAAGCTTAAGTTAGTCATCTCAACCCAAGTTAAAGTCTATTACCGTATTCAAAGCCAGATTTGTCATCAAAAGATCCAGAATTTTCTGGCATTTTGATGACAAATCCAACTCTCAAAATCCTCAAATAAACCCCAAAAAAACCCCAAAAAATCCAAATTGACTTACCCGTCGGCCGTTCCCCGACGCCAACCACCGGGACGGCAGCGGTGGAAGGCGAAGGGGCCATCGTCGTGGAGACGGAGTCGCTGGTAGCGTTGGAGCTCATCGTTGCGATCGGATGGGGCGCGATATACCAGGATTGAAAAATCTACCGGTGAATGAGAGAATTGCCAACGAAGTTTTGGTGAATTTCGATTATGCAAATATCGAATTTTGATGCAAATTCGTGGGAAAACTGACGTTTTTTTCAGATTTTCATTCAAATTTTTGCAATTTTTGGAACGTTTTTTGCAACGTGGCGAAATTTCGGACATTTTTGTGGAATTTTGAAGGCTTCAGGACGGGTTTGGACAGGGGTTTTTGACTGTATGACATACTTTTGGTGAGGTTTTGACAAATTTTATTCGATTTCTTTAGCTTTTGATGTATTTTTTTGAATTTATTTATTTAATTTTAGATGGTTCTATGGCTAATCTGATACCGAACTCTCCTAAGCCTTCAGCCTCGGATGAACGGCCACAGATTGCTACCGATGGTCGAAGTCGCCAGGGAGGCAAATTATAGCTGATGGGCAAAATGGAAGAGGTAAGTTGTATGTTGAGCTTTTTGGATTGTTCGAAATTTAGGGAATTGCATCGGAGCCCACGTCAACGCAAATGCCATGAAAGGCATGTGATGGTTGGAGCCTAGCGGAACTAGAATCGGCAATGCTTCAGTCCCAGCGGAAGATACAACGCTGAGAAAATTGATTGCTACCGATTGTCGAAGTCGCCAGAGAGGCAAATTATAGCTGATGGGCAAAATGGAAGAAGTAAGTTGTGTTTTGTTTTCGGATTGTTCGGAATTTAGGCTGTTGCACCGGAGTTCCCCGCCCACTTGAATGAGAGGCATGTGGTGGCAGAAGCCTTGTTGGGAGGAACCAGAATCAGCGATACTTTGATCCCAGCGGACGATTTCAATGATGAGAAAATTGGCAGATTGACGGTTAACTGGAATTGGAAACTGACTCGAAGGTAGGCCTGTTTTAGAAGATTGGTGCTGATTTAAAGGTATGTGTGGCAATTGGCGTTATGCTGAGAATTTTTCTGACATTTTCGGGATAAATTTTAATTTCTCTGAAGATTTACTGTACGTGGAACCTATGTTAAGGGAAGTCTATAGTATAGAGAGGGCGTTTTTTCTTCTATTATAGAATTTATTATAGAGCCTTGTCTTGGAGTATTTTGATTATTTTAACGTTCCAACGTTTTCATGATTATTATAAGTCTCATTTAGGCCTCCTACGACGAGAAATCATTGTCAGACTGCATTTGAAAGATCAGCGCTCTCCACAATTCCAGCGAGTGTCCAATCGAGACTCCGGATGTGGGGACGATAAATCGATGATGTTGTAGCAGGCACAAGTAGATGACTCCCGACCCCGATCACTGCGGGTAAAGCCCTTTACTTTGGTCTTCAAAGTGTGTCAACTCAGCCAGAACACCCGATGTTATCGAAAGGCTTGTATTTTTGTTGTGTTTATACTATAAATGATAACAATACGGTACTTTCTATGTATTGTTTATGATTTTTGTCGATTTATTAGATTAGAAAAGACTTATCTTACTCCAGACCAGATGTAACTGACATGAGTCAGCATTCGAAGAACCCTACTACTTTTTCCTCTGGCACTGGCAGAAGCTCTTTTAAAAAGTGGGGATGCATGCGGTTTTGACCGAAGAAAGAAAACAATTTCCACATCAGGTGTAAATTCCATAGTCTTTTGAATGATGCAGTGGAGAACTTCACAAAAAAATAAGATCATTATTTACTACATTTTTCATAAAACAATATAATCTTGTCGTCTAGTCCAATATGCGTCTGTTTGTATCCCCTGTAGTCTGAGAATGGTCCATTTGAATACAAATCCCCCTTCTTGGCCCCTACAAACATTGGCTGCAGTTCCAAAGTCGCCTTCTTCGACTTTCACTCCAAGGGAGGGCTAAAAAATCTGGTAATGGGAGATGTCGGATGGTGTAACAAGAGTTACACCATCGGAAAGAGCACCAGATAATACGATTACTCTATGCACAATTTATTCGCAATAATATCCAATTTTATATCCAAAACTCTTGATTTTCAGATTGGATCCCCATAAGCATCGTCCGAATTGAGGCCATAGAACGATTCAAGGGTCGGATTAGCAGTTGGGACCACTGGGCCACCTTCGTCTAGGAAAATTCGGCGTACATTTCTCGTGGTGGGTGTTCTAAACGAGATCTTAATAGTTATGAGGACAAACTTAAAAAAAAATACAATTGACCTTTAAAAAATATGTAATTACTACCGTAAAAAGCCATAAAATCCCTCAGCATAACGTCAATCACGACCTATGTTCTCTATTCAGCCGTATTCTTCCAAAATACCACCTAAAATAAACTTACCTTTCGGCCATTTTCCAATTAATCAACGACCATCCAGTGCACAATCGATCAGCCAATTTTCTCATCGTTGGAATCGTCAGCTCATTGACAATTCCAGACTGTCCCACCAAGGCTTGAGCCACCGTAATGTAATGCCCTTCAGCTCTGACCAAAGTCGTCCGCAACAAATTGTCGAGCCCATACTTTGAGGCTAAAGTAAGGTGCTCTCTCATGATATTTGTGGAGATTGGGGGCTGCATGGCAATCGCCTAAACTCCAAACAATTCAATAAACACCAACAACAACTTACTGCTTCCATTTTACCCTTCAAGTAGACCAATTCATTGTCGTGGGCGAAGATCAACATTGGCCGGATACAAGCCTCACAAATCGGCTTGTTGTAATAAACAAAGTCAACGAACTCATTGAGGAAGTGACGAAGATCAATATGGAGGTTGTTTAGGTACTCACGAGTCTCCACGGTGAAGATTGGGTAATATTCTGAAAGTATCAAAGATAAATTATATTATACATGACAGAAGATAAATAATATTAATCGAAAACAACAAAACTGATTCATAAAAGCTCCCAACATGTTGTTATACAGCCCGCTCCTCCTGCAACAAACTCAATCTATGCAACATTGCGTGTTTCGTCTAGAGAGGAAGACTTGACCAAGATGAGTCAACTCTTTCCCCGTCCAAGACAGTTCGCCGTATTGTCAAGATGAATGCAGTCAGCTATCCGAACGGCTCAAATTCAATTACCTTTTCTATCAGCCGAAGCGCTGACGCCGAATCTAGACATATTATGGGCTTGGAGGACTCCGCGATGGGCAAAAACTGTAACACCACTGTAGACCAGACGAACTACTGATGGGTCGGTGTCATCCTTGGGTCTGAAATAAAGTGAACAGCTCATAACTCATTCAATTATCTTTGGAATGACAGTAAGTATATTTACGAGAAAATTTTTAACATTTTCCGAATGTTATGTTATCCGTGGTGAAACTTACCTTGGGATGAGTTCCGAGGGCTTTGGCCAGCTGAAGAACTTGTGTTTTCGGGCGTAGAGGCAGGCCGGGGCAATAATCTCGTCGTAGACATCCGCCGGGAACAACTGATTAGGTTCGCTGACTTGGCCAATCAGCTTGGCCCATTCTCCGTTTTTAACGGCGTCAAAAACAAGACGAGGGATGACCACATCGCCAATTCCCAGCATCAGAGCTTCTTCAATCTTTTCCAGAAGGGTCGGTTTGTGGGACTGGAGATAAAACATTGTTATAGTGGCATTAAAATTGAAAAGTAAATATTACTATAACTATAGTAATACTCAAAAATTAAAATCTCAATTAAGACCTTCAAATCTCACCGAAATATGCTTGATGAACCACTCTCCAATTTTGAACATGACCGCAGGGCATTGGAACTTCCAGGCGGCGCGGCAAAGCGTTCGAAATCTCGGATAAATGGGGCGAGAATTGGGATACAGGTAAACCAACAACTCCGTGACCATACCGCGGTCTTCTGGAGCCAGCTGGATGACTGGGTGACCATATACGTCCAACAGCTGAGGGCGCTTGATCATTCTTCCAAGCACATGAGAATGCAGTTGGAGAAGGTTGCCGTAGGTATAGAAATCATCGGAACCGTCGTTGAACGTGATTGTAACATCCGTGTCTTTGAAGTACGATGGGCTGACCTTCTCGAAGGACTGGAAGCACACACGTTGCGCAACAATTGCAGCTTATTTTGAGAGAATTTTGGTCTGTGAGGAACACTTGACTCAGTTTGGGTCAAGTCTTCCTCTTTACCCAGAAATGGCTTCAAGCCTCAAAGAACGGGGTGAAAATGTTCTCACATCGGTTCTGAGAGGTAACTGTATCCATCGGCATGGTTTATATTGCTCATAACAACCATTTTACAGTATTTTCATCTAATGTAATATACGTTCAACTCACATATTCAATCAATCTCATATCCACCTTGAGCCCTTTCACGTCTCCCTTGGAGTGATCTAGCTGCAAAAAAATCGGCGGGTCATACTTCCCCAGACCAAAGACATCTCCATCCACCACATTGAACTTTTGAGTTCCATCGCTGGCCGAGATTCGGACTTGCGCCACGACTTTCCATTCCATGTATGGGGTTGGATGGTCGGTTCGAACCTCAAGAACGTTTGTCGAGTCGGTCCTGAAACATTTTACAATGCCTTGGATAACTTTTGAAACACTCTTTACTTGAATTTCAGATACAAATCCTTGAAGAAGAAGCTGAACCCGTTTTCCGTCGCCGAATTCTCGTCATAGAACAACTTCTGGCCATCGCAATAGACGGCAATTGCAAGTTCTGGAGCCAATTGAGCCTCGATCTGGTCCTCATCCACCTGTGCCATCACTTTTTCCCCCAATTTGTCCTGATTCTCTAGCACAATATTCATCTCTGGGTCGGACATTCCAGTCCGAAGGGCGGCATTGGACATGGAGAGATTCTCCACGAACTCCGCAAAGTCATCAGGGCATGTTGTGCAGGACTAAAAACAGGGATTTCTTGGATTTTTTGGCAAGAAAGTGTATATGTAAAAGCGATGACAATTAAAATTTTAGCATGTTTCGGTCAAAAAATGTTTCTAAACGATAGCGTAGGCCGCCTTACCAACTGATCGAGCGCGCTGTAGATCTCTCCAGTCGAGTTTTCATCGTCCATCATCATGGTGTCGGCGGAGAAAACGACCGAAATAGAGATGATCCCACTAGATAAATGACCCAATTGGAGCCAACCGATGGGAAGAAGAGACAAATTTGAATTTGAAAAAAAGATGAAAAAGCACAATTCGAGCCTCAAAGAAGGGCCCGAAATGGCTTTTAAAAATGTTCTCACATCGATTTTAGAGGTAACTGTACCCATCAGCGTGGTTTATATTGCTCGTAACAACCATTCTACAGTAATTTTTATCTAATGTAATATACGTTCAACTCACATATTCAATCAATCTCATATCCACCTTGAGCCGTATTTTATGGCAAATTATTAAATTTCCTCCTAAAAATTCACGTTTTTCAACCATGACCATATTTCTGGACTAAACATGGCTTAGCGATCTCAACCTGTAGACCTCCACAACTTGCCTCGCATCAATTTCTACCACAAATTCAGCCCTTTCATCTTCATTTGAGGCCAAAGCAAAAGCGTTTCCCTCTTGAAAAAGGGCTGTTTCGAGTGGCGGTGCGGGAGGTATTTGGCTGTATTCGAAATGCTTCCTAGATCCCGACTTTTGGGGTAGGCGACAGTTCGGGTCAATAAAAAATCGATCGATGCGGGGCGCATTGCAGGTGGATGCCCAAAAAAAGTTAGTAGGAGGTGCCTACGTGGTTTGGAAAGGCCGTTGGATGATCGGCGGAAGCTCGGCGGAGACTTGGCGGAGACTTGCAATAAGTCCACTTTTTCTAGTTTTAGCCTTTACTAACGTTAATTTTCTTTACCCTGGGTTATTGTACATATAAAAGGCCAAAATGTGAGGCAAGGAACGAAGATCCGTAACTCTTATCTAGATATTATTGACGTGGGCACAATACCTCACAGTAGGTGATAAGCCATCCTAGGAGCCATCATTCTTATTATTTCTACCAATTAAGTCTTCTCCTAGCCTCTCCCATGCATACAACGACGAATCTACGTGATCCATACAGTGGGGGACCTGATTCAGTGGCAAAAAACGTACCTTTTTGCATCCGGGAAGTATCAAAAATGTGGCAAAATGCTTCCCTCTCCAAGTGAAAAAACTTCGTTTTGAAAGGCGCGCCCTTTTTTCCTCACAAAAAGAACGGGCGCGGTTTTGAAATCGGAGTTTTTTCACTTGGAGAGGGAGGTATTTGGACACATTTTTTGATACTTCCTGGATGCAAAATGGTACATTCTTTGCCATGATCAGGTCCCCCCACTGTAGTATCGTTGACCCGAACTGTCGCTGAGACAGAAAGTCGTAGTGCCGTGAGAAGTTATTTCGGCCACTGTATCCTTCCCTCAATGCTGGTAGAAAATTTGTCATTTCAGGAAACTTTGACATAAAAAACCTTTGTTTACGCAAAAGCCGTTAAAAATCTCGTCAATTTCTTGACGAAATTTGGTCCAAGTTCTTCGCCAAATTTCGCCAAAACCCGAGGGTCTTGTTCAGGAATTCCGCCTCAAATCCTGACCTTATTTTCATTCTTTTTTTTCTTCAAGCTTTTGCAACAAAAAAGTGTTGACAATTCACAATTACTGCATCACTTGTCGAACGTTCCCTCCAATTTTATTGCAATTCGTTTCCGCTTTTTGTCATGTGTTCTCATGCATTTGACGGCCCGAAACGCGGCCCTAATGAGGTCGCGTGAATAGTTTTGGAAACAAATACGCCCCAAAAAAGGCCTCTTGAGTATGAATAAGGGGGGCAAAGTCCAGAGGAAATTAGATTCAGGCCGGCTCGCACATAAATTTGCATAATTAAGTGGAGAAGAGAATACAAAACGAGAGTATTAATTAACAATACTCCGAATGGAGGGTTTAGAAAGCAAAAAACGCAATAAGGAAGTAGTTTGTGAACAAAAAAGTTGAAAATTGTCGTTGGTGTTGCTTTTTTTGTAAGAAAATTTAAAGTAAAGATGATGAAAATCCAAAAAAACGATGGAAAATTTAACTGTCTGTATGGAAGCTCATTAAAATTTCATACCGCGTCAAATTGATCAGAGAATGTCCGTAAAGTCATCATTTTAAATTTCAGCTGTCAAGAAGTTAAAACTTTTCGTTGCTTTCTTAAATTGAGAATTAGGAATCTCGGATGTCTTGGAAAATCCTAGGCCAAAGTTGGGCCAAGTTTCATCTAAACTGGCGAGTGAAAACTTGAATTGTTTTTTGTCATCTTTTTAGTAATTATTGATCAAAAATCGGTAAAATAAATCTTATAATCCGTTTTTATTGATAGCTTCGATCGCATACTGTCGTATAGCATCAATTTTCTATATCAAATTCTAGTTTTTGGCCTGTTTCATCAACTTTTTATATTATCCATGACGATTCCCCTTACAAGGTCCAAAGTTTCTTCCAATTCCTTTTTTCAAGTTAAAACAACCCTTCATTTCCATCTCCAATGTATCTCATATTACTTTGTCTTGTGATTGGATTAATTAGGGCCCATTTCCCCCCTTCATTTCGGGCCTGTGTTCGCTCCGAGAACGGTGACGCCATTGGGATATCGATTGAGGGCCGAGTGCATTTTTAATGCCTGAGGGGAAATCCTGCGCTCTCGCAGGCCGGCAGGGTCTTTTTAGGCCCTCGGGTACTTGTTTGCGTCGATTGAAAAGACTGGAAAAATGCAAAATTATCCATGACCGTCTCCTCAATTCCAAGAATGTCTCGTGGAAAAGGGGCGGTGTCAATTTCTGGCTTATGTTTTTACAAGTTCGAGGGCTTAAAAGGTAGCTACAAAAGGGCATTGGCTCAAAATGAGCGGTAACACAAATAATATAACGCCCAGACAGCTAATTCCACCTAAAAATACGGTAATTTAGGGTGAACTTGGAAAACCTTCCGTATTTTTGACAAAAAACTGTCCAAAAATTGCAAAGTACAATCAAGACAGATTAGAAATTGAGAAGCATCACTGTCCATATTCAATCTTTCGGTAGTAAAATTACTTTTCGAAAAAATTCTTTTAGTTTAAAAAGTTTCTGGTTCAAATTACACATATGATGACTAAAGAAGATTGACCTCCACTCTCGCCTTTTCTTGAGCCTTCAGATTCCGCTCCCACCACACTATTTTTGTACTCTTGCCCTCCGGCAATAAATATTGTATTCTGTTTGCGTTCGGGGGTTTTCATCTGGGTTCTCTGTATCTTACACTCTTTTTGAGTCTCAAACGTTTTCCTCTGGCATTCTCTCGCTTTTGTGTTGTCTCTGAATTTCTCAGCACATCTGTTCTCACCATTTATCTGAAATTCTCTCCTTTCTCTCTAATTTTTTCCCTAGCCACCCTCTCTGTTCTCCACACTCTTTTATCTCCCCACTTCCGGTCCCCCATTTCCCTGACCACTCTCTTTTATCCCATTCTCTCTACTCCTCCCCTATTTTTCCTCGTTTTTCTCTGACCCCCCTCCAAATCCCGCACGCTCTCTCTTCAGATTCGCCTTTTTCGGCCTCCCCCTCTCGCTCGCGCTCACGCCAACCGGCCCCAAGGCCGTTTATTCGAAGAAACGGCCCAACTCAGCGTGCCGTCCCCCTCCTCATTGAACATGGCACGTCACAGGTTGGTGTTGTTGTTCGTGTCGCTGCGGGTCGCTTGCGACGCCGACTTGTTCTACGGCCCCGAGGAGTTCCCCGAAGCCGCCGTGGAGGCGGAATTGCCGTTGGGCTTTGGTTACGGCCTTCCCGAAGAGGCGCTACAACAGGTGGAGCAGAATGTTGTTGAAGTAGGTTGTCAAAAAATGGGTTGAACAAGAATTTTCAAAATCTTTTTTTTTCTAAAAAATTTTATAAATTCTCAATTTTTCTCTCGGTATCACAAGCCAATTTCCCCTTTGCCAAAATTCGTCATTCCTAGACGTTTTCCGACAAAAAGAGAATCAAATTTTCGAAAACTCCCAAATAATTTCGCAAAAATATGTCATCATGACAATCTTTGGGCTAAAAAGGAAGTGTGAAATTCAACCCCTAGGCGATTGCATTATATTTTCTAAAAAAATTTTGGACTTAAAGTATGACGTCATGTCTTTTTGTTTTCCGCTTTAAAAATGTTTTTTAGATTTTTCGAAGCAATCCAAATTTTCTCCAAAAAATGGCTTGTATACGGAACGTATTTTCAATGATATTCTAGAACAGAAATATCCAAAACTTAATTTATTTTGCCGCATTTTGTCCCAATCCATCAGAAATTCAACAAATATTTTTAGTTTTGCCCTTGAATAATGAAAAACGTGATGAAAATTTAAAATTTCTTAATTATTATGCCTTTTTCATTGTCCGTAGATTACATTTACGCTCCAAAAGACCGCAAAAAGGTCTTGCTTATATATCTTTTTACTGAGAAATCTTCAGAAGTACGATTTTTTGACCTATGAACATGATTTTTTAAAACGAAGATTTCAGGGCTACTGTAGTTTCGATTGTTATTTTTTCCTTTCAAGTCCAAAGTAGTTTTCCTCAAGGGTTTCTGTCATCTTATTCCACTCGAAATTACATCTACAATCCTCACGCAATTTGACAAAATCGAGATTTGAAGGTCATTAATGTGTGTAAAGCAAAAATGTAACTTCAAATTTTCTTTACACTCAAAATTACGCAAAAAAGATTATATGATTTTTGATCAAACTTCTCAAAAATTTAGATCATTACTTTCTTAGGCATACATGATATTTTTAGCTCGCGTTTTGCGGAAATCATCCAGATTTTTTTTCTCCAAAAATCCGAAAATTCGAAATTTTCGTGCGATTTCTAAATAAAAACTTGGCATTCTGCAACAGCTGTAGAGTAGGACATATATAATAAACACTTTGTTTTGCAACGTATATAATATTCACAGAGATACAGCCAAAAGCGATTTTATCAGATCGTCTCTGCATTTCCTATGGTCTCTCGTCTGAAAACGAGAGATCATGGGAAAGTCGTTGAAAACCTGTGCTTTACATTCAAATTGAGAGCTGAAATTTTCCACGTTTGATTATTGGCCTACAACAAATATCCATGACAATTTTGGTGAAAATCTGAGAAATCAAAATACGTCATTGGCTGTTTTTTCCGCGAGATTCTCATTTTCCAACTTATAAATAGTTAGTAAAAAAGCTGGCAAAAGTACCACCGAAATACGACCATAACTGCCAAACACATCTCAATTTACGACTATTTTTCTCTTCTTCTATTACTATTTTTGTCCCAATCACGACAATTTTTTTGTCATCATTTTACAACCACGTAATCTTTTTTTATGTTTTTGTAATTTGAAACTGTACAAGACCTACTTTCGTGAAAATACGAAGAGCTGTCTTTTACAATAACAAAATTCTCTCATGCTCTTAGGGCGTCTAGACATGCCTGTGAGCTACGCATGCATTAATAAAAACATGTCATTTTTGAGTTTGGATTAGATAACGAGATGAACACTGGCCTCTAATCTCTGTTTTTTGGGCCCGGTAATAATTAAAAATTTACAATAGCTCTCCTTCAGGGCTACTGTAATTTTTTTGAGGTCAAAATTTCTCACTCACGTAATTTTTTTACATTTTACAACTAAAAATTTTTTTACAACTGATGTTGTAAAATGAAAAATTCGTTAAAATATGATGTGCAATGGTGTCTTAGAGTGTCATAGACAGTTTTATGCAGCTCTTCGTTGCAGGAGCCCGAACTTCCCCAAGCCGCAGCCGATTTTGTCCCAGAAAAGTTTGGCCAAGTCAGTGGAGTGGCCCTAAACAGCCAAAAGCAATTGGTCGTTTTCCATCGAGGAGACCGTGAATGGAACCAGTTGTAAGTTTCATGCAACACTTTAGTCAATATTCTTTTTTAAAATCAGATTTTCCAGCGATTTTCTCTAAAAAAGCCCTTATTTTAGAGGTTTTTGATGATTTTCGGCGATTTTCTTTGAGAATTCGCCCCTTTAATGGCCGCTTTTTTGATCAGTCTGATGGAATATTCTATGTAAATTAATTTCAGCTCCTTTTCCAACAAGAATGAGTTCAACTCGTCGCTCTCGCCCATCCAGAACAACACCATCACCATCATTGATCCCACTGACGGAAAGATTGTCCGCGAGCACGGTGCCAACCAGTTCTACATGCCGCACGGGCTCACCATCGATCACGACGACAATATCTGGCTGACCGACGTCGGACGTCATCAGGTCATCAAGCTGAACAAGGACTTCCAACCTATCTTCACGCTGGGCGAGAAGATGGTGCCCGGCGACGACAACACCCATTTCTGCAAGCCCACGGACGTGGCGGTCGCGAAGAACGGCGAGTTCTTCGTCGCTGATGGCTACTGCAACAGCAGAGTCATGAAGTTCGACAAAGAGGGCAACTTTATTGGCTCGTTTGGCCATGCGAACTCGGGAATCTCCCCAAAAGCCGGCGAGTTTTTCGTCCCCCATTCCCTGGTCCTCATCGAGGACATGAATATGATCTGTGTGGCGGACCGAGACAACCATCGCATTCAGTGCTTCACGGCGGGATTAGTGCCCAAAGGCGCTCATCAGAGAGCCGTTATCCCGACCGGAACTTTTGTCACCAAGGCCGAAAACGTTGGAAAAATCATGGCACTGAGGGAAAAGAGTAAGTCCGGAAGGCTTGAATCTGGTCTAGACTAGCTCCATGGGTTTTAATATATCTTTTAATACACCAATCTCCTCTTTTTTGGTTGAGTATCAACCATTTTTTTAACTAAATTGTTAATCATCTCCAGTATAATATAAAAAAGTTCAGAATTCCAAATTTTCCTAATCCCTCCCTTCTTTTCAGACCATTACCTCGTCGGAGTCACCAACACCGAGCCCCTGATGAACAACGAATACGATCTGTTCATCATGGACATCAACACCGGCAAAGCGAACACAATTGCCTCAGGCATTGAAGACGCCCATTCCTTGGCGGTCAGCGAGAACGGACAAATCTTTGTGGGCCAGCTCGGCCCCAAAGAGGTCGCGGAATTCGAATTGCCAACTGAACCGACCTTCGAGGAATAGAGCGCAAACCCCCATGTAAATTATATTATCCTTGTCTGCTGAGGTGGGAAACGGATAATTCTTGGGATTTTTGAGCTTTAACGGGGAAACAAACGTGATTTTCGGAACAAATAGGTCGTATTTTACACTAAACTTTGACTTTTTTCCAAGAAAGACCGATTTTTTCTCGGAAAATCGCAAATTTTAGCTAAAAACCCGGCTTTTTACATGAAAATCCCAATTTTAAACCTCAAAAAGTATCAAATTCCCAGTTTTCTCTGCTCCCAATCTCAACATCTGCATTTTCCATGCTAACTTCTTCCCCCGAAACCTATTGAGATTGTCTTGGAGTCCCAATTTTCTCCATTCTTCGCTCCATTTTTGCAGTTTCTGTCGACTTTTAACAATTTGAGATCTTTTGCGTGTGTGGGCTCTGTATTTTCGATCTCTCTCCATAAACGGCGACGTATACCCAGACGTTTTTTTATCGTGCGAAACAATCGACTGGTCGATTTGAATTATTTTTGAGATTTTTTTTCGAATCTTCAAAAAAAAATTCAAATCACCAAATTTTTTTACAACCTAAGGTATTTACAAGTTCAAAGGGTCGACTGGTCGAAAAAAATCTACTCATATGTACATGTAACTTCACCAAAACAACATATATTATCCTACCTTCTTCTCTCCTAGACGGGCTCGCGCGGCTTTTGCACACTGTAGAGTTGTGATTACAGTATTCTATTTATGTTAGTTCCAATAAAGAAGAGTTCCGGTGAACATACAGCGGGCATTTACTATTAATACGAACATGTTTTCCAGGGTAATGTCATCACTTTGAAGGGATCAAGGGGGATTAGCTGTGGAGAAGGTCGATTAGCCTTGGAGGTGCATACATGTTAACGTAGCATACAGTAGTTTAATCCCTTTTCGGCAAATACTTGAGAAAAGCCTCGAAAATTGTATTAGTTTAGATGAAAGGCCGATATTGTTCACGGGAAATCGGATTTCCAAAAATCCTTAACTCATAAGAAGACAAGAGAATTGTATTTCAAATTTATTTACAACTCCTCTATTCTATTGAACTACAAAAACCATAAAGTAAAGTATTGGATACAAAATGAGTATTTTCGAAGTTTTTGTGACCACCGATGAGGCAAAATGGATTTTACGAAATAAAGCGCCTCAGGCATGTGGCACATTCTTGTTCCACTTCAATTTTAGGAAGGGATCTTCTCGAAGTCCAATATCCATGGTTCTGAGACTAAAATAGCAATATTACTCATCTAGATGCATATTCATCCTCATTGTCTAAAAAGCAAACAAAACTCGTAAAACACCCACCCATTGCTGAATATTGGCTGCAATTCATCCATGACTGAGACGAAGAGTTTGGTTCGTTCCTGCAATTTGGCTTCATCCATGTTGTCCTTGCTAAGTCCACTGTGTGAAAATGCGTTCCTTCTCCACAAACTGATTTGTTCTATTGTTTCGTCGTGGATGAACTGACAATTTATTCCATAATGACAATGTCCTTTTGTCAAATAATTGCGACATTGCCGCGTCTTGTATTTCGGATGGAACTGAGCCTTAAAATAATGTTTTTAAGCAAGTCGGACGCCATGAATTTCAAGGATTTTACATTTACGAGCTTCTTCGAAACTCATTAAAAGTGTTGCAAAACCACATAGGCCAAAAATGGTAAATTTTAATAAAATTCAACAAATCTCCTATAGATACCATCATTAAAAAATGTGAAAAAAATGCCAAAAATTGGTGATAACGACAAACAAAACATCTGGCATATCGCAGCTAAATCAAAGACGAGTCCTAAAACCAAAAACAACGTACAAAATTATTAAACATACACTTTGAATTCTCAGTTCATCTTCCCCATGGGCAAATCGACAATTTCCGCCGTATGCGCAATCTCCGTTCTCTCTGAATGAGCGGCAATATTGCGTCTTATAGGAAATCATGTTCTGTGAAGACAATACGATCCTCTCGAAACGTCGATGGAATTCATTGTGGGAATCGGCGGAAGAGAAGGAATTTGTGGATGAAGTGCTCAAATCAGTGGATCTCGATGTTTTCCGTCGGCAGTAGCGCGGAATTCTGCTGGTGAACATCTCGGACATGCCGAACGACACTCGTTCGGGCCTTTGGAAACCCATTCGGCGTGTTGCTGTTGTACTGGATCAAACAATGAATAATTTAGGTAATAAGTAGATGCGTAACAACCAAAGCACGATGACGGTGACGATGGAGAAGGAGCTTCCCGTCGAACAAGTCCGGAAACTGTCAAAAATTGCAGGGAACTTCGGCAACGAGGGAACTTTGCCACGAATTTTGTCCGCCGAATCCTTCGTTTCGGGTCTCGTCACGAAAGTTATGGAGGGATTTTGCCGTTCGAAATGGGTCGACATCTTTGGCATTCCGTTTTACTTGTTACCTCGCGAGCTCGGATCAGTTGCAACTTGTTGCTGTCATGACGTTGTTAATGTTGGTTACCTTCATGGTCAAAGTGCGTATATAGAGTAGTTTTAGATTTTAGATGAGCTGCTTTGAATTTAAAAAAATGTTTTCTACTAAAATTTAATATAAGTTTTCAAGGATAATTGGCGACTATTGAAAAATCCGGTATATACTTTGCTTTGATCAAGAATGTTTCTTTGTTGCGATATCCTCGATTTCTTTCCATTTTTATGTTATCCTTGTTCGGGAAGGTTGGATCGTATAAGATGTCTTGCTGATGTTTCGCGCCAAATAATAAACGGATGTCTCCTCTTAGCTAGCTAAGACCTCGATGGCCAAAAACGGTTTTTTTGTTATGTTCTAATTTGAACGTGTCGCCGATAAAACCAAGTTTCTTTCCTTATATTAGTTTATATTAGTAAGACATTTTTTGTCTTCCACTTGTTTTGTAAAGCTCTCTTGATAGTTTGACGTCTTTTTCAATTCCTTTCCGCGGACTTCTTCCACGTTTTTGCGGTAAAATATCTGAGTTTTGATTTTAAGATGGTATACCAGTTAATATCGCGAAATTCGAAGTCATTTTATAATCTATGCTTTGATGGGTAATATAACATTTTTAGCATCATTATGGGAAGCGACTCATCTTCTGGGGAGGGAGAGGAAACGTATGTTGTGGAGAAAATTTTGAACCACAGAAAAATCCGAGGAAAGAAGGAATATCTTATCAAGTGGCAAGGATACGATGATCCTGCCGACAACACCTGGGAGCCAGTTGAAAACTGCGTAAGTCTTCTTGATTTTCTGTTGTTCAGCTTTTAGATAAAGGAAAGGATTCTGGGCATGATGAGTATAATTGATTTTTGTAGGACTGTCCTGAACTCATTGAGGCCTACGAAAGCGCCCAAGCCGAACTGAGTGAGAAGAAGAAAAAGACTCCCAAATCAGCACAGCGGGAGAATAAACACCGAGAGAAATCGGAGACTCCAGCTAGCACTACAAGTGTGAGTTGTTATGTTATTGCATATGAAAACTTAATTTGGTGATTCTTAATCAGTTTTTGTGTTTTTAGAGGAAGAACAAATCCCGCGAAATCATCAATGACACTGATTCCGATGATAGCGAGGTTGTTGTGCACAAAGAATCTCCAAAGAAGAGGGCCAGCAAGGAGAAGGAAAGCGAACGCAAGAAGTCAAAAGAACGGACCGCGTCTCCCAAGAAGGTAAGACGCTGTTGTTTGAGGCGTATTCTAGCTTCGGAAAACGTTTGTTATCAAGAATAGGCAAGTAATGACAACTTTCGAAATTATCCATGAGGATGGATATTGTTTTTAAAATTTTTGATATGCAACTCGGTTTTTTGTCTTCATTTGATAATATCGCGTTAGATCAACTACTTACATTTCAGAGCAGCCCCAAGAAACGTATAGTGGAGAGTGAGGAAGATGAAGATGCCCCTCGAAGAAGAGCCAAGTCTCATTCCCAAGGTTCAGATTCGAATCCAAGAGCCAGCTCCACCCGTGAAATCACCCCAGTCTCGAATGCGGCCGCCAAGAATCCAAACGGGCGTTTGCCCAGCTTGATGAGCGAGTTCGCCTTTGTCCACAAGGACAGGTATCGTGTGCAAGATGAAAGCGCAAATGTTGTCGGAGTTTTTGGGGTTCATCAAGACGGCGAAAACAAGAACAACTTGTGGATCCTCTTGGCGTTCAAAGCCGGCCCTTTCATCGAGCTGGATGATGTGGAGCCAACTCCATATGAAGTTTGCAGAGAAGTTTGTCCAGGGGTAAGTACTTTATTTTGTTTTGGTTTAAATTTTAGGTCGTTTCATCTCAATTTTACCTCAAGATTATTCATAAGACGCTAGAAAGGCGTAGTAATCAAAGTTTTTTTGGTTTCAGCTGCTCCTCGACTACTGGAGAGACCGTCTCGCATTCATCTCATGCCCAGATCGTGCTGCTTAAAAGATCGATATACTGTGCGGGTCCATTCTTCTAACCTTCCAAACTCATTCCTAATGTCTTCATCGTCTTTTATTGTATTTCTGTTGATTAATAGCGTTTATCGTGTCAGTTTATTGTCTGTAAAATTATTTCTATGTTGTTTTAAAAAAAATAAACTGGTTATGTAAGAAAAAGAAGTGGAATAAAATAGGAAATAATGTTTAAAGCAAGTTAATATTGAACGAGGGGTGTTTTATGAAGAGACTTACCGTTTTCAACACGAAATAAAGCAGATTTTAAGATGTTTTTGGCTACTGTAAGGTAAAGGAACATCGAATTTTGATGTAGAATGCATATTTTTGGCTTGTTTGAAGCGGACGGGTCATTTTAAGGGGAGTAATGTTTTATTTTAGGCATGGAACTTCTCTTGAAAGGGAAAGAAACGGTCAGCAGGAAAGAAAAGAACATCAGAATCCAGGTGAAACTCGAGAAGCCGACCGGAAGACATCACACCACAATCAATTTTGCTGAACTTCTAGCTCAATTGGAGCCACATTCGGATGATGAAGAGTCCTCGGACGATGACTCAATTGTAAGATTTTACTTTATACCGATTTTTTGATGTTACACATGGTCATCCAATTCGAAAAGTTTGAGAATTTTTATAAGATCTTTGTTGGAGGATGTGCAGAGTGGCTTAATATGATATTTCAGGGCTCAGGAGAAGCCCCGGACCCAAGCCAAATGCTGGATTTGGAGGATTTGATGGCCAAAGGAGCTGGCTATGATATGGACGATGAATTCATCGATGATTCGGCTGCAGTAAGCTTTTTTATAATGAATAATAAGATTAAAACTGCCTAATATAGCATGTTTTATTTTAAACTTTAAAAATTTTTTTATTACTCATGGACTCAAAAGTAATTTTTTAGGTTAAAAAAGCTGTGCAACACCAGAAAACCCCGATTTACAGTGGCTTCTTCGTCCATAAAGGCCCAATCCCACTGAAAGACGCGCCCCCACCAGTGGTTGAATCGCCGAAAAAGAAGAGTAAAGCAACCAAGCCATCAAGTCCGAAACAGAAGTTACGATTCAAATTTACCAACTTCACTCTGCCCGAAGACTCAGAAACGACTAATAAAGCCAATGGAAATGATAAAAATATGGCTATTCCATCGACTTCAACTCAAAAACCGGCCATAAAGAAGACTCCAAAGAAGCCGGTTCTAGGCGCCAAGGATAATATTCCAACTCAAAATATGAGCCCAAGAACCACTCAAACAGCCCCAGGAACCCCTCAGGAAAGCAACAATGACCCAAACACCCCTGTGAATATTCGGAGGCAGAAATCGAGCAAGGAAAAGGAGTTGAAACACAAGTCCAAAACTGCTCCATCAACTCCACAACAAACTTCGGGCGCCTCAACTCCAAATAGAGAACCCAGAAGACTCGGAATGCCCCCAACTCTCAAACCCAACCCTATCAGCTTCTCACAAGTGTCGGAGAGCTCAGAATCCGGCCCCGATCAAGATCCACCAGTCAGAAGAATGGTCGGACTACCTCCGATTGCGAGGAAAAGGAAATAAGTCGTTGAATAATGTATATTGTAAATAAAAAATTAATAAAAATTGATTAACAGAGTTTGTTCTTGCTATGGGAAGGCGATTTACCGAAGTTAGACATGTTTTTCTACAAAAAATTTGGGGTTTTGGATGAGACCTCATGTGTAATATAATTTTGGCTTAAAATGAAGCTCAGAAAAGAAAAAGTTTCTCAATATGCCTTAATTTGACTTAGCTTAGAAGGTACGAGTAAAAACAAACAATACGTACGCCATGTTACCGTATGAGGAACAGTTGACCCATGTGTCAAGTCTCTTGCTAAAGTAAAACTTGACCCAAATTTTTGGAAAGACTTGTCTCATAATTTCTTCATCAAGTTCAGCGTTCGCTTCGCGCAGAACTGTTCGTTGGTGACCATGTTCGGCGACATAGACGACGATGTTGAACGCTATGATGAGGACATGGATGACGACATGGGGAATGTCAATGTCGGAGAAGATGAGGACGAAGAGTACGAGGGAGAACCAGAAACCGAAGATGAGGATGCCATCTCACCAGAACTGTGGCCTGTAAGATAATTCAGAAAAAATCACTAAGATTTTGGTTGATCTTGATGGACGAAAAGTTGAAATGCAATATTTCAGGAAGCTTGTTGGGTTGTGATCTCGGCGTATTTCGATGAGAAGGGTCTCGTCCGTCAACAGTTGGACAGTTTCGATGAATTTATTCAGATGATCGTGCAGAGAATTGTGGAAGACTCGCCGCCTGTAGAACTTCAGAGTGAAAGTCAGAACTTTGGAGGTAAACTTTTGACTTTTTTTGTCGGTTTTTAGGCATTTTCGGCTTGGAGGTTCAGCCAGGGAATCGAAATCCCCTTTTATTACCGTTAACGGCGGGTTAGCACTTCTGTAACCGGTTTTATATGCTAATCTTTTTGAGGCAGTCCTGAGTTCATGGATAATCTTAAATTTCTTATATTTTTGATGCTTGGACAATGGAGATAGCTACGAAGAATTGGCCTAAAATTTCGAGGCTTCTGTAAATCACAATCAGAAGTTGTTCCATTTGTTTGCCTTGTATTACGCTTAAATTTTCAGGCGACATTGAACAGCCAACTTTGTTCTCCCTGAAATTTGGTCAGATTTATCTCTCAAAGCCGACGCATTGGGAAAAAGATGGCGCTCCCACAGGAATGATGCCAAATGAAGCTCGTTTGAGAAATCTGACCTACTCTTCTCCACTCTATGTCGATATTTCGAAGACTGTCACCAGGCCTGGCCAAGAACCGGAAGAAACGCGCTACAACAAGATCTTTGTTGGTAAAATTCCGATTATGCTCCGATCCTCGTATTGTATGCTGGCCAACATGAATGATCGAGACTTGACCGAGCTGAATGAATGCCCATTGGATCCTGGAGGATACTTTGTTATCAACGGGTCAGAAAAAGTGTTGATTGCACAAGAAAAGATGGCCACAAATACAGTGTACGTATTCAGTGTCAAGGACGGGAAATACGCGTATAAGACGGAGTGCCGCTCATGCTTAGAGAATTCGAGGTAGGATTTGAGATTTTTTATATTGTTCTTGAGTTTAGTCGACCAGCTTCCACATTATGGGTGAATATGATGGCCAAGGGTGGAAAACAAGGGACCAAAGCCTCGATGGGACAACGAATGATCGCTATCTTGCCCTATATCAAACAAGAAATCCCGGTGATGATTGTTTTCCGCGCTCTTGGCTTCGTTTCTGATTTGGACATTTTGGAGCATATTATTTATGAGCAAAATGATCCCGAGATGGTGGAAATGGTAAAGCCGTCTCTTGATGAAGCCTTTGTAATCCAAGAGCAACAAGTTGCCCTGAATTTCATTGGTGCCAGAGGAGCGAAACCGGGTGTGACAAAAGAACAGCGGATAAAATACGCCAAGGAGATCCTTCAAAAGGAAATGTTGCCTCATGTGGGAGTGTCGGAGCATTGTGAAACCAAGAAAGCGGTATGTTTTGCGAGTTTTTTTTGTTTGTTTTTGGTTTTTAGATTGAAGCAATACAACGAAATGAAGTTTTTTAGTACTTCATCGGCTACATGGTCCACCGACTTTTGTTGGCCGCTCTGGGCCGCCGCGAACTCGACGACCGTGATCATTTGGGCAACAAACGTCTGGACTTGGCTGGTCCTCTCCTCGCGTTTTTGTTCCGCTCCCTCTTCAGGAACTTGATGAAGGAAGTCCGGCTTTTGGCGCAGAAGTACATCAATCAAAAGCATGATTTCAATCTGGATGTGTGTGTCAAAACCACGACGATTACGCGAGGTCTTGCCTACTCGCTGGCCACGGGTAACTGGGGAGATCAAAAGAAAGCCCATCAGTCGCGAGCGGGAGTGTCGCAGGTCTTGAATCGACTGACTTATACGGCCACATTGTCCCATCTGAGAAGATGTAACTCCCCGATTGGAAGAGAGGGGAAATTGGCCAAGCCTCGACAGCTCCACAACACTCAATGGGGCTTCGTTTGTCCCGCCGAAACCCCCGAAGGACAGGCTGTGGGATTGGTGAAGAACTTGGCACTGATGGCCTACATTTCTGTGGGATCTCTGCCAGAACCAATTCTGGAATTCTTGGAGGAATGGAGTATGGAAACCCTTGAAGAAGTAGGTTATTGTTTTTATTATTCAGTGTTTCGAATTTTAGGTCAGTCCGTCAGCGATTTGCGACGCTACAAAGATCTTCGTGAACGGCGCTTGGGTCGGTGTCCACAGGGACCCGGACCTCCTCATGAAGACGCTGAGAAAGTTGAGAAGACAGATGGATATCATCGTCTCCGAAGTCTCCATGGTCCGTGATATCAGGGACCGTGAGATCCGCATCAACACCGATCCCGGAAGAGTCTGCCGACCTCTTCTTATTGTAGATGAAAATCAGGAGTTACGTCTGAAAAAGAGTCATATCAACAAGTTGAAGGAACGCGAAGGAAACAGCTTCTCTTGGTCGGATCTGGCTGCCAGTGGAGTGGTTGAATTGATCGATGCCATGGAAGAAGGTGAGGTTTTTTATGGTTGTATTCATCATCATGGGTAATATGAAATTTTTGAGATTTGAATGGGGTTTTGAAAATTTGACATTCGGGATGGTAAAATACGTTTCTTAAACCTTGTTTTCTCCATCAAGGTCACGCTTCTGGATATTGTAATTTATAAAAATTCTGAAATTTTAATTTTTGACCCCATTTTTTCAGAAACTTCCATGGTTGCGATGACCCCTGAAGATATCAAAGCCGGTGGATATTGTGACACCTACACTCATTGTGAAATCCATCCAGCCATGATTCTCGGCGTTTGCGCGTCGATTATCCCGTTCCCGGATCATAATCAAAGTCCTCGTAACACTTATCAAGTAAGATTTTTTACTTTTTTTATGTTTTTAGATAAGATCGAAGTGAATTTGAAAGGCCTATGGAAGAACAAAAGTCTGTCAAGGTCTATGAAGTAGACTAGAAGTCATTGTAGCGCCAGTCCTTGCAATAATTTTCGTTTTTTCAGAGCGCTATGGGCAAGCAAGCTATGGGTGTGTATACGACCAATTTCCACGTCCGAATGGACACTCTGGCTCATGTTCTGTACTACCCACAGAAGCCTCTCGTAACCACGAGGTCCATGGAATACCTCCGGTTCAACGAACTGCCCGCTGGCATCAATGCGATCGTCGCGATTTTGTCCTACACTGGGTACAACCAAGAAGATTCGGTCATTATGAACTCTTCCGGAATCGACAGAGGGCTGTTCAGATCGGTAAGAGAGGCGGCTTGGGGTTATTTACGGACAAACCTTTTTGGAGGATTTGAAAATTTTGCCAAAATTTATATTGTTTTAGGTGTTCTATCGGTCATATCGAGATCAAGAAGCCAATTTGGAGTATGGAAACCCGGAAATCATCGAGAAACCGTCGCGAGACTTTTGCTCAGGCATGAGACACGCGGCCTACGAGAAATTGGACGAGGATGGAATCATCTCACCTGGGGTTAGGGTAACTGGAGATGACGTCATTATCGGAAAAACAATCAGTGTTCCCGAAGATGATGATCCAAATGCATCGTCTAAGAAGTACACAAAGAGAGACTCTTCGACTTTCTTGAGGTGAGAATTATTTTTGATATTGGAATTTTTATATTATCCATGAGAAGGTGGACCAAAATTTTTGCTTGAAAATTCAAAATTGAATATTGGTTTATATTTACAATGGTTTTAGATCCTCGGAAACCGGAGTAATCGACCAGGTCATGCTCACCGTCAACACTGATGGCAACAAATTCATCAAAATCCGAGTCCGATCAGTCCGTCTCCCCCAAATTGGCGACAAGTTCGCCTCAAGACACGGACAGAAAGGAACCATGGGAATGATGTATCGGCAGGAGGACATGCCCTTCACCAGAGAGGGAATCACCCCGGACATCATCATCAATCCCCACGCCGTCCCATCTCGTATGACCATCGGGCATTTAATCGAGTGTCTGCAAGGAAAGGTAGGAGAAATTTTTGATGTTTTGGAGATGATTTGAACAAAAATTTTATAAATTTTTATGTTATTTTAGCTGTCGGCCAACAAGGGAGAAATCGGAGATGCCACCCCGTTCAATGACACTGTAAATGTCCAAAAAATCAGCACATTACTCTCGGAGTATGACTATCAATTGAGAGGCAACGAGGTCATGTACAATGGACACACGGGCAGAAAGTTGACCACTCAAATCTTCCTTGGCCCCACGTATTACCAGAGATTGAAGCACATGGTGGATGATAAGATCCATTCCAGGGCGAGAGGACCCATCCAGATGATGAACCGACAACCCATGGAGGGTCGAGCGAGGTAAGGAGGAGTTGGGATGGACAATTTGGGAAATTGGAACTTTTGGGGCTGGCAGCTCGCGCCCGGTATTTGAAGTAGGAGTTATAGATGGTTTTGATTACTGACGTAGTAATCTACAGTAGATTTGAGACTTTGTTGGAGAATAGAATAGTGTTTTTATGTCATAAGTTCGGGCGCAGGCTGCCAACTAAAAATTTTGAGTTTCGCGGAAAGCCTGCGGCTGAAGTCTGTAGATTGACTTCTTAAAAATTCCTGGTCGGTAATGTAATATTTACCTTGAATTTGCAGAGACGGAGGTCTTCGATTCGGTGAGATGGAACGTGATTGTCAAATTTCGCACGGTGCAGCCCAATTCCTGAAAGAGCGTCTGTTCGAAGTCTCCGATCCCTACCATGTCTACGTATGCAACCTCTGCGGTCTAATTGTGGTCGCCAATCAACGCACCAACCAGTTCAATTGTCAGGCATGCCAGAATAAAACTCAAATATCAGCCATCCGCATACCGTACGCCTGCAAACTATTGTTCCAGGAACTGATGTCCATGTCCATTGCTCCTCGACTGATGACGACTTGAGCTCATTTAAAGCAAGAAATGAAAGCCCTGTTCCGAATTACCATTAGCATCTCAACGTGTTACTTTTCATCACCCTAATTATTCTTTTCTAATCTTATTTTCAATACCGTTATTAAACTTATTTGTTCCACTTTAAATGGGATGATTTTGATGGTGAATGAAGTAGAGCTGTTGGAAATACTGTAGAAGCAATGAAAAGACTAAAAGAAGAGGAACTGCTACAAAATTATTATCTTATTCATGACGTCAAAGTCATGGATAATATAAAAAGTGACGCAAAAATTGGTTAAAATACTATTTATTCATTTTAAATGCTATAAATACAAGTTATATTTTATTTTTGTCGTGTAGATGCCTACCACATCGACAATTATTTTTACCGAGATTACTGTAGTTCAAATAAATCAACTAAAAATCCCCAGAATAAGCAACTAAATAATAGGCGAATGGGGTCATAGGCTCACTGAATGGCATGTCCTTCAAGGGTCCGGTCCCAACTTGTGCCAGTTTATGCAAATTTTGCGGCTTGAGACCAATCGTTGGAGCCCATGTGGTCCAAAATTGTTGGAAAGAGCCCTTTTGTGCGGGAACTTCGACGGTCTCACAACGCGAATCCATGCTGGTACGGCTGATTATGCGGATATGATACAGGACATTGCTCTAGAAAACAAAAAATTATAAAGACCTCAAAAAATTATATTACACTAGGCCCGAAGCTCACATTTTTCCCCTAAAAACAATAATTTACCTTGTCTTTCAGCTCTCTCGATCCCACAGTGACTTCGTATGTGCCTGGCTCGGTCACAATCTTCCTTACATTCACTTCTTTTCCGTCTTTTTCCGCCTTCACCGAGTTCAGGTCGATAAAACGCTCGCCCAAAAAGTACTTGAAAACCATAGTAGATGGACCATCAACGGCTTCTTCTTCCAGCTTGACCGTCTTGATTTTGATACCGCCATCTGGGGTGGAGTATTTGAGATTCATGCAGATTGGCTCCTAAAATTAAAAAAAAAAATTTTAAAAGATCCCAAGATCTGGACCAACCTTGACCGCAAATCGATGCTGAATATGGACAGCGTAGAGAGCATTCGGATTAACCGTATCCGTGTAATTGGTGACCGTTTTTGTTACTCCATGGGCCATTTCTTGCATCTGAACCTCCCCAACTTCCTTGATGTTAATTCCCAAAAATTTAATGGCCGACTTGAAGAGAACCTCAATACTGCTATTGGCTTCGATCTCAATCTCGGTTTGAGGGGTGAAACGGCCTTGTTTGTTGATGAAAATAAAGCGAACTGGGATCTTCCATACCTAAAGTAATATAATGACTAAAAAGTATAAACCATACGTGGAATCAGATGGAGATTAGTCTAAAATTTATCAATAGGGTTTCTTACACTTCCAGGTTGCTTCACAACTGGCTTGGCTTTCCCTTTTTTAACGGGTTTAGTAATTTCAGCTTTCCAAGATCCAGAAGGTTTTGGTATTTTGACTGTGGCCGAAGAATCCAATGTTTCCTCTTCATCGCTTGAGTCTAGCTGAAACGAGAATCTCATTAGACCCAATTCAAGATCAATCGCAGAATAAAATACCAAAAAGAAAGATTAAAATTTGGTAATCTACACCTTGTAGTAGGTCAGTTGAATAAAATCATTGATAAACAAAACTTTTGAAAGATTTATCCCACCTCTTATGTAATATAGAAGACCTGACAACTTCTGCTAACTTTGAGGACAACACAGTTACCCGAAAGCATATTTTTTAACGGTTTTCGATATTAACCTACCAAAAATCTGTTCAAAAAGTAGAAAGAAGTTCAATTTAGCTATAATTCTGCTCTTTCTCTTCGCCAAAACAATCCACAACTCTCTAACAAGGTGTCATAATCAATAAACAATAAGAACCTTCTCAAGATTTCCCATAACAACATCAAAATTCCCGATTTCCCATCTTCACCACGGCTAAATCCTTCATACTTTGAAAATGTCTGAACTCACCTTGTCAAGCTTTACTGTGCTGAACTTTCCTCTCACGGCAGTCACTTCATGAGCTTCTCCCTCTTTCGGAATGCTTTTCAAGGCATGATCGAGACCACCAGCACCAAATTCTTCGATTTTTCTGGGCTCTTCACCTTCCACTGCCTGACCATCGAGGCCGATGCGTTGACAGGACCCGTCCTCGTTGATCTTCAACATCCCCAAGGTCGAGCGGATTATATTTTAATCGTCGGATTCCTAGAAGTGAAAAGTTCCACGCAAAAAACGGGGTGTGAAAACGAAAAAAATATTTTTTGCAAAAAATGCAAATTTTCCGATACTTCGAGAAGAAAGCCGTTGGAAATAGTGTGCAAAATGCTGATAAATGGCCATTTTTGATCAAGTTAGGAATTTTAAAAAGCAGAAGAGGCCCGTTTTCGATAAAAAATATATTAGACATGACATCAGGTGTCAAAATATGTCCCAAAACCAATACTAATGACAAAAATACTCCAGTCGACTGTAACATACATGAACCTTATGCAATAACCTTCAATACAATGCACAGTTTATTCTTATTAAACAATTCTATTTCAATTTACAAGAGATTTTCAAAAAAGTCATCAAAAAATCTCAAAAATCAACAAAAACATAAGATTTGAAATACTCCGGTATTCAAATAGCCAAATTCTTATCGGATTCTTGTCAGAGACAAGATAGAAGGCTGTCTGCTTCCCATTGGCAAGCTGCTTTGATGGCTTTGGATCGAGATTCGGCGATCGTTGATGACTCTCTCAACTTGTTGGAGATTGGCCAAGCGTTCGGCCGGGATTTCAAATTTGGCCTCTGGACTGATCTTGCTGGTCTGTGCTGCCCACGGACGAAGTGACACTTCGGTTGTGAAGTCGAAAATGATGGTGAAAATAGTCATCATTGCGCCCATGAAAATGAACACTCGAGACCACTGAAAACTTCGTATTTTGGGTTTGTAAACCACAAATTTCGAGTAAAAAATCTGTAGAGAACAGTCTACCCTACCTATTTTTTGCTAATTAAAATATGAGTGACTTACCTCTTCACTGGTATTCGTTGGCACAAAGATTGAAACGGCTGCAGCCAGTCCAAAAAGTGTCAAACTTTCGTTCAGTGAGTTGACGGACATTAAAACATGGACAAACCGACCTGAGGTCTAAAAAGACGCTTAATCTTATTTACTCAGTCTTTAATTACGTTATTTTACACTAGGGTGACATTTTATACGATAAATTCAGTCAAAAATATTTGATCGTATAAAATGTCTCCGACCACAAAATACTTGTTCCTTACCAACTGTAAGCTCTTTAGCACACTGACAGTGTCCAATCCACTCAGCGCAATGACTGCGGTGTAACAAAATTGGCCTAGTCCAACGGCGCCTTCGGGCATAAAAGCCAATCCAAAGTAAGCCGCGGCCAACAAGAACTGAGAGAACGAGGCGAACGCGATAACACGTTGCTTGTCGGTGAGGCCGGGTAGGGTGTCACTGATGGGCCCACCAACAAATTTGCCAAGCAGCGACAACAGGAATGGCAGGGCGGCCGCGAAACCCGTTCCTTGGACATCAAAATGGAGAATCTGGAAATTGAAATTGTAAAATACGTCTACGAAAACTAGCGGAGCATGAACTCCAAAGGTTTCTTAAAAAATTTAGAATATTTTTTTTGACATGATATTACTTTACCTCATTCAGATAGATGGGGCCATACTGGAAGAAGAGTCTGAAAGCAATAATATTGCTCAAGGCGGTGCCCATAATTCCGAGAGTGCATTTATCAGTGAATATCGCTTTGTATGGGACTGGCTCAAATTGGCCGGCTTCGTGGATTCGAATCACTTTTCCCTCCTGGATTATTTTCAATTCTTTGTCGGAAACGTTGCTGAAAATCACAATATTTCATATATTAATTTTCACACCATATTACAACAAAAAATCGAACAATCATCAAGGTGACATTTTATACGAAAAATACCCCTTTCGTATAAAATGTCGCTAAACCCAAACTTACGGGTGTAAAGCCGGAGAGTCTCGGTAGAACCAATAAAACACTGCAAAAATAAGAATCGTAAAGATTCCATGCAAGTAGTATGCCCAGCTCCATCCGGCCGAACTTTCGCACAGTGCGGCCGAAACTGGCATGGTGAACATTGGGGCCAGCTGCAGATGACACGACAGATATGCGACTGCTGTTCCACTTCTGTTAAGCTCAGCCCATTCCGCAATCACTGCGCCGAATACAGACCACGAGGCAGTCAGTGCAACACCTTGTACCATCCGGATAAAAAGAGTCGGCCAATAGCCAAAACTAACGGCCAACGGGAAAATCAAGACCGAAAACGCGGAGATGAGGCCGTAGAGAGTGAACATTTGACTGAACAGGAATTTTGGAGGTGTGGTTTGACTTACCGAATACCAATTTTGGACACAATATAAGTGATGGGCAGGGTGCCAAGAATTGTGCCCACGGCCACCATAGAGAGTAGCCAACTCCGCTCGGCGTCTGAGAACATTGGAACTGCTTCTGGAACAAGTTAATTACCCTTTCTTAGAATCGGTAAATTAAGCTTTATAGATTGTAAAATACGTGTTGCAACCCATGGCAATAAAACTTTTTGTTAATTTTCTTACCAACAAAGAAGCTGCTATTTCCACCGACAGCATCTTTATTCATGCAGATCACGGTGAAATTGAAGATCATCGCATTTGAAACGCATATTGTCAGACCGATGGTGACCAAAGCCAGTATTAGAAGACGGGTTTTGTGCCTGAAAATTGTTGGCATGAGAAAAATAAACTTAATTTGCCGAACAATATGGGAAAATTTGTTTTATCCATCAATTGACATCGCAGATAAAAATTTTGATGTCTCATATAACAAAGATGTATCTTTTGACTTCAAACTTCAACCTCATACTAGAAACGTCATATTACGACAACCAAAAAATTTTTTGATGACATTTACGATCGAAAAATAAAGGCTCCGCACAAAAAACTTTCATCGTATAAAATGTCACCACTCTGAGCAAAAAAGGGAAAATCGATTGTAAAATACGTTACCGAAAGGTTTGACAATTTTCAGGCGTTACAATGACTGTAACATTTTATACGATGAAAAATACATGTCTCCTCCGCCAAAAAACTTTTTTCATCGTATAACATGTCGCCGTGATGAAACCTAAAGCTGCTATCAAAAACTCGCCAAAAAACGAATCGCTCCTCCTTCGGGAAGGTCGTGAACTTTTCGACTGTAGCAATCGAAGTCCGACGCAGGGTCTTCTCGTCCATGTAGACCACATTGTCCGTGGGTGCGTCTGGATTCAACATCGCGGCTAAAATACGAATTTACTGCTCAAAAATAATTGAAACTTCGAAATAGCAATATAATAATATAAACTGATCGCTCTGATGGAGCGAAGGTCATTTTTAAATACGCTCAGCAGCGAGGGTTTTGCAATATGGTCTCATTATTCAAATCCGGAGCAGTCGCTGCTTTCATGAACCCAAAATTCCAATGGATTATCAAATTCATTTTCTGATCTAGACTTCGGACGCTAAAATAGGGTCAGACGGATCGTTTTATAAGGTCAAAATGTCTATAAAATGAATTATACCACGCAGTCTGGACCCCGATTTATTGTATTCGAACTAAAAAATATTTCAATTTTTTTATAAAGTCGCTAAAAGTCTGAATAAAACTTTATGGATTTCCCAAGTTTTTAGGCCCGCGGCTAGATGTTTGGGCCGGTCCAGGTTTGCAGCTATACTTAACCAAAAGGCCATATCTCTATACAGGTCCAAGGAGGCAGGGTTTGACTGCTCCAGAATTTATTTAGTGGACGGACAAAAGTCGATTACAACAGCCTTCAGGAGGTAATAGGAGGAAAATTAGGAGCCTAGAACTCAAGAGCTTTTGTTCCATAGGAAAATATTTGAAGTGCAATGCTTAGATTTTTGATAAAATTGGCACACACATTGTACTTGGGCTAGTTATCAAACGCTTAGGGGTCTAGAACTCAAGGAGAGGACAAGGATCCAGATGCCAAGCAAATTCTTGGAGATTTGCAACCCCTTGAAGACTCCTTCTTGAGGAGCTGACTCACCTGACGTCACTTGCACCAGTGACACACATGATCCAGTGGCAAAAAACATGACATTTTGCATCCCGGAAGTATCACAAAATGTAGAAAAATGGCTCCCTCTCCAACGAAAAGGTTTGAAGGGCCCTTTCCCTCACAAAAAGAGCGGGCGCGCTTTTGAAATCGGAGTTTTTTTCACTTGGAGAGGGAGGCATTTTTCAACATTGTTTTGATACTTCCGGGATGCAAAATGGTATTTTTTTGCCAATGGATCAGGTCCACCACTGTATGCAAGTGACGTCAGATGAGTCAGCTCCTCGAGAAGGAATGTTCAAGGGGCTGCAGCAAATCACCAAGAATTTCCTGGGCATCTGGATTCTTGTCCTCTCCTTGAGTTCTAGACCCCTAAGAGTTTGATACCTAGCTCAAGCACAATGTGTGTGCCAATTTTACCAAAAATCTAAGCATCGTACTTCAAATAATTTCCTTTCGAACAAACGCCCTACTAGATGACATAAACCACCATTTTTCAAGTCATTTCAACCATTTCCCACAAAAATTGAAACTCAGGTGCAAGCCCGATCAGCATTCAAAGCCTCAAGGGTATTTCAAGGGCTTTGGAACTAAAATCCGCATTACGAAAGCTCTGTTGTCATTAAATACGACGCGAGAGTCATGAATATTCATAATATTTCTATACAAAATCACTCGCATGATAAAAAACATGCCCTTGTACAGTTTGATAGCAGGAAACGAATTTATGCTACTTTCCATACAAGTGATACCTCGAACAACCGAGAGTCCAAAAAATTTTTTTTGAACTTTTGTCATGTGCAATACAATTTTATATCGGAAAATTGCAAAAATCAGCGTTTTATAAGTCTATGTAAATAGTCACGTCAAAGATCGTTGTCCGACATGCACTTTGAGAAACTTTGAATCCAAAGTTTAGAAAATTTTTCTCCTGTCAATGGAGCCCAATTTCACAACAACATCAAAGACCTACCCTACCATGTGAGGCGAAAAATGTATTCATGATGGGTAAACAATAACAAGACATCGTATTTTTCAGTTAAAAATTTTTTTCAGGATCAGTTGCGGAAGAAAATACCAAAAAGAAAGATCAAAATTTGGTAATCTTCACCTTGTAGTGGGTCAACTGAATAAAATCATCCATAAATAAAACTTTTGAAAGATTTATCTCACTTCTTATGGAGCATAGGAGACCTGGCGACTTCTGCTAGCTTTGAGGACAACGCAGTTACCCGAAAGCATATTTTTAAACGATTTTCAACATTACCTACCTAAAATCTGTTCAAAAAATGGAAAGAAGTTCAATTTAGTTATAATTGGACCTTTATCCCGGTAAAAAATTCCCCACACTGTAACAAGATGTTACAATCAATAAACAATAAGAACCTTCTCAACATTTCCCATAACAACATCAAAATTCCCGATTTCCCATCTACACCGTGGCTATGTCTGGCCGAAAAAGAACCGGCCTCCGCGGGCCCTTCTGTCGCACTCACTCCAAACCCCAATTTGCACCGCGCAGAAATTTGGAGGACGTCGCCGAAGAAAAGAAAGAGCAAAAACGACGCATCGCCAGCGATAAATGTGGGTTTTGCACAGTGCAAATGCCTTTTTCTGCTTTTTCGCACTGTGCCATCAAGAAAATTCCCACAAATCAGCGATCTTTCGAAGTCGCGCGCGCTTTTGCGATGCATCGCAAAAACATTCAGAAGAAAAAAGAAATTTCGGGGTTGCGACTTCGATGCGCGGTGAGGCCGGTTCTTTTTCGGCCAGACATACTAGTCGCGACATACTAGTCGCGGAAAAAAGTCCTTAGAATTTTTCGCGACCCCCAAATCTCGTCGCACCCCGAAAAGTCGATTTGTCGCTGAGAAAAATGGGAATCGCGCGCGACAATAAGGCAAAAACAACAAAATTGCACTGTGCAAAAGCACTTTTCGGGCCGGATGCACGGTGCAAAATGTGTTTTCGTGTGAATGCACAGCGCAGAGTCGCAGAAAATTCTAAGGACTTTTTTCCGCGACTAGTACTAGTCGCGCCATAAAGTCCTGACACATTTTGCACCGTGCGAAAGTTCGGGGTTTGGACGTCGCGCCCCCAAATTCGGGTTTGTCGCACGCGAAAGTGTGCAAAAACGGGAAATCGCGGCGACAAATGCGAAAAATTGCACCGTGCGGATCAAATGAAAGAAGAATGCACGGTGCGAAACTTCGGGTTTTGGACGCCGCGCCTGCAAATTCGGGTTTATCGCGGGCAAAAGTGCACGTCGCTAGTGCAAAAACGGGAATTCGCGGCGACAAATGCGAAAAGATGCACAGTGCGGATGAGATGAAAGAAGATTGCACGGTGCAAAATGCGTCAGGACTTTATGTCGCGATTAGTACTAGTCGCGACATAAAGTCCGTAGAATTTTTCGCGGCCCCCAAATTCCGTCGCGCTCCGAAATGTTGATTTGTCGCTGCGAAAAACGGGAATCGCGCGCGACAATAAGGCAAAATCAACAAAATTGCACAGTGCAAAATGTGTTTTCGGGTGAATGCACAGTGCAAAATGCTTTTTCGGGTTTATGCACAGTGCGGAAAATTCTACGGACTTTATGTCGCGACTAGTACTAGTCGCGCCATAAAGTCCTGACACATTTTGCACCGTGCGAAAGTTCGGGGTTTGGACGTCGCACTGCAGGTTGACGCCAAGTCTTTCCCTGATGTGTCAAGTTTCTCTCTCCCGAAAATAATTTTTTTTTATTTCTTGACATATTGTGCAGCCTGTTTCTCTATGAAGATGGACTGAAAAGTGCTCAAGTAAGTTATTATTAGCAAGAGGAGGTGTTATTTTTTCATTTTATGCCAAAAATGTTGATTTTGTTTCAGGGAAGCGTACAGAATTCATCCAATTCGCAGAGCCAGTTTTTAGTGATCATAAATAATGTAAGTCCGCTTATTTCGTTTTTTCGTGGTTTAGTTAGCAGTTATAAGTTTGTCTAAGACTTAGAGGAGACCTCACTCTTTCGGTTTGTTATGGTTTCCATGCATAAGATTCTTCAAATGTTTCGCCATAATCAGTTTAGGTAAAATTGACCAAAATAGATGTCATGGAGAAGATAATCAAGGCGGAAAGGTCAAGAGAACGGCAAAATTGTCTCCCAGCAAGAGGAGAGAGGACATTTTCGACCTAATGGAGAGGCTGAGATGTTCTAACAAAGCAAAATAGGCCATTTGGAGACGGTTTTAAAGTTGGAAGTGGACCTCATGGAGAAGATAAAAAAATGGAAAAATTGCCAAGAATAGGGCCCTATATGTCGTCATTAAAGCCGGAAAAGAGCAAACACGGCATGAAAATCGCGTTCAGAGCTTTGGTCAAGGTGCAGGGACATCTGAAATTCAGCAAGTTCAAAATGGTCAACAAAGACTTCATGGAGAAGATAGAAATGGACGCAGTGGACATAGTCGGCCCTCGTTTACACCCTCTGAATGGGGTAATCAAGTTTGGAATGAGATGTATTAGCCATTTGTTTGAATTTATTCTTGCCAATTTTTCCATTTTTATCTTCTCCATGAGATCCACTTCCAACTTTAAAACCGTCTCCAAATGGCCTATTTTGCTTTGTTAGAACATCTCAGCCTCTCCATTAGTTCGAAAATGTCCTCTCTCCTCTTGCTGGGAGACAATTTTGCCGTTCTCTTGACCTTTCCGCCTTGATTATCTTCTCCATGACATCTATTCTGGTCAATTTTACCTAAACTGATTATGGCGAAACGTTTGAAGAATCTTATGCATGGAAACCATAACAACCCGAAAGAGTGAGGTCTCCTCTAAGTCTTAGACAAACTTATAACTGCTAACTAAACCACGAAAAAACGAAATAAGCGGACTTACATTATTTATGATCACTAAAAACTGGCTCTGCGAATTGGATGAATTCTGTACGCTTCCCTGAAACAAAATCAACATTTTTGGCATAAAATGAAAAAATAACACCTCCTCTTGCTAATAATAACTTACTTGAGCACTTTTCAGTCCATCTTCATAGAGAAACAGGCTGCACAATATGTCAAGAAATAAAAAAAAATTATTTTCGGGAGAGAGAAACTTGACACATCAGGGAAAGACTTGGCGTCAACCTGCAGTGCGTCGCGCCCCCAAATTCGGGTTTGTCGCGCGCGAAAGTGCACGTCGCTAGTGCAAAAACGGGAAATCGCGGCGACAAATGCGAAAAGATGCACAGTGCGGATGAAATGAAAGAAGACAAACCCGAATTTGGGGGCGCGACGTCCAAACCCCGAACTTTCGCACGGTGCAAAATGTGTCAGGACTTTATGTCGCGACTAGTAAATTCTTCAAACTCTGAAAATGTCTGAACTCACCTTGTCAAGCTTTACTGTGCTGAACTTTCCTCTCACGGCAGTCACTTCATGAGCTTCTCCCTCTTTCGGAATGCTTTTCAAGGCATGATCGAGACCACCAGCACCAAATTCTTCGATTTTTCTGGGCTCTTCACCTTCCACTGCCTGACCATCGAGGCCGATGCGTTGACAGGACCCGTTCTCGTTGATCTTCAACATATTTAAGTCCAAACGGACTATATTCCAATCGTCGGATTCCTAGAAGTGAAACGTAATGCCGTGCGGTGCAAAAGGCTGATAGATGGTTACTTTTGGTCAAATTGAAACATTTAGAAAACAGAAATACACTCTTTCGATAAAAAATATAGACATGAGATCAGATGTCAAATCTGTCCCAAATCCAATACTAATGGTAAAATACTCTAGCTGACTGTAACACACATGAGCTTATTCAATACTAGTCGGGACAAAAAGTCCTGATAATTTTGCACCGTGCGGATTTGAACGTTTTGGGTTGTCGCTGCGAAAATCGCGAACAAAAGTGTTTTGCACGGTGCATTTGACCCGAAAAGTGCATGTGCACAGTGCATTTTGTTTGTTTTTGCCTTATTGTCGCGCGCGATTCCCCATTTTTCGGAGCGACAAATTGTTTTTTCAGAGTGCGACAAAAACCGCGCAAAATCCGCACGGTGCAAAATTATCAGGACTTTTTGTCCCGACTAGTATCCTCCAATACAATGTACATTTTATTCCTAACTAACAATAAATTTCAATTTCCAAAGAATTCTCGGAAAAATCATCAAAAATACAAAAATTTCAATTCTCCGATATTCAAACAGCCAAATTCTCATCGGACTCTTGTCAAAGACAAGATGGAAATCTTTCTGTTTTCCCTTGGCAAGCTGCTTTTATGATTTTTAATCGACATTCGGCGATCGTTGATGACTCTCTCAATTTGTTGGAGATTGGCCAAGCGTTCGGCTGGGAATTCGAAATTGAGTTCTTGGCTAATGTCGGAGGTCTGTGCGGCCCATGAACGAGGAGTGACTTCAGTTGTGCAGTTGAAAATAATGGTAAAAATGGTCATCATCGCACCCATGAAAATGAACACTCGAGACCACTGGAAATTACGTATTTTATTTTCAAAGCTTGGGTCAGAAAATATACAAAAATACGGTCTACTCTTTCATCTGACCAAACCAAGTAGAATTTACTTACTTCTTCACTGGTACTCGTCGGCACAAAGATTGAAACGGCTGCAGCCAGTCCAAAAAGTGTCAAACTTTCGTTCAGTGAGTTGACGGACATTAAAACATGGACAAAACGACCTGAGGTCTAAAACGATACTTCATTTTTTTCAGATATTGTTTATCTATGCATTTTCCACTAACATGACATTTTATACGATGAAATTCAAAAGTCCCCAAAAATTTGCTCGTATAAAACGTCTCGAACAAATAATAGTGTGAATTACCTCTAAATCACAAATCAATACTTGTGTTACTTGCAGTTTACATTTAGATGACATTTTATACGATAAAAACTCAAAACTTCCTAAAAACATCTTTTATCGTATACAATGTCTCCGACCACAAAATATTCTCAAACTTGTTCCTTACCAACTGTAAGCTCTTTAGCACACTGACAGTGTCCAATCCACTCAGCGCAATGACTGCGGTGTAACAAAATTGGCCTAGTCCAACGGCGCCTTCGGGCATAAAAGCCAATCCAAAGTAAGCCGCGGCCAACAAGAACTGAGAGAACGAGGCGAACGCGATAACACGTTGCTTGTCGGTGAGGCCGGGTAGGGTGTCACTGATGGGCCCACCAACAAATTTGCCAAGCAGCGACAACAGGAATGGCAGGGCGGCCGCGAAACCCGTTCCTTGGACATCAAAATGGAGAATCTGGAAATTGAAATTGTAAAATACGTCTCATTCAACTCTAGTCATAATTTTTGGAGTATTGAGAGAATTTTACACCCCAAAAGATTTTTAAAACCCATTAAAAATTAATTTATTTGAAAGGATATTACTTTACCTCATTCAGATAGATGGGGCCATACTGGAAGAAGAGTCTGAAAGCAATAATATTGCTCAAGGCGGTGCCCATAATTCCGAGAGTGCATTTATCAGTGAATATCGCTTTGTATGGGACTGGCTCGAATTGGCCGGCTTCGTGGATTCGAACCACTTTTCCCTCCTGGATTATTTTCAATTCTTTGTCGGAAACATTGCTGAAAGTCGTATATCAAGTCTTTCACTACTTCTTGTACTAATTCACACCTTGTTACAACAAAAAATCGAATAATCATCAGAGTGACATTTTATACGAAAAATACCTCTTTCGTATAAAATGTCGTCAAACCCAAACTTACGGATGTAGAGCCGGAGAATCTCGGTAAAACCAATAAAACACTGCAAAAACAAGAATCGTAAAGATTCCGTGTAGGTAGTAGGCCCAGCTCCATCCGGCCGAACTTTCGCACAGTTCGGCTGAAACTGGCGTGGTGAGCATTGGAGCCAGCTGAAGATGGCATGAAAGATACGCAACCGCTGTTCCACTCCTTTTGAGTTCGGCCCATTCCGCAATCACCGCGCCGAATACAGACCACGAGGCAGTTAGCGCAACACCTTGTACCATCCGGATAAAAAGCGTCGGCCAATAGCCGAAACTAACGGCCAACGGGAAAATCAAGACCGAAAACGCGGAGATGAGGCCGTAGAGAGTGAACATTTGACTGAACAGGAATTTTGGAGGTGTGGTTTGACTTACCGAATACCAATTTTGGACACAATATAAGTGATGGGTAGGGTGCCAAGAATTGTGCCCACGGCCACCATAGAGAGTAGCCAACTCCGCTCGGCGTCTGAGAACATTGGAACTGCTTCTGGAACAAATTAATTACCGTTCTCTTTTGGCTAAAATTATATTATGCTTGACCAAAAAAAAGTGTTTTACAAGCCCTAAAGAGTCGGTCAATTAAACTGAAGATTGTAAAATACGCGAAGTGAGTTTTCAGCAATTTTTTTAATTGCTTACCAACAAGAAAACTGTCATTTCCACTGGCAGCATCGTTATTCATGCAGATTACGGTGAAATTGAAAATCATCGCATTTGAAACGCATATTGTTAGAGCGACGGTGACCAAAGCCAATACTAGAAGACGGGTTTTGTGCCTGAAAATTGTTGGGATGAGCAAATTTTAGCTATCACTTGAAACTTTTTCATCGTATAACATGTCACCGTGGTAAAAACTAAAGCTGCTATCAAAAAACTTACCAAAAAACGAAGCGCTTCTGTTTCGGGAAGGTTGTAAACTTTTCGACCGTTGCCATGGACGTCTTACGAAGGGTCTGCTCGTCCATGTAGACCACATTGTTCGTGGGTGCGTCATTCCACATGATTGGCTGAAATACGAATGTACTGCTCAAAAATGATTCAAATTTTATAACGAGCTTATCGTTAATGGGCGATGTAATAAAAAACTGATCGTTCTGATGGAACAAATGCCACTTTTAAATACAAACTTCCTATGATCAATTATTATCCTCCGATACAGTATTTTAGTATGTTACCGTAATCTGAGAAAATTTTGCATAAAGTTTTATATGCAAAAAACATAACACCGAAAAAATCCTATGTCACGATTTGGTTCACCGACTCCAAATTCGTCTCTTAAAAACGACTCGAGACTCATGAATATTAATAAAATGAATTTATAAACTATTTATCTTATCCATGTCACAACAACAAAGACCTACCAGATCAGACGAAAATTTTATTCCTGACGGTAAAACAAAAACAATAACAAGAGATGGTCATGTCAGGCCACTTCGGTGAGGAGCTGTTTCTGTTTCTCTTCGATCAGAGCAGCCGCCCGTTTCTCGTATTGATGTTTGAGGTTCAACAAAGCCGCGCGTTTCGCTTTCGCCTTGTCCAATTCCTTGGTAGTTGATGCCTTCTTGTCGCTCTTGGAATACACCTAAACATTGAAAGAACAACTGTAAGGGATAAATCAACTTACATCATTCAGAGCCTTCTTATAATCGTTTAAAAGGACTGTTCTGGCATCCTTGGCAAGTTGTTCTCGCCTTTCGCGGGTCATACGAGGCACAGGGATGTACAGCATGATACCTGCAAAGATCATCCGTTTAGCATCACCATAACATATCTAAATTTCAAAAATATTAATCATATTAGACTACCTACCTTCATGTTGAGGATTCACATTCAGCGCACTTTTTTGCAAGGCTACTTTAGCATCCTTGATGGCTGTAGGCTTGTCTGTAAAGTTGATCATTATCAGCTGCGGGGTCTTCAATGAGATTCGGGCGAGATGGCCAAGACGATGAACCTCATCTGTTCCGGAGATGTGAACTTTAATATCCTCATACTGTCGTAGGTCAACTTTAGTCCCAAAATGACGCTGAAGTTCCTCCTCAAGCCGCCCTTCAAGAGATTTCATCTCGGATAAAGCGTAATCATACTCGTCGAATTGGAAGGGAAGGTGATCATTGACTGGGGGGAGTGCGGACTAAAAGTATTCGCTATGCTTCTGAAGTATGTATAAAATCGTACCTAAAGAATGAAGAAAGAATATTCCAAAACCTTACTTGTTGTCCTTTCTTTGGCTTCTGTTTATGGACCTTTTCTACTATTGCACTTGTCGACAAACCTCGTTGAAGTTGCTGCTCTCGAGCAATGGCACTAAGCTCGGCCAGAATACCATTTCGTCTCAAGAATCGACTGCACAATCTGGCAGAACGAAAGGGAACCCGGAAGATGTTATGCATCCTAAAGAAAAGTAAAGAAACTGCAAAATAAACTTTTCTTATCGCTTAAAACAATATTTTTCAAAACAAGACCATAAAACACGTGGCGAAAAGTGTTATGACGGGAGTAATTGATAAGAATGACATTGATCATTCTCAAAAACATCCGTATTTTACACAGCCCACAAAATTTCCTATCGTTTTTAATATGAAACATAATGCCACGAACTTTTGGCATTTCAATAAATTCGTGGTGAGAAGCGAACGACTTGGCCAAGTCGAGTGGAAAAATATTTTTTTCTTGCATTTTGGCCAAGTTCTAGTAATTTTCACGCTAAATTAGTTGTTTTACGACCCGATTCCTTATAAATCTTACGAAAAAATTCCCGAGCACCATGAGTTTGTCGGACGAGAGCTCGGGAATGGTCATATTGACTGGAAATGCCCATCCAACCTTGGCTCAGCTGGTCTGCGAGCGGATGGGAGTGCGAATGGGAGAAGCCGTGGTCTACAACAAGAGCAATCGTGAGACTAGTGTGGATATCAAACAGGTAATTTTGATTTTTTATATTATTCATGGCAATTGAGCGAAAAAATCTGTGTTTCATACCTAAAATGATATATTCGTTGCAGAGTGTACGAGGAAAGCACGTGTTCATCATCCAGTCGGCTTCTAAAGACGTTAACAACAACATTTTTGAGCTGCTTATTTTGATGTACGCTTGCAAAACTTCGTCGGCCAAGACTGTTACCGTAATCATGCCGTATCTCCCGTATTCGAAGCAATGTAGGATGCTGCGTCGGTCCGCGGTTACGATGAAGTTGATTGCTGATATGATCTGCCGGGCTGGTGCTAGTAGAATGGTTTCTTTGGACTTGTACAAGAAAGAGATCCAGGTGAGAGAAATTTGATAAAAAAAGTGGCCAAAGTTACCATTAAACTGCAAGAAGATGCAACTCAGTTGATAACACAAGCTAGGTGAACCTCAAAATCCTCGAATCCGTGGAAAAAAGGTTTAACAGGAAGAATATAGTGCTCTACACGAAATGCTGTCAATTTTCATTATTTTTTTTTCATTTTTGGTGCCTTTGTTGACCAATTTGCCTTGTTAAACCAGAAGAAGATCATTCTAGATCAACAACTCCAGCCAGATGAACTCCCAAATCCTCGAATTCATTAAATGAAGTCGTGAAATCGAGGGAATTAGTCTATTGTTACCTTAATCTTGAGGTCATGAAAAACTTCGTGAACAAGTTCGAGTCGGTTGTCATAAAATCTACCAAAATTTGTTGTTGGTTGTCCGAAAAAAGAATAGAACGGATTACAACGAATTTTGGCAAATTTTATGTCAACCAACTTGAACTTGTTCACGAGGTTTTTCATGACCTCAAACCCAAGATTAAGGTAACAATAGACTAATACCCTCGATTTCATGACTTCACTTGATGAATTCGAAGATTTGGGAGTTCATCTGGCTGAGGTTGTTGATCTGGATTGGTCTTCTTCTGGTTTAACAAGGCAAATTGGTCAACATAGGTACCTAAAATGAAAAAATTTTATTGGAAAGTGATATCATTTTGTGTAGAAGGCTCTATTCTTCCTGTTTATACCTTTTTTGATTTGATTTTGTCATTAATTTTTCGTTTTTTCAGGGGTTCTTCTCCATTCCTGTGGATAATCTCCGAGCCTCGCCGTACTTGCTCCAATACATCAGAGAGAACATTCCGGACTTTAAAAACGCTGTGATTGTAGCCAAGAGCGCTGAGGTTATGCATAAGGTACGCAAAAATGCTCTTTTTGTTATTCAATTTTTGGTCTGGTGTAATATAATTTTCTCATGGTTAATATAAAATTTCCGTTTATATGTGTTTTTGAGCTAAATTTCTTACTGATAGAGGAAAGAAATTTTGATTCAAATTATTTTAAGGCCACCAGTTATGCGGATCGTCTTCGTTTGGGCATCGCTGTTATCCATGGGGAAGCGCCGAAATTCGAAAGTGATGGAACGTTGAAGCACGATGGCCGTCAAAGCCCGCCATTAAACCAAGATCGCCCTACAACTAGCTCTGGAAGGTTGAGTTCGTCCAGTCAAGGGGCAACATTGGGAAACGCGACTTATGAATTGTTCCCAGTTTTGGTAAGGATCATATAAAAAGTGCCAAAAAAGTCTCTGAAATTTTAAGACTGCCAAGGAAAAGCCTCCATTGACTGTTGTGGGGGATGTTGGAGGCAAAATTGCAATTCTTGTGGACAATATCATCGATGAGGCCCAATCCTTCGTCGCCGCGGCTGAATGTCTCAAAAAAAGAGGTGCCTACAAGATTTATGTGGTCGCTACGCATGGAATTCTGTCGGCTGATGCCCCCAAAATCATTGAAGACTCGTGTATTGATGAAGTGAGCTTGTTGTACACTTTTTTTTGGAAATAATTTTGGTGGATATCAGTGTAATATAATTTTTAGGTCATTGTGACCAACACAGTCCCCCATGAAGTCCAGAAAATGCGTTGTCACAAAATCAAGACGGTAGACATCTCCATGATCCTTTGCGAAGCCATTCGACGCATTCAGAACAAGGAATCGATGGCTTTTTTGTTCAAGGATATTACACTTGATGATTAAGATTGAACCCATTTTTTTGTATCAATGAAAAGGTATATATAGTAAATAGTTATCTGAAATGTTAGATGAAGACTTATTGTTGAGTCTGGGATAAAATACGATATTTTTTGAGCGATTTTTTTCGGAAATTTGAAATTTTTTTTACCAAAAAATGTTTGATTTTTGGTTGAAATATTCCGGGTATGAAAACAAATTTGCCAAAATTGCATTTTTCAATTAATTCGAATCCACTTCATCTCTGTGGACTCCAAAAATTGAACTTTTACGGTAACCACCACCCCGTTTACCCTGCGGCAAACTTTATAAAACCGACGACGAGTCCGCAGCACATGACTGGGACTGATAACAGAATCCTTCGATATCTTTTTTATAACGACCGAAACGAGGGTTAATGGCGTCGGGATGGCGGGAAAAGAGTGAGGAGAAAACGGAAATTTACTCTTTTTTTATTTTGTTTGTCGACTAATCATCGGTTCTTTGGGGGGCTGGGCCAACCTGATTGGGTACTACGATGAATTTCAGGCAATTTTATTATATTAGTTTGGACATAATCAGTGAGTTTAAAGAGTAATTTTGAGATCTTTTTTCGTTGTACTACATCGTTTTTTGCTATGCAAAATTCTCAAGTTGCAAAAGTGATATTTCCTTCAAAATTTTTCTAGATTTTCCGTATGGGCCACAGATTATTTCCTAAAAGTTTTAGCTCATACTTTGCAAGAAGGGCTGAGATATTCAACAAGCTATCTAGACGAGAGATCATGCAAAATGAGGAGAGAGGGCAGACAAAAAGTGTTCTTCGACCATTTCTTTTTGTATTTCGAATGGGAAAGCTCATTTTTTTGTAGAAATATTATACTCTATACCCAAACAAAATTGCAAATTTTGAAGTCAAAGAAAAATATCTGTGATGACAAAAAAAATTTCGAATTTTCGAAAAAAAGGAAATTTTTTTTGTCATTAGGACTTCTAAATAGACATCCATTACTCTTATAATTTGGGCTTTTATACTCATTAAAATTATTTTTTCTTCAAAGAGGTATTGTTTTGACCGCCTTCTCCAAGTCAATTTGCATATGTGCCATAAATAACTCGGGCCTTTTTTGACTTCCTTTTCGCGTAAAATTTTCGGTCCCGCGCAATCTGATGCCGATTATTTATTTTCCCTTGTTTAGGGATCCAGATTTCCAAATATAACTCGTTCCATTTTATAGTCCTTTTTTGGCGATCTCCAAGGTCAGCCGGTTGCTATGACAAAAAATCAGGCATTTTTTTGCATTGTAAAATTTTCATCCAAAATTATGGGTCAGACCGTATTTTACAATCGTTTTATTTTCCGTTTCTTTTTTCGCCGTTTTTCAGGGACAAAACTATTATTGCCGCAATTGACAGATTTCAGTTTTTTTCCTCTCAATTATTGCCTCAGTATTTGGTCTAGGCCACAAATCAATTCCCAAAAAATCTTGCTTTGCTTTGCAGCCACTTTCTGCTTAAAAATCTTGGGAGTTTTGATAAGGACCAAGCCAGAAACTTTTGGTTTTTTGTAGAAACTTCTATTTTAAGTTTGAGCCAAGTTTCATCTAATCTGAGCTACTCACATCAATAATATCAAGATAAAAATTACGGATGTTCGTTTCTTGCCGCAAATTTTGGTCTTTTATATGTTACAATAAACCAGAGTAAAGAAAACTAACGTTACTATTAATAATAGCTAAAATTAGAAAAAGTGGACATATTGCAAGAAGTCTCCGCCGAGCCTTCGCCGAGGCTCCGCCGAGCCTTCGCCGAGCGTTCGCCGACCATCCACGGCTTGGCCAGGTCTTGCAGACACTTCCTACAAACTTTTTTTGGTTGTTTACCCGAACTGCCGTCGACCCGAAAAGTCGGGACGCGAAAAAATCATTTTCCCTCAAAAATTTTCAAAAATCAAAAACCTCCTCTCCCAGGTATGGCCCACCCATTCAATTTCGACTCATATTTCATATTTTGGCGCACAAAAGCAGGCAAAGTTCGCTCGCAAAGGGAGAGGGATTCTGGATGCCCTTCAACGAATCACCGAATCCCATTAAAACACCGTTGGGGCGCGCTCAGGGACCATCTTTTCGCACTTTTCTCTTTGTTTCGCATCGGGTTTTGTTTTTTTGGGAATGAAATGACATTTTCTCGGCTTTGATATGCAGATGCGGATCAATTTTATAGCCGAAATGAGGGTTTAATTATTTTTTAGCGGCTAATTTATAAAAAGTATCCGGGTTTTACAAAATTTGACGGCGCTACGACTTTTCGGGTCAGCGACAGGTCGGCGCAACGATGCTATGGATCGCCTCGGTTTGTCGTTGTATGCGTGAGGGAGGCTAGGAGAAGGCTTTGTTATTATATAGTAATGATAATAAGATTAATTGAGTCCTAGGATAGCATAAGACTTCCTACGAAAGTTTTTTGGACATCCACCTGCCGTACGCCCCATATTGATCGTTTTGTGTTGACCTGAAAAGTCGGGACACGCGAGCGACAGCCTAAAAAAGTCTTATTAAACATAATACCATATTTTCATTCAAAAGCTCGTATTTGACCCAGCTCTACACCTCAACCCGTGCTCACAAATCACACCCAACCTATTCATATCGTATTTTACCCTGCCTCTCTTGCCAAATCTTTCCAATTCCACACCCGCCGTTAACAAATTCCCTTTCCCCCGACATTTTGTCGCCTAAGCTTTCAAAAATCACTCGATTACGTCACATAGTCAGTTGAGCGTGTTCGTCGATAACTCTCCCCTTCCCCTTTCCGAGTAAACACTCCTTCGTGGTTGATTAGGCGCGCCGGCGAAACCAGCTCTATAAAAATTTGCGTTGTTTTGTGTGGCGGGGATCGGGTTACAAGCCCTTGGCAAATCTGTAACCTTGAAGGCGACTTCCGTTCACGATCTCTTCACGCGCCTTCCCTTTTATGGGCAGCACGGTGAGGGGCGTGCGCTTCGGGTTCTCGCATTTTACAAGCCCTTTTTACATGGCTTTTTTTTGTGGGGTTGGAGATGGTTATGGAGTCGGGATCTCGGTAGGGGACCTACTTTTTCTGCGGAAAACAGAAGTTTTGAGGAGTTTTATTGCGATTCATTAATGGGGCTGGATGAGGTTCAGATTTCTGAAAATTGAAATTTGAGTCTTGAGAAAATGTTTTTTGAAACGCAACTTAACCTCTGGGCAACAAATCGCAGCGGTCAAAAAATAGATTTGTCATTGAAGGGCTTTGTTACACGGAATTTCATTTTGGCCCGCAATTGGCCCTTCTGCCCCTTGAAATTGTCGTTAAAGACAGGCTTTACTGTAGGGGAGTTTGTTGCGCATAAATTACGCTTTAGTTAGCATAATTTTATAAGGTTTAAAGTGGTGTTTAACGTGCTCTAATTTCTGAAATACTGAAAGTTTTAGCCCGCGGTTTGCAAGCTAAGCCAAGATTTTCAACGATCGTTGCAGGCAGGAGACTACAGGAAATTAGGAGAGACGGTTAGAGAAGAACGTTTTTCAATAATGTCGGGATCAGTTAGTGAGGAAAGAGTAATTTTTTAACGGTTTATTGCACCTGAATCTCTAAAAATCAGTTTGAACCCAAAAATTTGCGAAAAAATTAAAATCTTTGGATTTTTTTGTTTAAAAATCTTGACTTTGTTGCTGTCCTATAAGCGAAAAGTTTATGATACATGTGTCATATGAAACCCTAATCTTCATTTGTCACAAATTCCATCAAGATCCAACCATTGAAATACGAGTATAATATATATTATATCATGATATTATCCCCTATAAACATGAAGCGAGTTCTTATTCATTTTCAACTCGCGATTTTCAATTTTAGATCTCCAAGTTTCCACAACTCCTTCAGTTAAAAGAAAAGAATCAAAAATAAAAGACAACCCCTTATCACTGTATTGCCCTGCCGTAGCCGAAAGTTTTTGAAATTGGCCGCCGAAGACAATGCAATAATGTGGTTATGGCGGCGGAAGCCTATCGCTTCCAACTGACGCGAGTTTGTTGGAACTCCCTCTGCATAATACTGCTTTTCTCTATGAACAATATTGGTAAGCGTTTTTTAAATCTTTAAAATACGGTATTGAAAATTTGTCGAATTTGTAAAATACGCGTTGGAATGTTGCCACCCCAATTTTTCAGTTTTCCCTTGCAAGGTCGAAGATTGTACCGGCAGATACTCGCAACTGATGCATGACAAAGTCTTGAATCCGACGGAGAGCCCGGAGTATTGTGCGGTAAGGGAGCGTGAGCATTTCTAAAATGCCTTTTTTGATGACTTTGTGGTAAATTTCCGTTGATGATTTATTGTAGAAAGAAAACATTTTTGGCACGAAGCTAACTTTGCAAAATAGGAGTAGAAAAAAAGATGTTTTTGCGGAAACATTGAGCTTCATGCAAATAGAACTCTGGTTTTTGGCTCCTAAAGTCCAAAAAAGTGTTTTCCCGTCTCTCCAGTTTTCTTATAGTCTCTTTTCTCTCTCTCTCTCTCTCTCTCTCATCATTTTTAAAAAAATTGCTGCCAAACCTCTGTACAGCGAATTGGAAGATACCAAAAAAAAAACACATTCGTTATAGCAATGTTTTATTTCTGCAGAAGTTAATTTCGACCTGAAAACGACCACAAGACCCCTAATTTTTTGTCGTAGACAGGTCTTGTTTTGCAGAGCTTCCACTGTACTCCCACATGATAAATATTGATTACATTTATCTCGTTGATTACTTGTTTTTCAGGGGCAAAGTTGCGAGAACATTGAATTTTGGAAACACCCGGAGAAAACGCCCTTTTTTGTCCTGTTTTATTGCTCGGAGCGCGTTTTCCGTGATAAAATTTATGTTAAAACAAATCGCGGCGACTTTACGATCCCCCTTCATGAAAGATTAAACATTGGTCTTGATGATCATTAAAGAAAAAGCTTAAAAAACCAAAAAAAAAATCGAATTTCAGGTGCTTTTCGAGTATATTCAATGTCTGACGACAATCCAGACCGAATGCCGATCGTTCTTACACTTCCACTCATCTTTTACCGCCGCCAATCAGCGATGGAAGCGGTTTCGATGCGAGAAAGAGACGTTGCCGGCGTTGGAGACAAGTCGGGAGCAGCAAACGTATGAATTATATGTTGGAGTAGACATTAAAAGATTAAAACTTGAAAAAAATGATTCTTGCATACGAGTAAACATAGCGAGCAAGAAATTGTTTACTGTAAAAAAGTTTCGTTATACGGGGGTTCGTTTTGGCCTAAATTCAATTCTTCGGTTCTCAGAACAATGTTAGTAGTAGACAAGTTTCGCTAGCAGGAATTCGGTGTGGAGAGGTTGCATTGCAATCAAAAACAACCCAATTTTTTAAAAATACGTCAAAAAAAGTTTAAAAAAATATGAAAATAAAAAAAATTTTAGTTGCTCCGCCATGCCGCGAGAAGATCAACGAACATGCGCGTTTTTCGGCCGCGCCCATCTCCGCCGCACTGATGGGGCCATGGAAACTTGTGCTGAAATCGGCACTCGGCCCTTGATTGACAACAAATTTTTGGTTGTACAGGTAAGTTAAGCCCAACTTTTAAAAATTTTTTACCCTTTTTATGGTGGTTACAATTCGATTTTACAGGTGACAACGCGGCCCGAAACATATTCGCAATATCCATTGGTTGTTGTTTCAAAGGCAAGTCGTGGAAAATTTTAATGCTACTATTTTACACAACGGAAAAATTACAAGGGAATAAAAAAAATGTGTTTGTTATAGTGGGGCCACACATTTTTTGGTTGTTGAGCGCTTGTTTTGGCCTAAAATTAACCTTTGGGACGTGTGAAATTGTTCAATAGACAACTTTTTGTTGTACCGGAGTTCGTTGTACCAGGGGTAAAAATGGATTTCTTCCTCCGAAATTTCAACTCTTTATGTGTGGGCAGTGAGACCTCTGTACAACAAAACTTCTCTATAACAAACACTTCTTTTTTGAATTCAGGTTTATTCTTCAGACGGTTGTATCATCTGTCGGGAAAATTATGAACACAGTGTCGCAGTGCCCAAGAAGTGAAAAATCATTTTTATCGCGACAAAATTCATTTTCTCGGCGGCGATGCGACTTTCGATACAACAGAATGCTTATTATTTTCCCGACAGACTGATATTTAGAAGTCTGCCAAACTTTGACATTTTCCATATGTGTCTACACCTGTGAAGACGGGTCATTAGATTTCTCTCACATGGCGCCTGGACTGTCATTTTTATTTTTCACGCCATTTCACAATGTCGGCGTTTCCGCGCAGATGTCTGAACCAGTAAAAGAGAATTGGGACGGAAGTCATTTAATGGCCGTTTTTTGGTACATGTTTCTTTTTGAGTAGCCGCTGAATTTTACTGTAATCGTCTATTAAGGTCTTCATTTTGATCTTCTAGAAATTTGATCAAGAAATTGCGTTTTTAAAAGGCCTTTCTTGAATGATAATGCAGTAAAATCTCTGTAAAAAACTCTCGTAATAAAAACTGTCTATAACGAACAATTCCAGCGGAGTCAAGGCTCAATTGAAGGCCAAAACGAACTCTCGCATAACAAAACCTTTTCTATAACAAGCAAATTTTTTGGTTTCTTGCGATTCATTGTACAGAAAACTGCGTGTAGCTCATCAACGATCAATTTGTACCCCTAACTCCGCAATTTCAACCTAATTTCTGTGCAAATTACACTTCCTGATGTCACCCGCTCCTTATCCACCAACACAATTCACCGATTTGCGGACGCTCTAATCGATTAATTTCCAAACTTTTCAAAGCCCGTCGACCCGTAAACTTGGTTTCGGTTTCCCGCAAAACCGGCGGCTCTTGCGCGCCATTGATTTACGACGGCGTTCCGTCGACGAATCAGTAGACAGAACGTCGACGAACCGCTTCCGCTCTTCGTGGAAATGGAGACAGCGCGGCGCCCATAAACTTGGGAAAAAGATTTATATCGTGCGCTTCCGCCGCCGGGCACAATGCTCGGGAATTGTAGGGTTAGGCGTACTGTAATTTGGATGTGAAATTGAACTTTTGATGACAGTAGGGAACGTTAGTTTTGTCAAAATCTGGTAATTGGAGAGATGTGAAGAATGGCTTATACAGTAAATAAAAGTAAATCAAAGATGGTAGACATATGAATTTTGATCAAGCTTGGGTCAAGTTTATCAATTAGCGCATGCACAAAATTTTGGCTAATTATAGAAAAATCGTAATATTTTTCAAGTTGAAAATTGTCCAAAGATTGCTTGAACAGAAAAATTTTCAGACACAAACAAAATTTTTATTGAATCGCGCGTTGCAGAAACTTTTTTACAATATCATTTTGGAAACCTTTTTCTCTGTAGCTACTCTATATTATCGCTCACGAAAGTCTTTTTTAGAAACTAAATTTCTTGATCCTTCAATTCTCTTTTACCGATTCAGACGGAGACGCCGACATTGTGTAATGGCGTGAAAAGAAAAAATGACATTCCAGGCGCCATGTGGGATAAATCCAATGATCTATCTTCAAATGAGTAGTAGAGAAACACAAGTAGAATATGCAAAACAGCAACAAGTACCCAGATTGTACACCTGCTCTAGCGATTTGGATGAAACTTGGGCCACATTTTGAGCAAAAAGTTTTGAGCTGTTTTGAAGACATACCTGAGGTTGATTTTCTGATTTGATTTTGCAGAAAAAATCGGGATTATTAGGCCGAAACTTGTAATAAATTAGAAATATTTTATTGGGAGAGGCACTTTCAAAACTAACATTCAATTTTCGATGAATACATAGAGATACAATAATATGCATAAAACAATAACCCCTTTCAGGTATCCATTATATTACGTTCGAACAGTCTCTGCGAAGAGACGCGTATCTACCAGGCGGACGCAGAAGACCCCCGTCTTCCGAACGCCTTTACCGATGGCACAACCTACGCCGGTGATGACAATGATCCTCCTCTCAGTCTGGCCAAGCGGAATGAATCCACAATTCGAATCTTTGTTAATTACCTGGCAACGGAGATTGTGATCCACAAGATTGAAAACTGTCGACTGGCGGTCGTTGTGAATACTCCGGAGAAGGTGTTACATCTCGAGTACGACGACTCGCCGCTCCGCCAACTTTGTCTGACCGGCTGTCCGTTGGCTGTACATAATGTTAGAGAGGCCATTGAAGAGACCAACACTTTCACGAAATGTCAGGGACTTAGGAGGACAAAGTACGAAAAACCCGAGGCTTATGGTAAGAAAATTTGTTGAGGATTTTGCAAAATGGGAAAAATGATATTTGGCCCGGATTTACGAAGAAAGTAGTTCAATTGCGACGCTAAAATTTTACAGGGTCTTTCAAGAAACGTGAAGGAATAGAAGGCTATAACTTTCGGCGGGGGCGGCGCAGAGAGCTCGTTTTTGGAACATGTATTTTTAAGCAACATTATTTTTTGCCTACGAAATAACAAGCTTTTAGAGTGCAAACTGAGGTCGCTACGACCTTCTGAAGTAGAGGCATCTCTACCCCGAAAACCAGGTTTTTTCGGTTGAAAATGATCGAGAAATTTTGGTCTTTTTCGGTTGAAAATCACCAAGAAATGTCGGATTTTTTGGGGGGTTTCGATAGAGTTGACGCTGAAAAAAAGGGAAGGATGTTGCCAACACGTTGGAAATTAAGCAAATATTCGGCTAGCCTCAACTTGGGGCAGATTTCGAGTTTATTTTTCAGTATCTTCCGCGAAGAAGCGTGACATCATTTAGGGATTTGAGGAACCTGGAATCGGCTAGCCAAGGCACCAGAATGGCTGTGAAGTCTTATAAAAACTAGTCAAAGGGTGTAATAGGCGTCAAAGGGCAGGAATGACAACCAAGCTTTAAAACTGCTAGCAAAAACTGGCTAGCCCAAGTGTCAGAATAAAGAGTAGCCGAATATTTGCTTAATTTCCAACGTTTTGGCAACATCCATCCCTTTTTTCAACGTCAACTCTATCGAAACCCCCGAAAAAATCCGACATTTCTTGGTGATTTTCAACCGAAAAAGACCGAAATTTCTCGATCATTTTCAACCGAAAAAACCTGGTTTTCGGGGTAGAGATGCCTCTACTTCAGAAGGTCGTAGCGACCTCAGTTTGCACTCTAAAAGCTTGTTATTTCGTAGGCAAAAAATAATGTTGCTTAAAAATACATGTTCCAAAAACGAGCTCTCTGCGCCGCCTCCGCCGAAAGTTATAGCCTCCTACTTTCCTTCACGTTTTTTGAAAGACCCTGTAATGGAACTTGGCTCAAATTAAGAATAATTTTTTTTCCGAGAGATTTTATAAAAGCGTTTCTTTGTAAAAATGATCGAAAATTTTGGTCAAAAAGTTGGCAAAGGCTTGACACTTTTTGCCAAATTTTGGTCATGAAAAATGTCATGATTATGCCAACCGGAGATGACAACATTTCTACAAAAAATCAATTTTTTCTGGGAGAAACTAGGAAAGTTATGGCCAAACGTCGGTAAAATTTGCAGAATATCCCGGTTGACAAGGCAAAACGCAAGCTAAAATTTTCACGAATTTAATGCATTATCTATTTTAATATGGTTTTTGAATATCTCAGTTGCAGCAAGAAAGCTGATGCTAAAATCTAGGGAAGTATTTTTAGGGACCAATTTAACTGGATTTCCCGAAAATCCTAGAACTAAAATTGGTTTAGTCTTTACGTAAAAATATTATGCCATTTTCCTAATGACTCCTTTATCCCTCAAATCCCCGTATTTTCTTATTATAAAGACCTCTAGATGTATTAATACTTGATCCACTTTCAGACGTCTGCCGTCAAGACCACGTCCGTGGTGATCTCCATTCCAGTTGCGCATTTGACCTCATGTTTGGCACAACCCTCTCCTCTAAAAACCGCACCGAAGCCGCTGAACAAATCGTTGACGAATGGCATACAGTAGTCAGGACACTGCGTTACTTCGACGCGTTGAAATCAACCAGAAGTCGAGCGGCCATCGCATCGGTCCGGAGATTGGAACGGACTCGAGTGAAATGCGCCTTTTCTGCGGCGAATACTCTTGGGCGTAGCGGGTCAATTTTTATTTCGTTATTTGTTTTTGTAATTTGTTTGATGAAAGACATTTTGTAACTAATTTTTTGTTGGTCAATTATGGCAATAGAATGTGTTTGACGGTAGCATAATGTATTTTTTATAAGACTTGCTCAATTTTCGTGAATAAATCGTTGATCTTTTGTTATTTTTTAAAAATTTTTGTCGAGGCATGCATGGAGGAGGCCAGGAAAAGGCTCACAAAGGAAGTACCAAAAGTGCGATGGCGATGGTCAGATTTTGATGAAACTTGGTACAAATTTAAAATATTTTTTTCTATGACGTATACGAGACTCGCAGTTCGCGCCTTGCAGAAATAACCGAGATTTTTAGGTCGAAAGTTGGAATAAATTCATATTTTTTCTTTTTTTGCAAATTTTGGCATAATTTTTTTTTCATCTATTTCTATCGTAGAGGCTAGTTTTTATATACAAAAATAATTCTTTCCTCACAAAACTGGCAAAGAAGGCCAAGAATTGCTTTGTTTCTTTGTTACCTCTCTCCGCATTTTGCGTACTCTCTCGGCCGCAAAGATTGTTGAATATCTCGGCTGTGCCTGCAAAGCGTGAGCTAAAACTCTCAGGAATTGCTATGAGTCCTATGCTCAAAGTATGAGCAAAATTTAAAGAAAATCCGGGCGTGGGTACTTCGCTTGTCAGCTATCAGAAGTAACAAGACTGATCGCGTCCTTGTACAGTTTATCAATTGACTTCAAATACTTTACGTGGGTTTCTTAAAAAGTTATTTTTGAAAACAATATTTTTTATTGTATTCCCCCGTACATGTTCGTTTAAAAAAACATAATCGATAGGTCACTCACTAATCAGACGTCTGTTATCAAGGTTCCCCTCCACACGCGGGAAAGCGCCGATTAAAAGTCCAGTGATTTGTTTTTCCATCAATTCTTTACTACTCTACTTGAAAGCAATGCGGAGTAATTTGGTGTTGGCGATTGTGTGCATCTATGGAATTGCCAAGGAATTTCGGCCCGCGACGCCATTCCTGACGCCTTTTTTGGTGTCAGAAGAGAAGGGATTCACGAACAAGGAGGTTTACAAACAAATGTATCCCTTCTGGACGTATTCGTATCTACTCGTTTTAGTAAGTTGTTTTCTAATTTTACAGGAAAAACAAGTATGTAAAAACGAAAAAAGTATTTTTAAATATTAGGTTGGAACGAAAGTTTTCCCCTTTGTTTTTTTTTCAAACAAATTTACTTCACAGTTGTAACGGTATAAGCCGTGACTCCGAAAGTTCGTGCGGGACAAATTAACCATACTTCCACACTTTTCCCAACCGATGTAGGTGGTCCATTATGGTAGTATGGGAGAGCCCAAGGAGCTCTCCAAGTTCACGTGATGGTGATTTGGGATAGCTCTCGATTAAGCCTTTTAGGGCGTCATCATCGATCTCAGATGGCCGCCAGAACTTGGTCGTCTGGCTCCTTTTTTTGAACCTAAAAGATTACGTCCTTGCCTATAACATCCAAGATTTCGGTTATATCTTCCATGGGTTTTATTTTTCTGCGATAGTTTTAAAATTGGACGCATCGAACCAGCAACTTTGGGACGGAAATTTTTCCACTTTTGGAGAGCGCTATGGGGACAAGTTACATATCTGTCTACATGTTATTAAGTCACCCTTACATAGTCGCATGATAAAACTTTCCAGGAAGTTTCACAACTTCCATGACTTTTCCCGACAAATACATAACAACACAAACCCACGCATAGTTAAGGATAGGCGACGGATGTGAAATTGTGTCGCATTTTATATTGCACTAACGACTGGGATGGAATGTAAATTTAATTGGAAGAGTATTTTTGTCTTTTCATTATAGCCTAATAACGGTCAATATTGCCAGCTTTTCGGATTGTGCGAATAAATTGTGAACCGAACGACATGATAAAAAAAAACCAATTAGATTGAATTGTTAAGATTATCGAAGTTACATTGAAGTGCACTTTAAAGTCTTGGGTGATGAAATGACGATTTTTCTTTATCTAATGCAGTCCGTGATGTTCGCCACCTTTACGTGAAAAAAACGTCAGTGTCATCTGCAATCAATTTCGCGTCCCGACTTTTCGGGTCGACGACTGTTCGGGTCAACACAAAATCAATCGATACGCGGCATAGGGCAGGTGGATCCCCAAAAAGGGGTTGTAGGAAGCGCCTACAAGGCCTGGCAAAGCCGTTAGATGGTCGGCGAACGCTCGACGAAGCCTCGGCGAAGACTTGTAACATGTCCGCTTTTTTAATTTTGGCTATCACTAACGTTTGTTTTTCTTTTTCCTGAGTTATTGTGTAGCGGGTGGTATTGTTCCGTTGGTTCTGTAGCGCATCTTAATTAGCTCAGAGGGTGTGCGTACAAATGTACCATTTTGCATCCTCGTGTTTTGCTACATTCTTTGATACATCCCGGATTACCGTTTGAAAGAGAGAGGAGGGGGGGGGGATGTTTTTGGGGCCTACGTTTTCTAAAGATCTCTAAACTTCTCCAACAAAGTAGCTGTACTGGCCATTGAAGACAAGAAACTTGCCCAAAATTTTATTTTATTCCATTAAAAAGTCAATGTTTTAATTAAAATTAGTTTTCTTGAATTCCTTGGCGTCCAGTACTCTACTCCCATTTACTGCTTCTTCTTGCCCCCGGCAAGTTTGTCCTCGATCTTTTTAACAGCCTCGCGGTATTCTTTCTCTGTCATTTTTGGTCCGCTCAGCACATCAAGGAGGCTTTCAATATCGTCCACTATACTACAAATTTTTGTTTTTTTGCCAGCTTCTTTGTAGAACATGATGTCTTCAAGGAAGTCGCCCAACTTTTTGTTCATCTACTTGAGGTTTCCGCGAATTCGGTCGTTAACTTTGTTCTGAAACTCTCAAATGGAAGTAGGCCGTTTAGTGCACAACGGGAATAGCCGTATTTTGAACAAAACGAACCTTTGCCATGGTCTTCAGATATTGGTAGCATATCCGAAGATTACAGTTTTCAACGCGAGTGGCTACGGGAATCAGATTATCACGTATCTGTTTTGCTTTTCTGACAACTTTGTCGAATTCCGGGCCTCTAGGATCGTTGTCTTTGATGCTGAGAACGTTGTTGTCCTGCTCGCTGATATCCGCTGAAATGTTCATTCTTTCTCTGTCCGAAATAGTGTTCAGCTGAAAGAAGGGGCTTAGCGGGATTGTTGACAATAAGAAAAACTTTTGCTTAGTTTTAACCAAAGAACACCACTATTGACAGTGTCAGTGACATGCGCTAAGCTAATGGCACGAATTGCTTGTTTAAAGAGGTACTTTTGAACCGCGTATTTGACAGATTGAGAAACAAAACGTCCAAAAAAATTTATTCAAAACGAAATGTCAACAAATGTGTTTTCGTCTACTGTTGTAAATACTAGTCCGTTCGAAAAGTCGCTGGAGTGATAGCAAAAGTTTTCTTCGCCCTATGCAATTTCGTACTTTTTGCGCCGTAGCCTTTCGGGCTGTCGCATGCACCCTGCATTTTTTCGCACAGTGCGTCACCGAAATCACTCCGGCGCTTGACGAACGGACTAGTATTGTAATAACGACGAAAAAAAGCCAGCATTATATTTGCATGCTTTCTAATGATTACATATAAAGGTGGTCATATATATGTAAGATCTCGGAACTTTTTTTCCCCAAATCGCGATTTTCAGTGCACAAAAAAGTCGACGCCCAAAACGAAAAATTGGCGTCGGCTTATTTTTTTCTCGGCACCGAATTCTGAAATTCGGTAAATTTTTCTAAGTTTTTCGAAATCAGTGAACAAAGTCTGCTCCGAAGACTTCAGTGCTTAAGTCAGCACGCATTTCGGAATCCGGTGCTGAAAAAATTACGTTGACGCCAATTTTTCGATTTGGGCGTCGACTTTTTTGTGCACCGAAAATTGCGATTTGGGAAAAAAAAATTCCGAGATCTTATATGACCACCTTTATATCTTACTGTTCGCAATTTTGCCAATTTTGTTCTTTCGGCCGGACATACAAAAAAATTTTTGTTTCTCGTTGTCCAGGCCCTTTATAAGCTAGCCACACTGAACCTTTAACGGAAGGCAAAGTTTCTCCTTTTAACAAATCTTCTTTAACTCTCAAACTCTACAACTTACCATTTCCATAAGCCGTACTGTAAATGCTCCAACCAAGTTTTCGTCGTATTCGAAACCAGAGTCTTTAGCCACAAGAGTTATTTTACGGATTATTTCCGCCTGCTTGTCGCCGCTTGCATCGACGACAACCAAGACAAGACATAACAGCACAAACCCACGCATAGTTAAGGATAGGCGACGAATGTGAATTTGTGCCTGAGTTTATATTGCAGCATCGACTGGGATGGAATGCAAATTTAATGGGACGAGTATTTTTGTCTTCTCATTATAGTCCAATAAAGCGCAATAATGCCAGCTTTTCGAATTGTGTGAATAAATTGTGAACGGAAGAACATGATAAAAAAACCAATTAGATAGAATCGTTAAATTTATCGAAGTTACATTGAAGTGCACTTTTATGTCTTCGGCGATGAAATAACGATAGATTTTTCTTTGTTTAATGGTGTCCGTGATGCCCTGTTGTCATTTTGAGCGAAAATCGGCACCGATAGGTGGCGGCAAAAAACCTCGGAATGCTGTGCATAATAGAAGTTATTTTCAGTTGGTTTTTGATGGAACTTGCGCAAATTCAGACCAACTTTTCTCTAATAAGGCAAGTTCCCGCATTTTGTAACAGCTGCATAGATTTTTAAGGGCGTATTTTTCCATCGAGATCCGTGGCTTTACGAAACTTTTTCAAACTGTACAAAAATTGAAAAATTGTCTCCTAGACATTACAAACAACGTTTCCATTAACATTTTTTCAAAATTATTTGTCATATCTCGGAAAACTGTAACTTGACCACAAATCCTATATCTCAAAAACTAGATCTCCTACAAGGACGGGATCACTGCTTTAAGAAGATTGGAGAAAATTTATCAGTTTTGTATTTATATTTTTTTTCCCAAAATGAAAAAATTGGTGTGTACTTCGTATTTTAACTACTCCTTAGATTCCAGTCTTCATTTTGACGGATCGTCTAAAGTACAAGCCCGTTGTGGTTTTGGAGGCGCTCAGTTTGACTGCCACTTGGACTTTGTTATGTTTCGGAACCACTATTCGGCATATGCAAATTATGCAGATTGTTTTCGGTAAGTATAGTAAATATTAACAACACCGTATTTTAAAATAATTTTCCATTTTTTTTCAATTTCAGGCATTGCCTCGGCCTCTCGAATAGCCTACTTTTCCTATATTTACGCCGTCGTGGACAAAAGTCAATTCAAAAAAGTGACGTCATACATTCGAAGTTCGGCGTTGGTCGGCAAATTTCTTGCATATTTGTCAGCACAAGTGCTGATTTTGACGAGCCTCGCTGACTACTTGATTCTGAATTTTATTACGCTGGGAATAGTCAGCATTGCCCTGGTTTTATCGCTGCTCTTACCGACAGTTCAGCGACCGAAAATTTTGAATCGAATTTCGGCGGAAGAAGAGGGCCTCCACAACGTCCCATTGACCGAAACCTCAGAATTACAAGATAAACATAGCGATAAAAGTCAAAGAAATATTGTCATGGTAAGCGAAAATTGTCTTAAAAATTGTTTACAATGGGTTAAAAAGTAATCAAAAAAGCTTTTAGTATATAATCAGCGATTCGACGGTACTGATATGGTCAATTTGGTGGGCATTGGCGTCTTGTGGATCGTTTCAAGTAGCGAATTACGTCCAATCTTTATGGGAACCTATGCAAAAGGAAGGACAATTTGTGGGAAATGGATTTGTCGAGTGCTTGAATACACTTACTAGTAAGTTGAATTACGCAAACTTTTATTATGCGTTCGGTAATAAGCTTCCTTTGGCCTAGATTCAACGGCCTTTTTTAATGTCAGCCAGCCAATTCTTAGCGCTGCTTTACTCGAGTTTCATAGGATCTTGGCTTCGCTTAGTTTGCTTAGTTACAAGCGTTGATGTAGCCTTCGTAACATCCGCCAAGCAATCCCGAAGCCATAATGAATCCTCGGGCAACATTCGTCTTGCTGTGAAGGGAAAAACAACATGAAGGGCTGTTTCGGAGCCTAGGCTTGTTGGCCAAAAACGGCACCGCCTGCTGTCATCGCTAACAGGAGAAGTACCCCAAGTGGGACGCTCAGATTTTGATGAAACATGGCACAAACTTTGAATATTATTTTCTAAGACATATTCGAGAATCCTAGCTCGCTGTTTGCGGAAACAATCGAGATTTTTTGATCGAAAATCGGCGAAAATTTGACAATTTTTTGCCAAACTTTGGCACGAAAAGTTTCATACCTAATTTATACCATAGAGGGTAATGCTTCCAGAAAACATCAATTTTTCCCGCACGAAACTAGCGAAGTTATGGCCAAAAAGCGTTTAGAGCTCAAGCTAAAACTTTCGGGAATTGATATTTAGTCTATTCCCAACATGTGCCGCACTTGGGGTACTTGCCTTGTAAGGAGCCGCTGAGTCTCGGCCGAAAGAAGCTGGAGACCCACTAATTGTATACGTTTACGGTGACAAAGCGGCTTACGGGCAAAAACAATAAGGCGAATGGATTCAAGAGATCCTCAGATTTCTTTCAAGTTTCGTCGATAATGATCATGAGAAATCGAAGACAAAAATTTGACCCTTTAATTCACAAAAATTGGTCAATTGTTTTCAAGTTTCGACTTGAAAATCATGGGGTTTTTCTGCCGAAAGATTTTTAGTTATTGTAAGAAGTGTATGAAAACGAATCGTATTTTACAAACATATACACATGAAAGTTTTAAAATTGATTTTTCAGGTACCCTGCTCACCTTCTCCCTCCAATACATCAAGTTTGATTGGAGTAAACGCTCAGAACTCGTCTTCTTTTCCTCTTCTCTGACCTCCTCTCTCCTCCTCTATGGAATGGCCCAAACTTCTTCCATCTGGATATCGTATCTTTTCTACATTATCAACTCTTCGTTATATCAAATGTTAATGGCAGCAGCAACAGATACAATCGCAGAGAAGATTGAGTCGCGAAGATACAGCCAGATCTTTGGATTCAACACGTTTTTGGCCCTACTTTTACAGTCCATCCTCACGTTTACAGTGAATCATCAGCTGGATATGGAGATTCGAAGTCAATTCTTCGTTTACAGCGTGTACTTCGGAGCGATTTGCGCCGTTTTTGCGGTGTATTGTGTAATTTCGAGGTGTGTGAAATGGTTTAGCAAAGAAAGTTAAAAAAATTTTTTTTGGATATTGTACTGGACATCAAAGTTTTCAAATCTCAAAAAATTTTTTATTTTTAAAAATTTTTTGACCAAAAAATCTCGAAATTTTCTGCAAAACGCAAACTAAAAATCTCGAAAAATCTTTCAAATAATTTTCAATTAATTTATTTCTCCAAAGAATCATACAAAATAAATTTCCGGCTTGGCTCACAAAAAGTATTTGAAATCGGACAGATCCGTCGGCAGCCCGCTGTAGAATTGGGTCGGATCTGCGCCGGAGGTCAGGGGGTTCCCACCAAGATTGGCGACGGGATTCGCATACGGGTTCAGCATGGGCATGGCGCCGGCGGCAGCGGCGGCTGCGGCCGCCGAAAGGGCTTGTTGGCTGTCTGAAAAGGCTAAATTAAGGTGATTGAATGTCTTGGAGGGATGGAAAATTGGTGGAAATGATATTAGGGGTATTTTTGTGGCCGATTTTTTGTTGGAAAAATAGAAAATTTTGAAAAAATTGATTTTTGAAAATATTTTTTTTTTTGAGATTTTTGCTAATTTTGATGGAAGAGATGCTAAATTATGTTTTAAATCTAAATTTAAAGACTTCTGCAATTTTTTGGAAACATTTTTTCAAAAAAAATCAAAAAAATTTTTTTTAATTTGAAAAAAATTCAAGTTTTTCAACAAAAAATATGTGGAAGCCCTCAAAATTGCATCTAACATGCTGTAATTCCACTTCAATCCCCATTAAAATGCCCAAAATACTATTGATTAGCTTACTTTCCGCCTGTCTCCTGGCCGCATAAAAGTGGGCCTCCTCCTGAGCCTTGGCAATGTTCTTCTTATACCGGATCCTCTTATTTCCAAACCAATTCGACACCTGGGATACTGTAATTTGACATTGTCGCGCCAATTCTTCCTTCACTTCCTCGGATGGATAGGGATTCCCAATGTGGGCGTGGAAGTAATCGTTCAGGATTTGAGTGGCTTGCTTCGAGAAATTGCGACGTTTCCTTCTGAAAATTTGAAAGGTAAAATACGGATGGAGAAGCCATAAAAATTTAAAAATTTTTCGATTTTTTTGATGAAAAATGTTTTGATTTTTGCCAAGAAAAATTCGTAACTCTTTCATAAAAAATTTTCTGATTTTTTGTGGAAAAAGTTCAAAAACCCTCAAAAATCGACTTCCTTAGTTTTTCACAATTTTTGAAAAAAAATCTCCCCTAAACTCTCACCTTGCATCGCACATTCTGGTCTTCAAATTGATGATTTTCTCGCATATATTCTGCTTCAATTGTATTTGAAACCGGCTCAACCGCTTCCGGCAGATCCCCACCATCCTCTGGATTTCGTGGCCCGCAATTGGGCGGACCTGGCCTTGGACGTCGAGCAATTTGCGGACATGTTCCGTGAATTTGCTGCACTCCATCTCGTATCCGGTCATTTTCTGATGGTAGTCTTGGCGGATTTCCGACAGCTTTTGCAGGTACTCGGTGTTGTCGGTGGAGGCGTTCCCGGCGGTCGACGATTGGGGATAATGGCTGGGGTCGGGGCCGATTACATGCTCCACCAGGAGCATGTTGTCCAGACGGGCCAGGTCCGGGTTCTCGCCATTTTCGTCGGGCTGATTGCGGATTGAGAGGGCTGGAAAAGAGGAAAATCAAGGTTGGGACAACGAGTCATGTGATGGAAGCGCAACTTTTGTATTTCCTTGAAATTTTGCCCATCCATTGGGCTTAGGCTACTAATTAATCCTTGAAAATTTAAGCTCCCGCTTTGCAAGGGCAGCCGAGATATTCAGCAATCTTGTAAGGGATAAGTAATAGTAGTACAATGGTAAGAAAAACGCTTTTTTGGATCTAGATTTTCCAGTACTTTTGGGTGTAAAACGTCTATTTTCTGTTGAAATATCTCCCTTATCATTAGAGGCCGTATCCTAAGAGGCAAGGCACCAATTTCTCACGTTTAAAGTTGCAAAATTTGATGATTTTTTTTTCAAATTTCGACCTGAAGGTCATCAAAACTTCAGAGTTGCTAACCCTGAAATCAAAACACCTCTATAGAGAAAATTACGAAGCTTTGACGGTATTCAAATTAATTACAAGCTCAGAATTTATGGTTTATGCGAGCCACTTCACAACTTTCAAATACAAATCTCTTACCAGTTTTCCTTTTGATATTGACCAACTCCGAATACAGCGCTTGTTTCAGAGGGTGCGCCAACAATGCGTTCTTTTTGGCACTGAAAATTGAAAGTCATAAAGAAACACAATAAAATTTGTGATGAAAAATTATTTTGTAAAAGTGCTTTCTTTGGAGTTTTTTTTATAGTGGTGGGATACTCTAAGAGCGCTCAGATTTTGATGAAACTTGACAAAAATTTAGAATATTATTTTCCTAAGAAATATGCGAGATATCTAGCCCGCGCTTTGCAGAAAGGATCGAGATTTTTGAATCGAAACTTGAAAAACGTGTGACAATCTTTTTCGAATTTTATCATTACGAGTTTCATACTTATATTTCTATCGTGGAGGAATAGATACGGCCAAAAAACACTCCTTTTTATAAAAAAAAAATTCTTTTTCAGGAATTGAAATTTGACCTTTCCTCAAGTGTGTCCAAAATTATACTAAAATCTGAGCGTTGCACTTGGGAGCTTTCCCTTGAATAAATATAAGTTTAAAAACTCACTTCACCGAGTTATTATCCTCCAAAGACTCCTCCGAAATGTACTGGAGTTGTTGAAGGAGGTCGTCCATGGTTGTCGGAGTGTAATGGACCTCCGGCATGATGACTGAAGGTAAAAAGATAAATAAAAAAGTGGTGAGATTGTAAAATACGGGGTATTAATTCGGGTTTTTGTTAAAATACCGGTAAAAAGTAAATAAAAACGTATTTTTCAAAAAAAAAACCAAAAATAAATTATAAATGTAACATACGGATGAATGGTTTGTTTCTTCACATTAACTAAAAAGGGCATACAATTTTTCAAATCTACCAATGCCTTCGTCAACCAATTTTTTTTGAATTTGATCGGAATGTAAAATACGGTAGACTGCTGTGAAAAAAATTCTTCAGAATCTGAATAAATCTGTATTAGAAAATGGCCAAATCAACCGCTGAACGCCCAAGATCTGTTTTGAAGCCCTTAAGAGTTGTAAAATACGATACACCCATTCAATTGATTTTCTTTTATTGGTATTTTTACCTCTAAATCCCCGTTAAAATTTGCAATGAAACTTTAAAAATCGTAAGGTCGCTGTTTTCAGATCCAAAAAACTTTATTTAACGTAAAAATTTCGTGAGGCATGGTAAAATACGAAGCAAAACCTTAATCAAAACAAATTTCATGCTGCTCTCCTCCCAAACCCTCTATAAATTTGCATAAGTTTTTCCCCAAAGAAAGCCCGCTCTGGTTTGCGGTACAAGCAGAAGATTAAGCTCAGGGTCCCCTCCACTCGCAGATAGATCCATTTCGGAAAAAGAAGTGAGCGTCGATACGCTTTCCCTTTAGCTTCTCCGGGGTCATTGATCTCGGCGATCGCAGAGACGCACAGAGAATCCGATGGCCGTTTTATTCGAGCAGGGCCACTCAAGCGCGCTATAACGGGCAAGGTAAATGGATCAGAACAAGCGTGCGAGGGCGGGATAAAGATTGCATTCAGCGTGTTGCGGATGAGGGATTTGGGTGAAAATATTTGATTAGGGCAATTTTTGGAAATAAAAAAATTAATTGAAAAATAAAAAAAAGTAATTGAATAATAGAAAACTTCTTTTTCTAAAGTAGTGTAAAATACGGGCAATTTAATACAATTAAAAAAAAAAAAATAAATAAATTTTTACTTGGTCGTTTTTGATCTTGTTGTATTTACTTTGAAAAAAATATTTTTAATTTTTTTTTATTTTTACAAATTAAAAAATCAGAAAAAAGACTTTGTGAACCAAAAATTCCAAAAAAAAATTAATTTTTCATTAATATAGCAAAAGTAAAAAAAAAATTTTAAATTTCAAAACACCGTATTTTACCCTGCCCTCCAATTTAACGACCATCACGCCCTGCATAAAAAGTATTACCGCAAAAACAGCGTCTTCAGCGGCATTGGCTTTGCTGTTTTTTCGATTCAACGCCTCGAATGAGTTGCGATCCCAGCTGGAGACAACTTGAAAATTCTCCAGACCGAATTAAACTTCAAAAAGAATTCGCATTCAAGAAAAAAGCTCGATTCAAATTTTTCAAAATTTTTGTAAAATGATCTTGAAAATTCAATAAAAACTATTTACAATGGATTTGTAAGGGGCCAAAAAAGGCTGGTTTTGTTGTACAGACATTCGGCAATAAGCAATTTATTAAAAAATGTGATGGCAAGATACGATTGGGGGAATACGAACGAAAGAAACTTATCTACATATATATAATTGCTCACATTGTGAATACCGCGACAAAAAAACTGTCTATAACAAGCGATTTCAAAGACCCAAGGGTCCATTTTAGGCCAAAATGGACAATAAAGACTTTTTTTAACAAATAAAACTATACATGTTTAACTGTATTGTTTGAAAAAGTATTGTTTGCCAAAATGCAAGTCACAACAGTCGCAGATCGATGAACTATGTTTAGGATCCTTTAAAATTTTCTATTGATCTGCTTACGTTGCTAGTAAATTTAAAAAAACCCTAGACGGTTAGACAAAAGACTTTCCTTTGCTCTCGTATCCGGGAATTACAGACAGAAAGTATGTAAAATTTTGGCTGTCATTTTTGATAGCTTATCTCTAACTTGGCCAATTTCTAAAATTCAAGTCCCATTGTAACTCTCATCACAACTAATCGTATGAAATTGAAAAGCTGCCTACTATAATATACAAGTATGTCCCATAACTTCTCCCCAAGCCCTTCTACCCTCTCTCTATGTCCACAGATCCGTCCACCACTTCCATCATCCCGAACAACCTGCGCCTCCCAGCGATAGATCATCTGCATGATGGGTAACATCGACATTTGTCCCGCAGTGACCCGCTATTACCCAATCATGTCAAAACAATAAGATAAATTTCGATTTGAAGGCGAAACGATCAGTTATTCCCCCCACTCCGAGGCGGGTGCGAGAGAGAGAGTAATCGGAAATCAGTCGATGGCTGGTCGTCTAAAATATCATAAAAAGCGAGAGAAACGGACGTCTTTCGCCGCTATGGAGATGGAGTTGCTGTAATAACGCCCGTCTCCATAACCCATCGACGGAAGCGCGATGGAAGAAGAAGGGGCTTCGACTAAGTTGGGAAAGGGGCGATTCTTAGATTTTTTGTCATAAAAACTCTCGAAAGTAGCGATAAAAAGTTAAGAGGCATTTTGATGACTATTTGATGGCGGTTTGTTGCAATTCGAAGTGATTTTTTGGAGTTTGCAGCGTTCTACTGTAGTTGAAATACTACGAATTTCATAGTGTTTCTAACAATGAATAGCTTAGCAAAGTTTAAACCTTATTTTAGGGTAAAATACGCCATAAACGACATGCTCTTTTTTAAAAAGTTAAATTTCTGGGGACAAAAAATATTTCAATTTTTCTCCAAAAAATCGGTCATCATGGCAGATTTTTCTCTTAAAATATTAAATTACCGGTCATATAGCTTCTATAAAAGTACTTTTCAAGTGGATTACTAAAATTTTGTATAGATTTTTATTCATTTTTTCAAGATTTTTATGCTAAGATTCAAATTTTCCAAAAAACATCTGCCCAAAAAAGTCATTTATGATAAAAATTAAAATCAATGTTGCCACAAGCTCACCCGCACCCATCATAACCAACCCAAACTTCCCAAAAATCCCGTCCCATTCGGCCAAAATAATATCTCACCATATCAAATAACTAATACAACTTAATTAACGAAGAATAACGACGGGCATATTAATCACTCGTCACCAGCTCCTCTCAACCTGCACCTCCGGACGATGGCCTTGAGGGTTAAAAGCGAAGGTCGAGGGGCGCCAAAACGGAGGCAAAAACCCGGGGCCTCGGAGGAAAAAGAGTGGAACAAGGAGAAGCAGAAGAGAGGAGCAGCTGCCATTCCTTGCTCTTTTGCCTTTTCGACGCCGAATATTCCGGCTTTTCCAGAGCCTTATCCCTCCTCCTGCTTTTCGCTGGGGACCCGGAGAAGAGGGCTTGGCCTAAACGTTTCGGTCCAAACAACTCGAAGAAAGGCAGGGGGAACAAGGCGGGAAGGGTTATGGAAATGATACAGTAATTGGAATGGAGAATTGGGGAATTTGGAAAAATATTTTTAAGGGCTTATAGAAGAAGTATGAGGATTCTGAATAAGCAAAAAATGGGAGGGTTTGAGATTTGCTAAAAGTATGGCAAGAGGGGACCAAGTAAAAAATTGAGGGTTTTGAAGTTTGAAAAGTTTTTTAGAAGTATTTAGAAGCTATGAAAAATTTTTCAGCTTACATGGACTAAACACAGACTGTAAATGAGAATTCGACAAAACTATGGCAAGAGGGGACCGAAGAAAAAATATAAAAAGTTCGAGATTTTAGAAGAAGGCCAATTTTTTAGTCTCCCTTTTGATGAGACTTACTAAAAAAGTAGATTGAACTTTTTTGAATCACATGCAAGATTTGCACTTTGGAAATACTATCGATATTTTTAGGCCGAAAATTGAATAATTTGTTTTCCTTTATTTTTGGCTCGGAAGAACCCGTTGTTTATAGATGTAAAGGTGGTCTTATAAGAATTAAAAATTTTGTTTTCCCAAATCGCGATTTTCGGTGCACAAAAAAGTGGACGCCCAAATTGAAAAATTGGCGGCGACTTCATTTTTTCAGCACCGGATTCCGAAATGCGGTGCTGACTTAAGCACTGAAGTCTTCGGTGCAGGACTTAAGACTTTGTGCACTGATTTCGAAAAACTTGGAAAAATTCACTGGATTTCAGAATTCGGTGCCGAGAAAAAAATAAGTCGGCGCCAGTTTCGATTTGGGCATCCACTTTTTTGTACACCGAAAATCGCGATTTGGGAAAAAAGAATTCTTATATGACCACCTTTATGTGGAGCAGAGTAGCCTTACAAAAAAATTTTCAGAAAGAATTTTGCAGTATAGTCGAAAAATGATTTTTTTTCGTCTGGCCGACTCTTCTCATTTTGCGCGCTCTATCGAAAAGATGAATCAGTAAATATCTCGGTTACGGGCTTACAATGAGAAATAAAATTTTCAGGAACTAATATGGAGCTTGTAACATATTTTGGAGGGCAATTTGGACAAAATTTCAAAGTTATGCCTCAGGCACTTTGCTCTAAAACTTGCACTATTTTATAAAAAGACTGCTCCTACGTTAAAAAATATTCTTATTTATAAGCTAATTCACTAAAAAAACAAGTCTTTATTTTGTATATTTTAAATACAAAAAACACCCCAACAAGAATCCAAAAAATCTCTAATAAATCTCACAACAAAATTCCGGGATTCTTTTCGGTCTGCGCCGTTTTAAACCCGTCTAAAAATCGGACTGACCCTGTCTGTTCGAACTGACCAGGAATTAATTAAAATTAATTAATTGTGAAAGCCCTATAAATTGCAACATTTTTCTGTTGAGAAATTAATTAAAATTTCGGAAAAAAAATAATTTTCCCGAAAGAAATGGGCGTTTTGATCCGAAAACCCTCTGGGAATCCGTTGACCTTTGAGCATTGGATGTCAAAAAATGATTTAAAAATTTGTGAAATTTTGTGCAACAGTAGGAAGAATAAAAAACCGTCACTTTATTATACTCCTTGTGATAATAAAAGGCTGGAAACGGAAGATAATTCGATTATATGGTAAAATATAATCGAATTTAATGTGATTGGACCTAATTGATGGCCGAGGATTTGCAAAAGAGCGCTTGAAATAGTCAATGTGGCAAGATATTCAATTTTTTATGGAGATGAGAGACTATAGAAAGTGAAGAGAGACAGACTGAGAAAAGTTGTTTTAGCGATATTTTTGCAAGTTTATTGCGAAAAAATTGGGTTTTTGTTGACACTGCCAATTGTACAGGTCGCGCAAGCGCCCTAAATTTATGGTGAAGATCTATAGAGCGCTTCTATACTGGTTGACAAAATTTTCTTTCCACCTCGTATCTCGGGAACCGCTGGGCCTAGGACCTCCAAATTCGGCATAGAAACATCCTAGGACAGTCTAAAACCATGCCCAAAAAATCATATCATTTGATGAACTTTACATGCCCTTTTTCCAAAAAAGGCAAAAACCCGGATGACAAAATTTTCTTTCCACCTTGGAAAAAACGTTTGTAACTCATAAGCCAGAGGGTTTTAAGGCATGTTTGTGGTATCATTGTGTCCGCGAAGAAGTCCTCTCTCGATTGGTGTCACAACCTTACGGGGGTTTTCGTTTCTTCGCCCTTGGGCGTCGGCTCATCGTTGCCTTGTCCATTTTCAGCCAAATTCGTGGCCAGAGGAGCTCGCATAAGGCATAAAGAGATGAAAATGCCTTTAAAAAATCTGGCATTCATGTTTGCAACATTTTTTCCTCCGGCAGTAGAATCCGATTTAATTTAAGTGCGTTGCAGGGGAAAACGCGCGCTTCCAGGGTTCTCGTTACCAGAAAATTACGCTATTATGGGAACACTGCAGATAATTCAAGTAACTTTTCCTGCTTATATATTTTCTATGATACTACAGAGTTAAAAAATAGTGACGATTTTAATCACTGATGTCGCGCTTAGATGTGAGCAGAAGAAAGGTTCCAAATGCCCCATGTACAAAATTTGCCACTCTAAGCTTCGTGCGAAAGCTATTCGTCGTGGAAAAAACGTTGAAGGCCTGTCAAGGTCAATGTATTAAAGTAGTCTGGTAGCCAAAAGTCCCAATATACCAAGCTTAAGTAATGCCAAGGCCTAGTGCGACAACCTGCGTTACTTGAGACGACATAGACCAGAGAGTAGTAAGATAAGCTGGTAGATTTCAACACATGCTGTCGTATAAGCCCTAAAGTACGCCGTATGCATAGCGAATGGATGTAATTTGGACGTTCCCATTCTGTACAGAAGTGATTCTTCGGTTTTGCGGACCAGGCAGCGCTCATTTTCCCCTGCAACGCACTTAAATTAAATCGGATTCTACCGCCGGAGGAAACAATGTTGCAAACATGAATGCCAGATTTTTTAAAGGCATTTTCATCTCCTTATGCCTTATGCGAGCTCCTCTGGCCACGAATTTGGCTGAAAATGGACAAGGCAACGATGAGCCGACGCCCAAGGGCGAAGAAACGAAAACCCCCGTAAGGTTGTGACACCAATCGAGAGAGGACTTCTTCGCGGACACAACGATACCACAATCATGCCTTAAAACCCTCTGGCTTATGAGTTACAAACGTTTTTTCCAAGGTGGAAAGAAAATTTTGTCATCCGGGTTTTTGCCTTTTTTGGAAAAAGGGCATGTAAAGTGCATCAAATGATATGATTTTTTGGGCATGGTGTTTGACTGTCCTAGGATGTTTCTATGCCGAATTTGGAGGTTCTAGGCCCATCGGTTCCCGAGATACGAGGTGGAAAGAAAATTTTGTCAACCAGTATACTAAAATAAAATTTATTTTTTCTCGCTTGAAGTGCGTAAATTTATGGGCAAAATATTTGGTTTGACCGTATCCCTTCGTTTTCCACAATCTCAGCTCATCAAAGAATATCTCTATTAAGCAAATCTGACTAGAAAAACGTTCAGTTCGACACAAGTCAACCCTAACAAGGGAAGTCACTGTTTTCGCAGATCGATCCATACTGGTGACCTAGTGGGCAGTGAAGGCCTCAGGCTGTGCAAGAAGAATCTGGCGTCCAAAAGTGTTTACGGGCCCTGAGGGCAGAGTTATGGCTCATCAAAGTTCGCGCAAAAAAGGTTCCGAAAAGACCCTCCAAAAAACGGGATCGGAGAAGTGAGCTTCGGTAGCAGAGTGGTTCGCAGATTTTTCTTTTGTCTGGAAGGGCAATAAATAAAAATAATATTGTAAGAGTATCGTAAGTTACAAAAAAAAATATTTTAAAATATTTTTTGAAAAATATTATTATCCTGGCGTTAAAAAAATTACGATCTTGTTCATATCGTCACTAAATTTATCATCTGCCCAGACAGCAAGCGTTCGACTGAAACGCTTCAGCATGATACCACGATCACCAAGGGCGTCTTCTAAAACATCAGAGCTATACATATTGAGAATCCGACTTCCCCAAATTTTAACGACAGGATAATAACATTTTTCAAAAAATATTTCAAAACAATTTTTTTTGTAACTTACGCTACTCTTACAAATATTATTTTTAGTTATTGCCGGGAAGAGGAATCGAACCCTGGCCCTTCCAGACAAAAGAAAAATCTGCGAACCACTCTGCTACCGAAGCTCACTTCTCCGATCCCGTTTTTTTGGAGGGTCTTTTCGGAACCTTTTTTGTGCGAACTTTGATGAGCCATAACTCTGTCCTCAGGGCCCGTAAACACTTTTGGACGCCAGGTTCTTCTCACACAGCCTGAGGCCTTCACAGTCCACTAGGTCACCAGTATGGATCGATCTGCGAAAAAAGTGACTTCCCTTGTAAGTCTAAGTATCAAGCCTTTAAAATTTTAATTTGCTCAATGTTTTGACTGCCGTGATATTTAACACTCTTTGTCGATGAAAGAATAGCCATAAAGTGTTCTTATATAGCCATGTCTCTGCCAAACTCACGCGGAAAAAAGACAATTTTTTGTGGAAAAGTTGCGCTATCCGGTAGCAATAAGCCTGAAACCCTTCTTGGATGCCTTTCCAAAAAATCTCAAGGAAAGATTAATCCAAATTTGTGCCAAGTTTTATTAAAATCAGTGCTTCACATTTCCAGCCCTTTCCCCGCTGCCCCCAGTCATCACCGGAAAAAAGACGGTCATCAAAGTTACAGTAACCCCACTCCATTCGATCACAAAGTGCAGCAACTCTTCCTCCTTCCTGCCTCCAACAAAGGAGCCCTTCTGCGTTGAGTTTGACTTGAAGGCCGGCTGCCGCAATCAAAGGGACCCGAAGAGCCGTTAAAGACCCGTTGCAGCCCCCAACTTATCAGTGCCAATAACTCCAAAAAATATTGAGATGAATTTTTTATGAGCGTGGCGTCCAATCAGTGGGAAAATATTATTCTTGACGCCGAGGGTTATTAAAATTTATTACCGCCGAGCGGGGAAATATACAAGCCTCGACAAAGGCGGAGTGGAATGCCTTTGATACGATGGGCCTTTAATTATGAGGCGCTGACGGTGCGTCAATCAGAGGGTCGTTAAAGTTTGAGGGGACGATGAAGCATGAGTTAGATTCGGAGGAAAACAAAGTGAAATATCTTGGTTGCAGAAGGAAATGTGACAATTTTGCAGCGAAGAAAAGACAACAAAGGATAAATTCCAAGTCTTAAAATCATCATTTTCTGTATTTTACATGAGGTCCGACGCAACTTGGATTATATAGTTTGACGCCGTTTTCCAGGATGAGTAATGAGATTTGACGTTACAGTGGAGGGCCTGATCCAGTGGCAAAAAACGTACCATTTTGTATCTGGGAAGTATTAAAAATGTGGTGAAATGCTTCCCTCTCCAAGTGAAAAAACTATAACTTTTGTGTTCTCTACCCGAATCTTTTCATGAGGCCTAAGACACTCGTATGTGTCACTGGATAATTCTGTCATAAATGTACGACAACTTTCATTTTAGCCTAACGTCAAAGTCTGCCGTTATAAGATCGATTTTTTGACTCTAATTTAATATATAAGCTCAAACCCGTAAGGAAAAAGTGTTGATTACATTTATTACTACAACTTTTAATACAAAAACCTCAGTATAATATCGCAATAGGTGATCTCTTCATTCCATTGATCAACACATTTGATTTCAATCATATCACAGTCAGGGACGGTCATAGCATACTTCACAACGATATATTTCCATTCGTATCGAGTTTGCTGATGGCCATCCAACTTTATGCATCTAAAGTAATATTTTTTGATGCCAATTCTATTTCATTCTAATTCTTTTTGTCAGAACTTGCCTGTAATTGCAAACTTCTTTGAGATTTTCGTCTTGAGGTGGGTGGATTATCAACGATTTGTTGATAACGTAACCTCGAGGCGAAAAACGACTGCGCTTGTTCACGAAAACGCATTCTTGAGAGAAATTGTCGACATTTGTGGTTGTTACACCATCATTATCGAAGAATTTCGATAGAATCTTCTCAACTCGCAACTGCTCATCGATGCTGTATGTTAGTGGGAGCGGAGGCACTGCAAATAACGTATGAGGATTCAAAGAGCCTCAGCTTTAGCTTCCGTTCACTGTAGACTCTGTGTATATACGAACCCCTACGGATACTAGGAAATTTGAGAGACGAGAAGAATCGGTCGGCCAACAAAAAATGAAATTTATCGCTACATTCTTTGAAGTAAAAGTAACTTTACCAGTCGAAACAAACAGGGGAACTGTTTAAAGTGCGATGACCAGATTTTGATGGAACTTGGTACTAGATTAGAATAGGTTTTTTAAGAGATTTGCGAGTCTTTTGCCTCTTCAAATTGCAGAGGGTAACATGTAAACGCACAAAAACAATCTTATTTTTTCCACCCAAAACTGGCAAAGACATGGCCAAAAATCCCGCGGACTCCCTTGGCGGCAAGGATCGCTGAATATCTCGGCTGCGTTGAGAAAGCTCGAGCTAAATTTTTCAGCAATTGATGTGTGGCTTATATCTGACGTGTGTGCAAAGTTCAAAGAAAATCTGAGAACCGCATGGAAAGTGCAAGCTCAAAATCTGGGGCTATCAGTCTCAGACACCGTCAATCATATTTTTGTCAAATATAGTCAAAATTCTACCGTTTTTTCTTGCAGCATCCCTCATTTAGAATCAAAAAATATACTATATAGGGATTAACACTGCTTACAAGTCTTATTCCTCCTCGGAACTCTGGTCGGCACCGTCTCTGTGGTCTCTTTTGTCTTCAACCAGTAGTTGACTGACAAATAATAGACCAAGTAGAAATTGACCAAAACCAATGCACCCAGCGCGGCCAAATTGCATTTCGTGGATGGAGAAGTCATAATCCGGAGGAAAAATGCGGAACCGCGAATCGGCCGAAGGAATTTGAATATTTAGACAGCTGATTAAAGCGATTTTCACATTCCAAGGGCAAATGAGGGAACAAAGGCTACGTTTGTGGGGCTAGTTGTTATTGTTTGGTTGCAGAAGAAGAGCTATGATTATCCAGAGCTCTATCAAAGATCTATGGCTTTGGATTGATGGGTAAAATACGACATCGATTGCATTGTGGTACTTGGTTGTACATGTAAATAATAGACAAGATAAATGAACACTTTAGAGTTGAAAGTACTGTGTGAATTTTAGGAATCAAAATTGCTTTCCTGTCCATCATATACAAATTTTTCGCATATATAAAAGTTGCTGTATGCTCTAGACAAAGGATAATTGGAGCTATTATAAATAAACTTCTTTGGTGGCTCTGTTGGCGAGCCAAATTGTGACCCGGCTGTCTGGAAGATAGTGGAAAAAACAGGAGGACTACCTTCCGACAGATTCGGCGACAGCCGTAAAATAACTGCTTCTGATTCCGTAATTGATGAAGCTGTTCCCATTGTCTTTTGCCGGAAGAGATTGTTGAATATCTCGACTGCAAAGCATGAGCTTGATTTTTTTGGAGTTGCTTTGTGTCCCAAGTTGGACATGGCTCCCGGGCCGGGCCCGCCCGGGCCGGCCTGGGCAGGGCCGTGGGCTGGGCCGAAATTTCGGCCCGTCGGCCCGATTTCAGATCGGCCGGGCCGGGCCGAGATTTTCGGCCCGGGCCGGCCGACGAGCCATGTCTATCCCAAGTACAATTTAGGGACAAAATTTGAGAGTTTTCGAGAATTGGGACTGGAGAAATCTCTGTTTATTAAATGCAGTAAAAAATCTTGTGCTATCAGTCCGTCGGGGAAATAATGTGGCCCTGTCGCGGCAAAACGTCTCGCAACCGCGCACCTCCAGCCGCGGTTTGCTGTGACAAAGCGATAAGATTTCAAGCTGCGAAAAATCCACATTATTTTCCCGACAAAGCAATACCTTGAAAATGTTTTTGTGAGCCAGCCAAATTTGCGCATTTCGACAATGTTTTCGATTTCCTTCAGTCGTTATCATGCATAATAACAATTTTTTTGCAAAAATTTTTTTAAAATTATTTAAATCCCGATTAAACTAATACTCCATAACAAATTTTTGGACGCATTACCGCCTTTGAATGGAAATCCCTCCTATTTTTGGACAATAATTCGAGTATGTATATTCAACTTTCAGACCCCAAATCTCCTTCCAGTATGAATCACCACGATCAAATTTTGTTAAAACCTGCATCATCTTTTCGATTCCCATCTGAAGAGATCAATCTCCAATACCTACGGTCTCCAACAAAGTGCAATACTTGCGGAAAAAATCGGAAAAAAAGCGTTCTTTCGCCAATTTTGTAATGTTTCTTGATGTTGGGTTACTGTGGCAATATCTTCTTTTTTCGCAAATTTCTCCACTTTACAACTGCTTTTGAAGCGGAAAAAGGTATTATCATCCCGCTGAATCGCATGACAAGGTCAACAGTTCGACGCACTTTGCTCCGTTTTTCGCTTGTTCCCATTTTTTGTTTCAAAAATTTCAATTTTTGAAAGTTTGGAAGTGCATTTTTTAAAGGTTCTAATAGGTGGGAAGGGTCTGAAGAATGGATGGGAAGATTTTGGTTGAATTTGACGCGAATTTACACTAACAGGGAAGTACTCCAAGTGCGACGCTCAGATTTTCTTTAAATTTTGCACACACGTCGGGTATGGACTAAGTATCAATTCCTGAAAGTTTTAGCTCGCGCTTTGCAGGCGCCGCCGAGATATCGAACGATTTTTGTCGCCGAGAGAGCACGATAAACGCGGAGAGCGGTCAGAGAGAAAAGCGCTCTTCGGCCATAGCTTTGGTAGTTTCGTGCGGAAAAATTTCATTTTTTGTAGAAACATTATCCTCTATAGTAGAAATAGGCATGAAACTTTTCGTGCCGAAATTCGGAAAAAAGTCCTAAATGTTGGCCGACTTTCGATATAAAAATCTCGGTTGTTTCTGCAAAGCGCGAGCTAAGATTCTCGCATATATTTTGGAAAAAATTCTTCTGAATTTGTACCAAGCTTCATCAAAATCTGAGCGTCGCACTTGGAGTACTTCCCCTAAGATTTTTTTGAAAAATTTGTGGGGTTTGTAGACCGCGCTTTGCAGAAACAACCGAGATTCTTTGGCAATAAACATTATGAATATGCAACCATCAGATTTTCTTCAAACCCTGCGTCAGATGCAGTAAATGTCATAAATTGGTCAAACTCAGAAATACCTTTTTCGGTCTAAAAAATCCATTTCCCTGTATGGATTTGCAAAGGAAATATTTCTTTGTATGACCTTTATTTTTAGCTACCCAAAAAAAACCTTGCATTGTAATCTCATGCCATAAAAACGGAGCCCAATTGTGCTCAGATTAATGCTGTTATCGATGAGTTGTTACAAAAATTGAGAAGGAAAGGTTCCAAAATGGAATCCAGTCTCAAACTACAGGGTTCGAATGCAAAAACATTCCGAAGGAACTAATTTTTCATTTTTTTTTGTGGATCCAGAAAAAGCCCTCTTATCTGCTTTATTTTCTATTTTTTACACACTAACTCTTTGCACTTTTATTTATCAGCCCTTCACAATAACACCACTGTTTTTTTGCCGAAAACTTCCTTCATCTCCTCCGGAAAACACTCAATGTTTTTGTTTATTCCGGGTTTGTTTTGTTCAATTTCTGCTGGATTTGCAGAGTGAGTACATGTAAATGTCACAATACAGGGTGTTTCAGGAAATATTGAACAAAGTTTTTGTGTATATCTTTGGGTTGTTTGCTGCTATTCAAAAAGTGTAAATAAAACTTAAGATTTGATGTAGGCGGGTTTTAAAATTTGCAAAAGATTTTTTTTCGCGTCAGCGGAGAGACCATTTTTCGGCGGAGACATTTTGGCGTATTTTTTTTTTTAATTACAAATAAAACTAACAGGGGAAGTACTCCAAGTGCGACGCTCAGATTTTGATGAAACTTGGCATAAATTTAGAAGAATTTTTTCTAAGATATATGCGAGAATCCTAGCATGCGCTTTGCAGGAACGACCGACATTTTTAGATCGAAAGTAGGCAAAATTTAGGACTTTTTGCCGAATTTCGGCACGAAAAGTTTCATGCCTATTTCTACCGTAAAGGATAATGTTTCTACAAAAAATCAAAATTTTCCGCACAAAACTAGCAAAATTATGGCCAAAAAGCGTTTTTCTCTCTGACCGCTCTCCACGTTGAGCGTGCTCTCTCGGCGGCAAAAATCGTTCGATATCTCGGCGGCGCCCGCAAAGCGCGAGCTAAAACTTTCAGGAATTGATATCTAGTCCATACCCGGCATGTGTGCAAAATTTAAAGAAAATCTGAGTGTCGCACTTGGTGTACTTTGCCTGTAAATTTCTCTCGCCACCGAAAATCCGAAAATTAATAACATCTACGCAATCTGTGAGCTACTGCTTTTAAAAATTAATAATCCATTCATAAGGCTGTCTACTGTAAGTCTCCTTGCAATAATTTAACCCCAAATTGAAAAACGTCAGATTCTTGAATTAGTTCCTCTTACTCACATGACTTTCTTACAACCAAAAACAAGCATTAGAATGGGGAATGGGGAGAGAACCGAAGGCCACGGCATTAATGTTGCATGGATAATGTTTCCCGGAGCTATGATGCGAAAAGTTTTTTGGTCCTCGAGGGCGGTTTCTCGCGCATTTAATACAAATTTCCAGAGATCGTTTCTAAAAGAATGTGGAAATTTTATTGGTGAAATAATTTTTTCTTAATTAAAAAAAAGTTTTATTTGTTGTCGTTTCTTGCAAAAAAGATTAATTTTTTCAATAGTTAAAAAAATTAAAAAAATTTTTTTTCGACCATTATTATTTGTTTTGAAAACTTAAGGTCATTAATTTAATAAAATTAAATTTTGAATAATATTTTTATTTATATCCCTCTCAATTTCCCCTCAAGAACAGAGCGAATTCACTCTCATAAATACAGAGTTATGTTTCTTTCTCCCGTGACACTTTTTTTTGGGTCTTTCACGTCGAAAAAAAACACTTTTCTCTCTTTTCGTTTCGATAAAAATCATGTGATTTCGTCTCTGTTCAATTATTAGGGACAAAAGACGGGAATTAGAATGCACTCTTGTTGCAATACGGATTTGAATTGACTGATAAGACAGCTCAAAATTTATGGAGAATGGGTTTGTTGGAGGAGGCTAAGATTTTGGTCCGAATTGAAGGGGTAGAGGGGTTCTGCTTTATGTTTTTCGTAGGCTTGATGACATGGAATTTGGCTTACGGGGGAAGTACTCCAAGTGCGACGCTCAGATTTTCTTTAAATTTTTCACACACGTCGGGTATGGACTAAATATCAATTCCTGAAAGTTTTAGCTCGCGCTTTGCGGGCGCCGCCGAGATATCGAACCATTTTTGCCGCCGAGAGAGCGCGCTAAACGTGGAGAGCGGTCAGAGAGAAAAACGCTTTTTGGCCATAATTTTGCTAGTTTTGTGCGGAAAATTTTGATTTTTTGTAGAAACATTATCCTTTACGGTAGAAATAGGCATGAAACTTTTCGTGCCGAAATTCGGCAAAAAGGCCTAAATTTTGGCCGACTTTCGATCTAAAAATCTGGATTGTTTCTGCAAAGCGTGAGCTAGGATTCTCGCATATATCTTAGAAAAAATTATTGTAAATTTGTGCCAAGTCTCATCAAAATCTGAGCGTTGCACTTGGAGTACTTCCCCTGTTAGACTCACTGTGTGACAAAAGTTTAAAAAGATGTGCGGCGCACTTACAGTAAGGACGTTTCTTTTGCTATTTGTTTTTGCTGTTTTCAAACCATTACCATGTTTTTTTTCACAACAATTTATATAAAAAATGATAAAAAAGATGCAATTTGAACTTGTGGTCATCAATTTCTTAAATTTATTTGTTGGACTCT